CCCTGCATCTCTAAAGAACTGACGTACTGCTCGTCGCTCTGCCATAAATAAATTATCGGTAAGTTATCCTACTAAAAATTTCTAACAACCAAGAGCAAACAACAGTCGTGGTCACGTAATACATAGTAAAAAAACGGTTTTCGGAGTTCACTCCATACAAAACAATAACTTAAGTCAGTCATTGTTTTGTCATACACACTATACAAACACACCTACATGAAACATTAGGTATATCTAGTCTAGTGTGTAGGGCATACAAAAAAAATTCAAATGTGCGTGTCACAATCACAACACTATATCAATCAGACAGATTTTTATACTTTGATATAGACACTGATTGAATATTTTTTAATCACCTACAGTGGCGGATTTACCCTAAGGCCCGGTAGGCCTGGGCCTAAAAAAACGCTGCAAAAACAGTTTTCTTTTTGTATGGAGACTTTCTTTCATTCTTTTTAATGATGAAATCTATTTTTGTTAAAGCATCGTATCAACTAACTGTCATTATATCAGTCGGTCGGGCGAACGCGATTAATTATGGGCATGGAACCCTAATAATTTAAATAGATCAACCTAGTAGGTAGATAAGATAATTATGAGTAAGTACTCATTCATTAAAAACCCAAACGAAGACAATAACATGTAGGTACTTCAGTAGACATAAATGCAACTCATATTGTTACAACAGAGCCTGGTGACCGTATATCCTTTAACGACACAGAGATGTTAACTGTCCAGTTAATGTCTTCAATCTCGTTTCCAGCTACGTTCAAGATAGCACCGTCTCTGCTTATTCGTCTCGGGAAAGAAGAGGGGATGCGTTTAGGCTTCGGTTTTAGCCTAGCACTTTGGAATTTTATCCTGGACGAACTGCTTGGTCTGGCGCTACCCGAGGGATGCCGCAATCAGACGTGCGCTGATGACGTCCTGCTCGTCATAAGGGCCAAGGACGTTGTGACTCTTCTGACTCGTACTTCTATCGACTTAGACACAATCGCTGATTGGGGACACAGGCCCTGGCATTTTACGTTTAGTAAAATGTGGGTGTGGGCTTCGGTCCCCGTAATGTGTGCTGGGCGGAAGATGTAGGATTATTATCTGGTTTTTATTGGGTAGGGCCCTTTTTTGTGACGCAGGCAAAATCTCTGTTTACAGACGACGCCGCGACGGCGCCTGTTTTTCTTTTTTATATTTCCAATACTCACACCATATAGCCTAGCCCCAAAGAAAGCACTTTAAGGCTTGTGTTATGAGATACTAGGGTCACGGATAGAATACATATACTGTACATATATAAGTATATTTATATAGAAATACATATTAAACATCCATGACTGGAGTACAAATGCTCGTATTCATCACACTAACATCTGCCTCCACCGGGATTCGAACCCGGGACCTCTCGAGTCGGCGACACCATGAAATCCGGCGTCTAAACCACTCGGCCACGGAGGTCATCGTCTTTAAGAGGCACACCGCCGAACCTCACACCTGGCTCCCTCAAGCCTTTCGAGCCCCCGCAGTGGCTGCCCACTGAGGACCTCATAACTCTTACGGTCGCTTTACGGCATTGTATCCTCTAAAAAACCCTGCGAATACTCTCTGAGCTGCTTAGGGCGAAACCGCGGGATCCCCGTTTAGGGATTTTCCGCGTCTCCGCACCCAGCAGCCTCCCGGCCTACCCGGGGCTCCCGTGGAGGTCCCCCCTCCCGTGGAAGCTCATTACGCGGCCTATTGCCCACAGTACCGCCCCCCGTCCGCTGCGGAGGACTACTTGGGCATGCCCGTGTAGCTTCCTCCGCCACCTCCCTCTTTGCAGGACAGAACTACAGGGAGGCTGCCGTCACGGGATCCCTCGGTGGCTGGCACGGCACAATGCGCCGTACCTGCCAGCTAGGGATCCCCGCCGCGGGCAGGGTCATGGGACGGGCGCAGCCAGGGCGCGCACTCTTCCTTTCCTGCCCGCTTTTATTGGGTAGGGCCCTGCTCATTTCATCGAGCCCTGGGGCTGGATAAAATGAGCGAGGAGAAGTCTTCAGGCACCCTATAGTAGCGAATTTTCCAGTCGACTTGGAGCGACACAGTGAAATAACCTTAGTACCTACTAACTTTTGCTGGTTTAGTGTTTATGTCGATAGATATGGTTCCAGGGCTCCACTCCACGGGGTAAGGGATGCGGTCAGGGTAAGCGTGAGAAATATTTTTGATATGCCATAGCAAGCGTTTAGGCTATGGCGGCCGCTTATCATCTGGCGAACAATATGCACGGTTGCCACCCTTGTAACATGAATTATTTTTTTGGTCATTATCTATACATCTTTAATCTGATATTTTACTGAGAGGTAAATATATATTTACTTTCCTGTAAAACATTTACTGAAAAATTGATACTTAAACAAATGTAATTATCGTCTAATATGTTTAGTTCAGTATTAATCAAGGCGAAATTGTGTTCTACACACTCATGAACTGAATAATGATTATGATTGGACTAAGACAATAAATTGCACTAATTCGTCTCCTACTTAGAAGTCTAAATAACTGATTCATCAACAATTCATGACTACGGCTAATCGGCTTAGTTGATTTTGAGCTGATTTGTCAGATAAAACACACAAACAAATAAATACCGATTTATGTTCTTTATCAATAGCAACAGGAAAATTGGTACTTACTTCTAACACCCGTAACCGTAATCAGACGTCAATGAAAGTACCAAGTAAATACGTCATCACTCACGAGTTGTCTTAATCTAAAATAAGCCCAAAAAGTAACAGCTTTTATCGAAATTAAAAGATTATGCCGCCCCGGGCCATGCCCCTTTTGGTCCTAGGGTTATTAACGCCCCGCAATGAAGAAAACAAAATAACTTCGCTTGGCACATTGACAAAGCTAGTGCTAGTGCACACTAAAGGACAGATCGGTGTTTTCGTCGAGTAGCAGAGTCAAATGATCGGTCATACGGCGTGTTTCGATATCGATAATTTTTAATTCGAATAGTTGACGTATAGAAAGGACTTGTCAAATGGAGTAGAGCAGTACCCCTAGTACGAACCATTATCGAATTCGAATAGTTTGCAAACCGAAATGTCAATGTCAAATTTTGTATGGAAACTTGAACAGCAGCGGCACAAAGTACGTAACGAGAACTAAAAATCAGTACAGATTTGACAATGACAATGAATTCGATTTTGGTTCGTGCTAAGGGTACTGGACTGTCGGGAAACGGTAGGGCAGATTGCGTTGGAATCTGTCTCTTAGAACTCTTTCCAGTTTGTGAACCGACTTACTTTAGACGAGCCCCCCCCCCCCATGTGATAATACAGTATGTCGCAATTACCTGTGTCAGTGCAAGGCATAACATCATTCTTGATTTCTTGATCACATCTACAACAGCAACACGTTGTACCATTTTAAAGATAAAATATCAATTTAAGCAGTCTAGCAGAAAGAGTAATAATGTGAGGATGTTGGTCTAGAATACACCGAAATATTTGATGCACTTTGTATGGCGAAGACTGACAAAAAGGGTATAGATATAAGGTAAGGTCAATATAAAATGTATATACACGTATCTAATTTATGTATGATAGTATTGAATGTGATATAGATGATATATTGTTTCTAAATAATTTTGCGAGTATGTGTTTCTGTTTTTTTGTTTTTTTTTTCTCTTATATTGTTATGCCGATAGTCAGTTGTCAAGAGAACTATAGGTGTCAATTGAAAATCAGCGTCAGGTCCCACAAACCTGACAACATGCTGAATTGACAACCTGTTTTGGCGCAGCCGCGAGATAGCAATAGTATAAATCATAGTTGTAACGACAGTTATTATTAGTTATTAGTGTGTGTTACTTTTTTGTGTTGTTTGTTTACGATAATTTTTCTTTTTCTTGTATTTTCTGTTCTCAAAATCTTGTATCTGCTGTCTCGTTGTTTGTGTCAAAATAAATGTATTTTCTTTCTTTCTTCTTTCTTCTTTCTAGATCTGTTGCCCGGAGCTTCACAATGCCTGAAGACCCCGTGACCACGGCTAATAGGATGATGATTCGGGCTGATTAATCAGTTATAGTACAGAAACAAATATGGATGTTGTTTATCAATACAAACACTCGCAATCACACGTGAATCAAAGTTAGGTACGTCATTACTCGAGTCTTGTCTTATAGCGAGACCAATCATTTATCTATGCTATCAACTTTAAACTAACTTAAAGGTGTGTGCGGCCGGCGTATGACTTTATGCCAAATTAATATTAATTTCTATTAGGAGTAATTTGGAATCACGGAAAATCTGTGTTCAAATTTTACAGAGTTATCCGGAAATTTACCACTGTTGGTCATACGAGGGGTGCATGCCAATTTTTCCAGTGTGTTTATTACAAAATCTTCCATTCTTTATATCTGCATGCAATTTCAAAACACACGCTTAAACAGTATGCTTTCACGGAAAAACACGAAAATCCGCTACACAAAGAAAAGCGCTTTTCCTTACGAAGAGGACGCGCGGGAGGGCTAAAGCTCCGACTATGATTGATATTTTAGGGTTAGTTATCAAGCTTTAAAAAGGCATACACGACAAAATCGTGGAATGTCACCTGTCACCAGCTCCCGGTCTATAAGTGGTCGTGAACAAAACATAAGGGTATGCTGATGATTTCTCAATGATAATATTATGACACTATCTATCTACCATATTATGTATCACTGTACTCCCAAGGGATCAGCTAAATGTACACACCAAAATAGGCGGTCCAAATGCGATCTATTAGATGTTTTGCAATGTCGCCCTTTTGTGATCAGGACGATCTACCCGGTCGTTTTCCGATTAAGACCATACAGTATTATACCTGACTTATGATTCAGTCAAGGCAGTTTGCATGTGTCACTCATTCTTTAATGGATTTTAAGACACATGTTAGTTTCAAAAATCCACTTTGAGGACATCCCGGATCAAAGATTAAAGTAGACATTAGAGTGAAATATTATTGATCATGATTGATTTATTGTTTTAGATTTCTGACAATTTTTGGTCGTAGTGGCGTTAACGACAATTGAAACCTGAGCGAATAGTATTCAGGGTCAGTATTTTTGTTTTAGCGGATGTGTTTCTGGAGCCAGTTTTCGTAAGCGCTGACCCGCACGAAAATGTCGGGAGCGCCGCGCGCGCACAGCACGCCCCACGACACGATGCCAATCTGTGAGCCGTGGTCAAGACGCACCAACGCGCTGCCGGAGTCACCCTGACGAATTAAACATAAATTTATCATCATCATCATCAGCGTATTAATGTCCCCAGTGCTGGGGCACAGGCCTTCCCTATGGATGGAATAGAGAGATTGGGCCATGACCCACCATGCGGGTCCAGTGCGGATTGGCGGGTGCTAACGATTGCAGATGCAGCCGGGACCAACGGGCTTAACGTGCCTTCCGAAGCATGGAGGAACTCGAGATAGAAGATTTTTGGTCACCCATCCAATGACTGACCACTGCGAAAGTAGCTTAACTTCAACGATCGCAGCCGAACGCGCTTACCACCTGCGCTATCGAGCTAAATTTATTACACAGTGAATTAGAAATGAAGTGGAATACGAACTGCGCTAAAATGTGGTCCCACTCAAACTGCGATCAAGTGGGCGGGAGTGAGAAAATTTGATCAACACGCCGATCAGGCGATTGGTTGGGATTACCGTTTAACATTATCTTACCCAATGAATGGATGGTCGAAATGAGTTGCAGATATTTGATATGTAAAATTATTTGGTTTTGTCTGTGTTCCTGTCGCGTTAGTTAGGGACCAGGTTTTAGTGGCCTTTGTTAGAGAGTAATGCTTCTATATCATTTCTAATTCGTTGTGTCAGTGTTCTAACACTCTCTTTCTATATTTTCTCTAGAAAATATAAAGTGTTCCGCTAAACGATCTCCCACTTAGACCAGGGATTTCGCGACATTACCCTCCCTTTTTGCGTGTCTTGTTCCGACATTACTATTTGATGGCGTTGTTTCGTAGGGGATAGGCGGGTGGGTAATGGCGCAGCAGCTATGAGGTGGAATGTGGTATAATTAGCTGCATTTCCAAAAAAATAACAAACGGCGCAAGTGGTTAGCGCGTTCGGCTTCGATCGTTGTAGTTCAGCAACTTTCACAGTGGTCGGTCATAGGATGGGTGACCAAAAATTTACTATCTTCAGCTCATCCATGCTTCTGAAAGCAAGTTAAGCCGTTGGTCCCGGCTGCATCTGCTATCGTTAGCACTCACCAATCTCTACTGGGCCTGCGTGTTGGGTCATGACCCAATCTCCCTATTCCATTCATAGGGAAGGCTTATGCCTCAGCACTGGGGACATTAATAGGCTGGTGATGACGTAGAATCAGCTAAATTGATTCCTGACCCACCATAAGCTTATTTTGTTACAACCATTTCAAAACAAGGTAGAGTTTCGCTTAAATAAACGTATCCCTGATCCCTGGAATCAAACTTGTTGTTTTCTGAACAATCATATGTGACACATTTTGCCGCCTTCCTGTGACATAATTTTGACATTAAATTATTTAGGGTTTTACCCATGTTCTAAGGATTACCCTATTATAGTTAACCAACAATTTTGATAATGTCATGAAATCGAAAGAGTTTCTGTTACTAACTCTGCTTCCAATTTCAAATATCTTTGATCCATAATAACAGTTTCCTAGTTATTAGAAGGTCCTAAGTGCAATTATGAATTCTTAGTGGAGCGCCAGGGGGTTTATATCTCGGATTTTTGCAACAGTGAATGAAATTAAAGAATTCTAAATGGAATGATCGGCTAATAATACAAATTAAAAAATCGTGATCTTGTTTTTTTAATGAGTGTGCCTTGCGATAGTGTCATATGATTTATATCTACGTGGTGTATAATTTTCCTTACTCTAATTTTACTAGCCGCTTTTAATATATGAAACTCCTCTTTATTTGATTGCGATGTTGCTAGTTGGGAATGTTAATTAAACGGGCTTATTTTTATTGTAGGATATTTCGTAATTTATTTAAATAGCTTTAAATAAACAGCCTAGTGACAGACCGACAGACGGACATTAGTGGAGTCTTCTTCTTCGGAACCTATTTTATTATATTAAAAGCGTCTAGTGAAATTAAAGTAACGAAAATTATACACCAAGTAAGTACAAATCATATGAAACTACTGGAAGGCACACTCATAAAAAAAAAAAACAAGATCACAATTTTTGTATAGGTAAACTTTTTTATATGTATTATTAGCTGAACATTCCATTTGTATTTTTTTTAGTTTCATTCACTGTAACTAAAATCCGAGGTTTTCATGTATTTAACGCCCCAGGCGCTGCACTATCTTTACAAAGGAAAAAATATCTGTTTTGACATTTTTAAACGAATTATCGCGCAAGTTGATCAGGAATCAGTAGGTTCGGACGTACATTATATTTAAAAATAAATTAACTAAATGTGATGTTTTTCTATTAGTCTTAGTCTACGGACTGCATTTAAGTTAAATACATGCGGCGCTGGACAGCCGGCATAAGTTTTTGATGGACAAAGGGTGGAAGAAGGTCGATCGACGAAACATGTTATATTTGTGAGATTTGGAAGTTCATCCAGTCTTTTTAGTGTTTTTTTTTCTGTTTATTCACTTACGGTGCACATGCCACGTCCTGACCCGTTGGGGTGTCTGGTGCACAGTTCTATGTTGGGTTCCACGACTGGCGAGGTTACCGTGCGAGCCATCTCCTCCACGCAGCGAGGGCCCGACATCGTAATAACATCCAACTCCATCAGCAAATTCGAAACTGATCCTGCAGTCTGTATAAACCAATAATATTAAACGGCACTTCCTCCTATATAAACACTTAAATAATTTAAATACATACAGCTCCCTCACTAGTCCGCATTACTATTTTTTTAACCGACTTCAAAAAGGAGGAGGTTCTGTGTTCGTCTTTATATATTATTTCTTTATGTATGTTCACCGATTTCTCCATCAATTATGGACCGATTTCCAATTCCAATTCTTTTTTCATTCGAAAGAGTGCACTTCCGAGGTGGTCCCATTGGAACTAAGTCAGGATCTGATGGTGGAATCCGAGGAAACCGAGGTAAACCTTCAAATTACAAAGGCACGCACGATGGTTTTTATGCATGTTCACCGATTTCATCGTCAATTGTGTTATTGTTTACTTGGACGATGCAATTTTCACTAAAATGGATGAAATAAAAATTTTTAAACAAAAAATAAAACCGACTTCAAAATCTAAACTCGAACTAAAAAGTAAAAAATAATATCCATAATTATATAAATAATTAGTTCCATATTCGATTTTGAAGTCGGTTTTATTGTTTGTTTAATTTTCTTTTATTGTTCAATATCGAAATCACCAAGTACTATTACTAGAAACTAGCAAACCAGTGAACCAAATGTTCACCAAAAAAAAAAAATTAATTAATTGAGAACTTCGGAGATTTTGTGTGGTTTCGTTTGAAATAGAAATCACGTGATTTCTCGAAAACCGGAAGTGCTACGTTACTCACATCCGGTTTGTAGTCTTATCAGACTATTCTTAACTTATAACTTAAACATTCTCTATATCTATCTCTTACGGTTTGGCCGCTGAAACAGCACACGGATTAGATAAGAGATACTATAGCACAAGCGGGTGACATTGTATGTGGTATGTAGTGGGAGTTTTCTATGTTTTAATACAATAATGAAAATTAGGCTACCACCACGACGGAATTTTGCGCTCTGTCACTTGGCGAACAAAATGCTTTGAACGGTTTTCTACAGTAGTTTTTACTACGCCCCGCCTTCGCGTCGGACGCGCCAATCCGGGCCGCTGCACAAAAGTAAGACAGAGAACATTTCATTGATTGAATAATGAATTGAATTGCATTTGTTTTAGTTGCAATTTGTCATCTGCATCGTGATCGCGACAGCGCTGTACGAAAAAGTAAGACAGCGACAATTACATGTCTATGAATGAATTTTTACTACGCCGCTACCGCAAGCGATTATGGAATTATGGGTGACAGCGGGTCTTTCCGCGAGTGTACAGAGCGTTTTGCTATACCTTTTCATTGTACGTGCTTTACACACAGATATTTTGTTACTTGTTTCAGAAAAAAAAAACATTATTCTTATTTGGCATCCAACTACGAAGGCAGAAGAGAAGAAGCTTTTTTAGTTTTTTAAATCAGCACCGGGTTTGCAAACAACATTTTGAATTCCTATCGGAATAATCGCCCTCTGGAGATTACCCAACGCAAGATGCGGGGACTCGTCGCGACCTTCCAGCTCGTCGAAGTGGCACCTAATGGCGTAATTTCAATTGGTCGTTAGCCCGAATACGAGTGCCAATGTAATTCGGGTAAACGACTAAGTGTAAATGAACGGATTCGAGTACGCCCGTATTCGGTTAGTTTTCGTTTTGGTTACCCGACACCGCCTTCCAACCCTTATTCCAGTGTAAATATTGCTTCGGGTGCGAATACGAGTAATGTCGATCGTGCACCCGAATACGGGCTAAAGACCAAATGTAATTAAGCCATTATTCATGATAATAATGTTAGTTAGGAGTAACTGTAACTCAGTTACTCCGTGTTCATGGCGCTTGCAATAGTGCCGAAATATCAGAGACTTGCAAAAAACAAGGTATACATGTTTAGAATCCCGCTATAATAACAAAACGTTTATATACTTTTAGGGACCATGAAAGTTCAAAACAATATACCTATCTATATATAAATAAATATTTTCAACACTCACACCAATTAGCCTAGCCCCAAAGTAAGCATTGCTAAGGCTTGTGTTATGGGATGCTAGGGTAACGGATAGAATACATATACTGTACATATATAAGTATATTTATATAGAAATACATCCCCGGGACCTCTCGAGTTGGCGCCACCATGAAACCCGGCGTACAAACCACTCGGCCACGGAAGTCGTCAAAAATCTAATTCAAGATTGTCCAAAAACAATAACTCTGGTCCTTCCCTAGCCAGCGGCTCTGGTCTGGATCTCAGCACCGACATGCTCGAAGTCGAGAGCAATCGCGCAAATGGTTTCACTGAACACTATCGGGGTGCGGGTGTAAAGAACGCCCAAGTCGTTCTTCCTGGAAGTAGACTCGTAATGCTCGTGGGTCGCGTTAGATGACAGAGTATACATGACACCTCCGTTGTTCCAGCGGTTAGAGCCCACTCTTATGCGGAGTTCACTGTAATACAGATGAAATTTAAAAACTTTAATAGAAATAAACTTATGTTCCTTCGCTGAAATGACAGATAGTAAAATTATCATCATCACCAGCCTATTAATGTCCCCGCTGATAGGGCACAGCCCTCCCATATGGATGGAACAGGGAGATTGGGCCATAACCTACCAAGCGGACCCTGTGCGGTTTGGTGGTTACTAACTACAGCGATGCAGCTGGGACCAACAGCTTAACATTTCTTCCAAAGAGATTTATATAAAGAATAAATTTTTAGAAACCCATCTGGGGGCCAATCGCCTAACGGAAATGCTTTGGAAAACGCTAACGCTTACGATTTTATTTTGTTATTCCTAGCCGCCTGAGGTATTCAAATGCCTCGCGCTCTTTCTTTTTCTTTTGCATTGGTAATAACAATATTAAAAAAAATGAGCGTGAGGTATTCGAAAACCTCAGGCGGCTAGAAATAACAATATAAAATCGTAAGCGTTAGCGTTTCCCAAAGCATTTCCGTTAGGCGATTGGCCCCCTGATGACTAGTCATTGTGAAATGTGCTTAAAATCCACGATCGCAGGACGAAAACGCTACACTTGCACCATTGAGCTCCTCCTGAGATAGAGAATGAAATAGGCACTACTTAATATGAGGCGCGGGACACACGGAAAAGACGTAAAACGCATACGCGGCGCGGTTATATGTCTCTTCCGCATCCTTTTCATACAAAACGTAAAGAAGCGTCGCGTTGCATAATATAAAGAAAAGACAGGACGCGAACACGACGCGCCCTGTCAGCGTCTCAAGTCTTTTCTTTGTGCCCGACGCCTAAGGTAGTGCAAATTAATTTGCTGGGACTTGAAAAATGTCGAAGCACGCAAGTAGTTTTCAAACCAACCTGCTGAGGGATCCGAATCTGAATACGGCAACGATGCAGTGGGCGGCAGTGAGGACGGTCCTCTGGGTGAGTATGGAACCTCCGCAAATCAGATTCCTGACTCGCATCCCGGTACACATGGACACCATGTGTGGGTGGGAGCCTTCAGGGGCTAAGATTCCCCCCACGATGCGGCCCTGGGCATTCAAATCCAAATGCTCGAAGAACTGCGACAAATCCGTATCGGGAGTCGGCAGAGCTGTGAACGTATATTTTCTTTATATTACATTTCTTTGTCGTACTATTCGCAAGTGGATTTCTTTGCCCGCGCACGTTTTTCGCCGCCCTAGCCGAGTTTAGGAGAACAGAACTCGATACCCACTACTAAATCCGCGCAATCCAATTGCCCATTTAAGGTGTCGAACAGAAGGCACATGTCAAGCATTACCTTTCATCGTTTAGTAAAAATACAAAAACTTTATCACAGTTAATAATAAAACTTACCTAGACATCCCATTACGATAGTGAAGAAAACAATGCCAGATTTGAATGCCATGCCGGCGGTGCCCAAATCTTTGAAAATTATAACGATTAAACGTATTCACATATATACATTACTTTTATCTTGCTTTACTTTAAATGATGATAATTCATCAATATGCTCAGATATCTACTATAAGATATCTATAAGATACTAGATTAATCATATTATTTAATCGGCAATACTAATCGTCCAAATAGTAGGTAATATTTACCTACTATTTGGTTATTAAGGTTAGGATACTTAATAAAGGTATATTTATTTAGGTTAGGATACTATAATCAGACTATGTATATTATTGTTAGATATGTATTTATGCATGTATATATTTGTGTGTACCTATTATATATGTTGCTATAATGTATATTTATATATGTATGTATAAGTAATAAATGCTTTTTAATGTTTTCTCTGTTCGTTGTCTGCCGTTTCATTTTCTCTGCACCTTCTTTCCGGTTGACTGGTAGAGAATGCCATACTGGCATTAAGTCCGCCATTTGCATTGTAAAGGCAATAAAGGTTAAATAAATAAAAATAAAATAAATAATGTCGGTCGGATTTTCCTTGTTTTCTTAAGTATTTAATACTTTATTTGTACAACTCCCGGCAGCCTGCTATTCTTGATCACTATTAGATTTATTCTCCATCCAACAGCAAAATGGAACCGACAGCCAACTCGCAGACAATATTTCCTTTTTTTTTTCATTTTTATATTCAGAAATATTTAATAGTTTTTGGTAACATCTAAAGAATTTATTATTAATGCACTTATGTAAGAATTATTTTAAAAGTATTTATTAAAACATTGTTATATTGTAATATTACGTTTTTTGATTATGTAACTAATTTATAAAATTCTCGTGTCACGGTGTGCGTAATAATTGAACTACTCCGAAACGGCTCGACCGATTTTCGTGAAATTTTATATGCATATTTAGTAGGTCTGAGAATCGGACATCTATTTTACATCCCCCTAAATGTTAAGGGTCGTCCAATTTTTTTAATGATACATCATACAAAAATACGTACAACCCTAAATATCACCCTTCTACCACCAACCCCTATTTTTTTATGGCAGTACGCAGTTCGCTGGGACAGCTAGTATTATATATTTTTTCTTTTTAAAGTCTCTTCACATATTTACATAAAAAGATAACTGTAATTATTTTACACTTCACTTAGTTCAATTTATTTCTTTACGGATTTTTTCTTACATTATAAATACTTACTGATAAAAACACTGGCATTGATGTTCGGAGTTGGCGGTTCGGAGCGTTAAATAAAGCAACTGACTGCGATTAAGGCGTTTTGCAGACGCCGGGGCGGGGCGGGCATTTTGTCCGCGAAGCAATAAAAACCGCGTCTGCCCGTCGATGTCTGCGGCTGCCCGCGCCGCGTACACAAAGCACACGACGGGCAGAGGCGGTCAGTTCAGGACGTTCGTTCTAGTGAATAGTCCATCACTAAAAAGCGCGTGGCGCGGACTGAGCTAGCCGCCCCGCGCCGCCGTCTGCGTTACTGAATATAAACTGGTTTGTATGATCCACGGCGGATAGCCGCGGACATGCCGCGCCGCTAGTGCCCGCCGGGCACCTGCGGCGCGGTCTTTTTGCTTTCTGTGTGCGTTTGTAATATAGGATTCACTTTGTGCTATCGTTCGCAGCGAAATTGACCAGCCCGCCCCGCCCCGTCGTCTGCAAAGCGCCTAAAGAGAGCATTTATTTGATATGCAAAGCTATATATATTAAGAGAGATGTGTGTGTGCATATGTCTAGTTCACACACTACAAAACAAAGTCCAAAGAAACCGTTTTTTGCACAAGATAAATTTTATATAAGTAGTTAGATAAGCAGTCCATATAATGTATTGTGAACACCATAAAGTATAGTTAGTCATAACCATCAGATTTCCTAGCTAGGTATCTTAAAGAAATATAGTAAACGAGTTAAACAAAATGTGTTTTATTCAGGTAAAACAGCAACATCAAATGTTGATCAAACACTTATAACAATTTACATTTCAGTACCAATACACTCGAGTCTATTAAAATGTTGCTAATACATACATATTTCTTTCTATTGTGTGCTAGGGAATATTTACCACACTTTTGATTGTTAATGATTTTTAAATATTTTCGACGAAAAGCTTTAGGTAACACATTGTTTAAGTACATACATTTTAGTAAGCGTGTGACTCGATTAGTGAATATGTGAGGAATCATTTTCCCTTTACGTCAGATGTACCATTGATCAGGACCATTGTGTCAAAAGTACCATCATTGGTATTTGAGCCAGTAAACACGGGAGGAATATATTGTATATATTTAAATGGAAATAGTGATGTAAAAACATTTTTACGTCAGTAGTACTAGCAATGGTACTTTAGCGAATAAACACAAGGGGGCGGTTATTTTGTATTTCTTAAGGGTACTAGTGACGTTTAAGTACGTCAGTAGCACCATCAATGGTCCTTCTGACGTGAAGGGATTATTTTGAATAATTAACTTACGCTTACTCAAGTAAGGAGCTCAAATATCAACATTTTTACTAACAGCGATAGGTGATTTATGGCGAACAAGAGACATATTATCAACTTATGAACAATTTTCGATTTTGAAAATCGATATTTTCAAAGTTCCCTTTTCTTTGAGCAAATTGTGTGACATCTCTTAATTTTATTAAATATTATAGCTTAGACACTTTTAGAATTTAATTTAAGATCGGCAGTATACATTAACAATAAGCTTTACAATGGTATATACTTCGCTTCTGTACAAAGAACTTGGTATCTGTACCAACCCCCCATACAAAGTGGTTGTTCTCCTTTGTTAAAATAGTCATTATACCAAGTTACATCAGAAGCAACAAATAATTAAATGTAAAAGGTATTTAAGTATAGTTGAACTACTCAGTTTTAATATAGGTAGATTACACTGTATTAGCATTCTTTGAACTTGCTTTTTTTTTAAAGTAACGTTTTTATAATATGTACATAGTCGAATTCCGCGTCTGTCCGGTCATCCATTTTCCTAAACAGTGCAACGGAGTTTTATGCGGTTTTTAACATCAATATTATAATTATTCACAGTATTATATACAATATGTAATACAATCCAGCGAAAGATCACTGGGTCATTATGAATGCATGTTAATTAGTAGGTAACTCAATGTGGCATTTAACAGATGAACACTTTTTTAGTAAAAATAAAACCTCAAATTTGATCTCGTCTCATCTAGGTACGTATAAGAAGAAAAAAACCGGCCAAGTGCGAGTTGGACTCGCGCCACCGAGGGTTCCGTACAAACCTGAATTTCCTAAAATATTTTTTATTATATGATGTAACTAAAAATTGACGGATTTCGCATATTTTCCTTTATCTGTACTATAAGACGTAACTTCGTACCAAAGGGCAATGGTCAAAACACACCCAGCTCCGCCATCAGTGTAATTAGTATTAATCGATAGATCTATGAAAAACTAGCCTTTTTTTATTATGACACCGTAAAAAATATCCTGGGAGTCAAATGATATGACACCGTAAAGAAAATCCTGGTACCTAGTCAAAAGATATGACACATGGGCATATTTAAGTATCTAAATAAATTCATTTTATAGTACGTTTTTTATTTTATTAGTAACCATAATAATATGCCATATCGTATTAAACAATCAGATATACAAGAAATCCTGCCGATCCATCCTGCGCTTGCACTTACTGAGCCACTTCAAAACGGTTTACGCGGGTTGGGGTAAGGACTTGCAGGTGCAAATAGTCAACTCGTCTTACTTCGTTGTGATTATGCGCTCCCTGTCACTTGATTGATTTTTATCTAACACGCTTTGGACATTGGAACACAATTATCTGTTTTGTCAAACCCTTGAACCTTGTGAAGTACTCCCATAATACCTGAGCCCCCTATGTAGTGTCGAACTAACTAAATTAATTCCCTTGTTTCACTAATGTTCGTTCGTCATAGTCCTTGTACCTATTTAACTTAAAATAACTAAAGACTCCCGGGCTGGAATTTGATGCGCTTTGGCACAAATGATCATGACTATATTACCTTTCAAGCAAATGTAGTTTAAGTCGTGGCGGACGTGGGTGCAGCGTCCATACATTTTTGCTCAATGTCCTTTCAAGATTCTAAGTTCACGGGACGGAAGTACCCTGTAGATTTTGATTCCCGAACGTTTCGAAAATTTGCGGCATAAACAGCTGTATCTTTTGATTGCTTTGGCTTAGAAGTTTGACTTTTTACAGCTTCAAGGGACAGTAGACTTGAGTATTAGATATGAATTTCAGTTTGATATCTTACGGTGTCCTGAGAAAAACGTCTTGACAGACGGACGGACGAACGGACAGACAACAAAGTGATCCTATAAGGGTTCCGTTTTTTCCTTTTGAGGTACGGAACCCTAAAAGACTTACTTTTCTATCAGTCAACACCAGTCATGTACGCAATCGCCGTGGCATTGCGAACGGGTCACATACCCGCAAGACAAAGACCTCAATCATCTAAGCAAAGTCTCTATTTTACTTAAAGCATCCACACTCAAATTGTATCTTTCCAAGTCCAAAATTACTCCCAATTCATTGTCACTAGAAACACTTCTCAAAACACCCTTAGGTAAATCGTGAAACACTAAATAAGAACTGAGAATCTTTCTCATATCTTCGTCGGAAGAACTAATTTTTCTGCTGCTGGGTAAACCGAGATATTTTCGCAAATAAGGTATAATTTTAATCTCCCACCCATCGAATATGTTGCAAACGCGCTGTTTTATGGCTAGTGTAAATTCTGTGGATATGAGAGGCTCGTTTTGTACGTCTTGCCCGTCAACTTTCATTTCGTCCAATATTCGTCGGTTGTGGCTCTCGATTTGAGATAGCAGCATTTTGATTTGCCACATATGGTACGTCGAGGGATCTGTCTTCATGGTTTTCACTATCTGAAATTTAAGATTATATCTTGAGATTTTGATTTGAGAGTTGAGTTAAAATGGTAACTTTTGGTAGGATGATAAACACGTATTTCTGATGGATTAAGACAAAAGATAAAGTAGTAGTATATTTCATTTATAACCCCTTTTAATTACATACTTTGAAACAATACATTATTAAATTTAAAGTGTACTTAATATAAATGAGCAGTGTGATAAGAAAACAATAATATTTATTAAGATATTTTTACCATATGCCCATGAGGAACAGAGACGGCAGAAAATCAAAATATAGTAATCACTAGCACCTTAGTCTCCGAATTTATTGCAAATTAAAGAAAGTGACAATATGGTTACAAATTAGCAACAACAACTTAAACCCAATAAATCCCAACTATATCAATATAGTATTTTCTATAAACTCTCTGTCTCGTTCTTACAGCCCTAAGACAACAGTAGCAATATAATTTGTAATTCTGTTTGTTTGAAGTTTAATTACTAATGTTTATAAAACATATATTTTACCTTTAAGAACGTAGTCCATATAGGCAAAGCGCACAATATATCTTTGACGACGCACTCATATGTCACCATGCTCAATCCTTGAATATGTTCCTGCTCTTCCTTACTGTACTTTCTGCACAAACACTGTTTACTTATAAACGGTTCATTTTTCACGCCCTTCCTCTTTTTATTGATCAATAAGCAGTCGGCACAAATATTTGCGCCGCCAACATTCGCGTCTTTAGACAAGTAGTGCTTGACGAAGTTTCTCACTTTGTCGTCGTTTGTGAATAATTCTATATTGTCGGGTGCTGCAGACCAAATGTTGGTCTTGTCTAGGGTTAAAGTTTGGGCCAATATTGTGAGGAAACCTTGCGGATCGTCCAAATATGATAGACAACCTGCGCGTTGCTTTATATCTATGCACCACGTGTACTCCAGTAAAATTCTGCAAGAGAATGATTCAAACTGTTGATACAACTTACGCCATTATGACACAAGACATTCTATCACTTTCGTACATAATCTCTGATGCCTGCATTTCACATGGCTATTCGTATTTGCTATTTGCAATTTTGATAGCAGGTTGTTTGTAAAAAATTCAATATTGAAATATTGAGATTGATTTACATCAATCAAATGGGTGGATTTGTAAGTTTTCAAAAAGCAAAAAGGAATAGCCATTTGAAGTGCCGGCGTGATAGGTGTTTCTTGTTGGCGCTAGTTTTAATATTGATATATTAATATAAATATTTATATCCGGTGATATTTCAAATATATTGCAAATGAGAACGCGTCTTTATTTTATTATAATTCAACACAGTAGTAGTCGAAAAATTAACAATGTGGCGTACAAAATGTGAGAAAGAAATATCGATCAAAATGGCTTCTAGTTTAGGGATCGTTCAAGTATTACGTAACGCAATTTGGGGGGAGGGGGGGTCTTGTAAAACGTTACGTTGCATTACAGGGGCGGGAGGGGGGTTCGATCAACGCGTTACGTAACATTAAAATCTCCCAAGTTGGCAACCCTTTTATTTATTTATTTATTTTTAAACTTTATTGACCAAAATACAATAGAATGGTACAAAAGGCGGACTTAATGCTAATAGCATTCTCTCCTAGTCAACCTTTGGGAAAAAATAAAAACGCGAACGGCGGTATAAAGCTAAATATACACATAAATATTGAAATAATAAATCATATTAAAAATATATACGAATTAACATAGATACATATATAAATACATACTACTTACGAAAGGAATACACATACATACATACATTCCACAATTATATTTAAATATATATATACACATAACTATACACACGATGATGATTAATAAAGTGACTCTTTATTCTGAAGCAGATGAGTGCGAACATTCCTTTTCGTTTATGATTTGCCAAAGTTTAAAAATTGCATTGCTAAAGTTAAAAGTAAACATGTTATTTTATTGAAAGAAATTATATGTTTAAAGAAAAGCTAAAATAGTAAAATGCATGAAAGTACAATGGTGGATGAAGCCAAGAAATGACATAGCCAAGACAGGAAAACGGCGAAATTAAATGTTAGATTCTACTTATCTTAAGAAAAGAGTTTATAAGGACTTTGAGCAAATTTAATATAGTATATAGGCAAATGTTTATTAAATAATGTGTGATTATTTATTAAATAAATAAATGTATCAATTAAATACGCATGTATTGAGAATTAGCAATCGATTGATTTAATTATAAATTACTACAGCAAACGCGATTAAAACAAGTAATTTAGCGACCGGTAGTTTGCGCAACATAGTTGTGATATTTGGGTAAAACATCGTCAGTTGGGTGTAACGTAACGTTTATGGGGGGGAAAATCTTCAAAATTTGCGTTAAGTAAGTAATACTGGAACGCTCCCTTAACTTTAATCTCTTTCGTTTGTCAAGAACAGATGAAACAATATAGCACAATGCTTGTGTAATTTATATACATTCAAAATTAAAATAGTGACAATATACCATATTGACTTCATATTCTGTGCCCTTAGTATATATAGCAGAATTACGATCTTATGTCTATATACATAAAGTACAAATACTCACTTCAATTGATCCCAGTTCCGGTCCCGCTGGAATGTGATTGGCCAATACCTGTCGTCGTTTATTTTCACCTCCTTTAGTGTGTCGAGTTCAGGTATAATGCAGGGCGCTTTCATTTCCTTCACTATACCTTGCAAGTCTATAACCTAACCAAACAGTCAGTATTTATGTTGAATAATACGTACCTACCTAATTACTTTTTCTAATAAGGCCTATCACATGTGTCTGCTGGGGCATTGACCGCAAGTTAATTTATACATTTGAAACCAACGAATTATAAATGATATTGCATACAATCTGTGCTAAAAAGTGGTTCCACTCAAACTGCGACCAAGTGGGAGGGACGAATAAATGCGATCAACACTCCAATCATGGGATTGGTTGGGATTTCCGTTTAACATTATCTTACCCAATGAATGGATAGTCGAATTCATTTATATATATTTGATTTGTCAAATTACTTTGTTTTCTCTATGTGTGTGTCGTATTAGTATGAAGTTTAGTTATATAAGTTAGGATTAGGAACCACGTTTTAGCGACTTTTGTTAAGAGAGTAATGCTTCCATAAATTAATTAATGACTCATCATCATCATCATCAGCCTATTAATGTCCCCACTGCTGGGGCACAGGCCTTCCCTATGGATGGAATAGGGAGATTAGGCCATGACCCACTACGCGGGCCCAGTGCGGATTGGTGGGTGCTAACGACTGCAGATGCAGCCGGGACCAACGGCTTAACGTGCTTTCCGAAGCACGGCGGAGCTCGAGATAGTAATTTTTGGTCACCCATCCAATGACCGACCACTGCGAAAGTTGCTTAAGTTCAACGATCGCAGCCGAACGCGCTAACCACTTGCACCATCGAGCTCCTCATTAATGACTTAATTATTTAAAATAATTAATGACTTAATAAATTATATTAATAATAGTACAGTAAATACAAATGTAACAATATTTGCCGACGATACTATTGCTATAATTACTGGGGACAGTATCGAAGACTTGAATATAAGTATTGGTAGCGCATTATCAGCTTTTAATTTCTGGATTAAAGTCAACGATCTTTTATTGAATACTAATAAAACTAATGTACTGTTATTTAGAAATACAGCAAAAAATAAAGAAAGTTTAAATGACACCTTTAATAAGACTCGGTAAAGTTCTTGGGAATTTTTATTGACTCGGATCTTAACTGGAGAATAGAATTAAATAAAATTGAGAGTAAATAAGTTCAGCTTGTTATGCTTTGCGAAGTCTGCGTGATGTATTAATAAACTAAAAATAATGGAACAACTAAAAATTGTATACCATGCATTGGTGGAGTCTGACATAAGGTACAGTAACTATAATTCCGCGTATTCCACAATGGGAATCTTGTAGAGATCATTTTAAGAATTTAAAAATTTTGACTGTCTCTAGCCTTCGTATTTATGAATTGTTGTCTTATATGATTAAGGCTCCTGAAAAATATGAAATGTCGCAGGATACGGTTAAACGCTTACAGACGCGCAGGAAAGATTTGACAAGTTCAGTGGTACCTAGATTGAACGTGTCTCCCACAGTGTTAGATATCAAGCGGTTTACTTATATAATCGTTTACCCAGCTATTTGAAATCAATTGTACAAATTAATTCATTTCGTAATCGTTTAAAAACCTTCTTGTTGGAAAAATGTTTTATTAGTGTTGAGGAATTTGTTACACATAGGTTATAAGTTTGACATTTTGATTTTACATTATTATAATTTTATTTTACAATATTGTTGATTATTTATAAAAAAATGATTTTTTATTATTGACATTTATATATTTAGTAATTAGTCAGATTATAATTGAATTTTTTTAATCAATTTAATTTATTTAAGAAAGTGTAATATTCTAAAATTCTCATAACTATAATTATGCAATGTTATTGATTATTATTATTATACTGATTTGGTTTTTATATTATTGACATTTATATTTCAGTTATTGGTCGGAGTATTCTATTTTATCAATTGAATATTTTTATCAATGTACCAAAATTTGTACTTCCAACACAACGTAATATTATTAAGGAATAAATATATAAATTCCATATCATTTCTAATTCGTTGTTCCAAACACATTTTTATTCAGTTAAATGTTAGCAAAAGTAGCTGTACTTTGTAAATAATTTTGATAAAATCTTAAGGTAGTTATCGTGTACAACAATTGAAATAATAATGGGTTTGAAATGTCAATTTCTACTTAAAGTTCATATTAAATTGCTATATATAACTTTGTAGAAGGTTGGATCGTGGAATTTATTGAGTCGTAGAATATAAAGGTTTATTAAAAGAAAAATTGAGACTTACTAACAAAGTCATATCTGACTTTCTAATTTATTCTAGAAGCTATCAACTTTATGCTTTATATTGACGTCATTTTAATGACAAATCAACTGTATTTATTTAAAATATCAATTAAGTATAAAGAAATTGTAATAACCTGTATGTGGGCATAACATAGTTTTCCAGTGGTGAGATCCCGTGGCAATATTAGCCTAGTCTCCACGGCTAATACGTAAAGATGCCTGAATGCTTGTAGATGGTATCTGCAACAAAATAAAATACATGTAAGACGAAGAATTATAAATACGAGAATAATTAAATATAAAGGAACTAGCGTTTTTAAAATAAAGATGCTGTATAATGAGATATAGCAATTACTACGCTACATTAGGAAAAACGAATATATAGGGTTAATTTTTAAACACCACGACCCTCTTAGGGGGTGATTCTACCCATCAACAGGAACAACTTTTATTACGGGACCAACTCTGAAATCGCTGAAAAAACTGCTGTTTCATACATTTCGGTCAATTAGCTGATGCACTTTTGTATGAAACACCAATTTTTTTTCGCGATTTCAGCGTTGGTGCCATTATAAAAGTTGTTCCTGTTGATGGGTAGAACCACACCCTAAGAGGTTGTTGGTCATTTAAAATTAACCCTGTATAGGCCTGCTGTTATATTGGATAGGATGGCCAGGAATGCGTAAATTACAGCCCGCGGGCGACCTCCGGCCCTCTAACGCGACGCGTGGCCATGCGGCCTATTCGCTAATTTTTTTGACATTTACGGTGTGAAAATGAAGAGAAAAATGCAGAGCCATCGATGCCTTTCAGAACAAGTATCTTAGTGGCGTTCTAACAAAGCAGTAGTGGATCACTAAGTAGCTCGGTGATTATCACTTCCATCTATCTGTCAAAAGCAGATAAAAATTGGCCCGCCATAGTTTCTGGTCAGTAGTCAATATTGGCACGCTTAATTAAAGAGTTTGCCCATCCCTGGGATAGACAGTAAAATATTCATCAATGTATTGGTTAGACAATAAATTATTTAATGGCTTGTCCACCACACTAAAACTTTATTAAAAGTCTTCTAGAAAGCGCTAATAGAACCACATCAAATTACCACAAACAGTAAAATTTTCACAATAGACTGTGAACCTTAAACAAACACAGATGAAGCTCAAAGTCTTCAGGTGAAATTTGGCAATTTTATAGTAACTTGGTCAGTGGCTATCTACCCATTATCGTACCTATTATCTTCACTGTGCGTAGGGAATTTGGGAAAGAATGCAGCTAACAAAGCTGCTATGGCCGTCGGCGTTGTGCTCAGTGTAGCTCTGCCTTCTCCGAGAAACAGTAGTCCTATGGTACAATGTACTGCCATCTGAGGATTGAAAAAGTTTAATATGTGTCAAGCGCATTGTGATGTAAACTTTCGAGAAAGAGTAGCAAATTATTACTATTGATTTAACCGTATGAGTGTATATTCTTCGTTTACCTTAATCTTTTACTGAAAAGATATATTTCATCTGACTGCGGAAAGTGTATATTAAACTCAGAAAGTATGACACAACGTTGTGTCATACAACACATCCACATTTTAATGTTAATAAATAAAACTACATATAAGCCTATATACAATTATTATCCTTTACCAAAACAAAAATACAAGGCTGTATGGACTAAGCATTCTTTGCCTTCACTTAATGGGATAATTCTATTAGAAAAATATAATATTTAATTACCTGTCCACCGTGAGTGAGTGCGGGTGCAGACGGGGCTACAGGTGCGGAGGGGACTCGCGCTCTGAGCCTTCGACAAAGACGCAGGACGTCAAGATCACCGCGACCCGCCATTATCTAATCAATTCAATGAAAACCTACATGACAATCTTACTTAATTTATATATCTAATCGTAAATTCGAAACAACTATCTGCGTCGCTGCGAACTGAAAGTAATGTGTCTCACAGACAGACGCGGCGGGATGGGGCTGCCAGTTGTATTAGCTTGCAATGTAAGCGAATGTTCAAACACGAGCGACCAATAAGGGCTGGTCGCGGCCGCAGGCAGCCTCTGGCTGTGAGAACCATTAAACAGGAACGCAGATTGTTGCTGACCTTTTTGATAGATTTAGTTTCTATATTTTTTTTAAGAATTAACATATTTATTTATCAAAATTGGTTGTGTTCTCGTTATGTTTGTGTGTATCATCTGTTTTTAATATAATTTTGTACTAATATAAACTTTAAAATAGTATAAATAAACCCATTGCGTCCGGAATCTTAGCCTTCATTTCCCATCCCACTAGCTTTGTTTTACGAATTGTTAATAGGGTACTTTCCAAATATTTGAAAACTGCTTATATTTAAAGATTGGGACAAACGATTTAACAGAAAAATAAAAATAAATTAATTAATGTCTTTTTTTCTCCATTAAACCTATGAAAGTTGAATTTATTTTTAATGGTTTTGAATTTACCGCCAAAACGCTCGGTTCGATAACGTCTACTGTGTGACGTCAACTTTGTGTATGCGTAATAATCTGAAAGTCAAATTATTAACTTTATTACGTTCGGGATAAATTTATAGTATAATTAATACTTACACAAAAAAAATGTTTCTAAAATTCTGAAGCACAGAAATATGAGTTTTGAGCATTAAGAAATAATCAATGATATTAGTATTGAATATAACTAAGTTTTGTAATAAATTCAGTCAGTTAAACATTATCATTCAATCTGTTTTCAGCAAACATCCGTATGGCTCCCATCAGGAAATACAATAATATGCAGTGCTCACTTCATTGGCAACAAAAAATAAAATATCCTTTACATCCGTTCTCTCCGGAACCCATACTTTATAACGTTTATCATATTCAAAAATATTATAGTTGAAGAGATACTTTTGTTTATATAATTCAAAGCACGATGACAGGTCTGATAAGTTTCCTTTATTGTCGACAAAAGAGACAATCTTTTGTCGATTTAGTGCATTATAAGACGTTTAAGTAACTTTTTTGTAGAATCCAAATGTAAAATCATAAAATGCTTTTGACTTTAGCTAAACGTCGTCATATTTCCAGCTTTACTCACCATACCCGCTGACAACAGACAGACGCACAGACAAGCTTCTAGCGTAGATCGGCCGGCTAATTCCGCTACACTCTTTCCGCCTAGTGCTAGGAACAGTCTCGCGTAATGTAAGACTGCATCTTTAGCGTCTTCATCGCCGGAGCCGGCGAATCGAAGCCCCACGGAGAAGCAAGCCCCGGCTATTATGTTGCAATATGCTTGACTACGAGTGAAATAAAGAAAAAGCATTTTAGGCACTTTAGGTCGTTGGTCCCGGCTGCATCTGTCTGCAGCCGCATGCACCCACCACTTCGCACTGTGCCCGCGTGGTAATGAACACTTGAATGGAAATATAGCGAAATTTATTGTTTTTTTTTAACTTTATTGAAGTTCGTTTTTTTTATTAAGTTAAAGATTCGCATCTTTAATAGGATCCATACTTTACAGTCTTGCAACCACGAAGCCTGTAAGTATAGGATCCGAAGCGTCAAGACAAAAGGGTATTTGACAGTATTAAAAATAAAGTGCTAAATGTTAGCATCTGTATTTAGAATGAATATCGGCAGGGGTTTTTACTATTATTACAGAAAAAACATTCATAATTTTACTAAAACAGCACAAAAAAGATAATAGTTTTCATATCTATTGTCACGCGATTGAAAACGCCTGGGATTGGCGGAGCCCAAAATGACGTCACATACTAGTAAACTTCCGGTCAAAGTGGCATTACATTGTATCGTTTGACGTTTTAATGACAGTCGTGTGACGTCACACACCAGTGAGACGCCATATTGCCCAGAGAAACGTTTTCGCGGCAAGTTGAAAATTGAGTTATTGATTTAGTTATTTTTACTAAATACACAATATTAATTCCTAATACATAAGGAATATCCAACTTTTTATGGACTCCATAAACTGTAGTAAGTATCGTGAGATCGTTTTCCAAAACTTGTCAAATACCCTATTAAAAGAAATTCAAATTTTAGAGGCGTTGCAATAAAGTTTCACTTTAATGAAAACGCGGTCATGTCTGTTCGAAAAGTGTTTTATTAAAAAATTAGGTATTTATTATTTGATTGAAATTGAAAGTTTAGATACATAACAAATCTTTAATTGTCTTCACTGGCTGCTACTCATTTGATAAGATGCTAAAACTGGCTATTGGGAATGCATTTAAAACATAATTTAAGTGTTTAAAAACTTTTAATGTTGGTGCTATTCAAGTATCTGAAGGCTACGGTATAGTAATATTACGAAGACTAAGAGATTTTACTCACTTCATAGCTTCGTAGTCAATGTGGTCTTCGGTAGGTTTCACAAAACAGTACGGTTTTATCGTAGAAGGCACTTGATCTTCAATCCATTCCTCGCTTGCTTCTATACTGTCCCACAACACTAATCCTATAGGGAATATTCGAATTTATGTATTTAAGTAAAGTTTCTTCCTAATTTGGTATATCTACTTCGCTTCTCACTAGACATTATAATAGGTTGAGGAAAAAGTCTTTTCGCATCATAGTATGTATGAACTTGTAATAAGGCCACAAAAAGTCCACTTGGTAAGCCATAGTCGGAGCTTATACCAAGCCTAGCACAAAATGTACTCTATCCCTAGACTATTTTGTTATGTATACAATATAATATTCACCTCTAGATATAATCCTCAGCATGAGTAGATCTGGCCTCACAAAGTCCAATTGGTAAGCAGTAGTCGGGGCTTGAAGCCAACCCGCTAAAGCCGCGTTATTAGATCTCAGGTATATTAAACCTAGAGCAACTGTAGCACCGGGTGAAGTTACGTCTAGATTTACAGTTTGACCTTCACGGATGGCAAACGAGCCTTGCTTGTATTTCTCTTTCTGGGCACCTGGTAAGGCAAAATGAACAACATCTTAAGTTTCATTATTACCATTATAGAAAGATTTAATATATGATTGGAACAAAGAACAATATCTTTAGTTTTATTATTAAGATTATTGTACAAATCTATACACGATATCTGTACCCTTAGCACGAATCAATATCGAATTTGAATAGTTTGCGAATGCGAAATGTCATTGTCAAATTTTATATGGAAACTTGAACAGCAGCGCCGTAACGGACGTAACGAGAACTAAAAATCAGTACACATTTGATAATGACATTTCGCACTCTAACGAAAAACAAACTATACGAATTTAATATTGCTTCGTGCTAAGGGTATTGTTATCATTCTACTATACATAGAAACACTAGCGAACCGTACCGGCATTGCACGGGTGAGCTATATTTGAACGCAATAAAAAATAGCTAATAAAATAATGTAACTCAGAAATACTGTAGAATTCTTTTAGCAAGTAATCCTTTCTAATGGCGCATGTTTTTTTACCAAATGTTTGTTCTTACCTAATAAATTGTAATTTTCTGTTTATATGTTCAATGTATTGTGTAACACACCTTAAATAAATAATAATAATTATAGTTAGTTGGTACTTTATAATAAATTACTCACCAGTAAGCGGGTGTTTATCTCGCCCCAGCATATAAGTCCGCAGCCTTTGCGCGATATTATCGCACTAGCACCGGCGCGTACGCAAACTAAACCTAGGGCAAGCCCAGCGGCAAACGCGTAGCCTTCTCTCTCTACGCAGTTCTCCATTTCAAGGCCTGGAGGTTTACTTACCTTTCGATAAAGCACGTAGCAAGGTATACTTAGTAGTTTTATGATAAATTACTCACCAGTAAGCGGGTGTTTGTCTCCCCCCAGCATATAAGTCCGCAGCCTTTGCGCGATATGATCGGGCGCACTAGCACCGGCGCGTACGCAAACTAAACCTAGGGCAAGCCCAGCGGCTAACGCGTAGCCTTCTCTCTCTACGCAGTTCTCCATTTCGGGGCCTGGAGGTTTACCTGCGAAACGATATAGTGTGTTACATAAACGGAACGAACAGGGGCCCAATTCTCGCGGCGTAGATATTATATCGGCTTCGAGATAATATCGAAAGTAGGGATATCTATTAAAAATATCTACTGATGGTAAAAAATGCTATTCTCGTGGATTTTCGATATTCCAATGATATTATATCTATCGTAGATATTCTTTCACTGCCGAATGCGTTCCGTTTTTCTCGATTAAGTCAACATCATAGTCTATATAAAATAATAATAAATTAGAGCAGAATTTTACAAGCAACAAAATGATATTTTATGAATTCCATTCATATTAAATATGAGTATACATTTTTTGAGTATAAGAAATCTCAACTTTACCTAAATTGTATGCGTTTATAATTTCAACGTTAAGTATAATGAAACGTCAATATTATTTAAGATTCTCCCTTTTCAGGGAAGGCAAAGGGAACAATGCCCATAAAGCCTAGTCTTTAGTTATATTAATCTTCTTTTTTTTACATTCGAATGTCGGTGTGACGCATTCTAATGTTTCTTGGAGTGTTTGGCACGAAATTTATGGAGTTGGCTTTTTCTCTAAGCTTCTGTGAGGTATTCAACACTACAATAAAGTTCTCGAGTCCACTTAACCGGAATAGCGTATATTTTAAAGATTCCACTAATTCTTCAGTTGCGCAGACGGTTGTAACACCAAATCACACCAATTTTATTTCACAATATCCACTATGAACGAATTTTAGAATAATTAAAATAAGATGCCAACCGCACTCGCAGAAATCCCGCCAAAACTCCGTATCGTCAATAAGAAAATGGTGTCGATTCTGGCATGATTCTCTAAACCTAAACGTAAATTTGACAACAGTGTATCCTTGTCATTCTCCATACAGAATGAAAAGTAGAGACTGATGTTAAATTTAGTTCTAAGTTTAGAGAAATGGTCAGAATCGATACCAATGTCATTCATAACTTTAAAGATTTCTAACCAAATTTTTGTTTAAACGTAATTTTTTTATGAAGTCGGCGTCCCTCATTTCAAATGGGCCCTCTTGCTCTCACAACGGCGGTGCCTTAGCACAGCAGCAGCAATCACGTCATTTATTAAATCATTGACGAAAACATGAATCAACTCATCCATCGTTAATATAAACTGGTGTCGATTCTGGCACGATTCTCTAAATCTAAACTTAAACTTGACAACAGTGTTTCCTTGTCATTCTCTATACAGAATGAAAAAGAGAGACTGATATTAAATTTATTTTTAAGTTTAGAGAATCACGCCAGAATCGACACCATTATTTACCTACTTCTTTATTTACTAATTATTTATGAAGGCAGTTAACAACGTCTTGAGGTAACAATAATTGGCAAAGACACACGACAACACAATAAATAATAGGTAAAAAAAGTGGAAATAATAAGATTGACATGCCAAGATCCATAGATATTTATATATCGAAGGCTCTTTACCAGTCGATGTATGTCTACTGATCATCCGTAGATAAATATCTATTGCGACATGGTGAGAATAGGGCAAAAAGGTTTTCCTTCGATAAAAGCCAGATCATTCGATATATATCGAAGGTGATATAATATCTATGCCGCGAGAATTGGGCCCCTGGTACTTATAGTTGATTATAATCACACTAATATTATAAAGACGAAAGTTTGTGAGTGTGCATGTCTGTTACTTCTTCACATCTAAAAGACTGGAGCGATTTTAATATAATTTGGTATGGAGTCAGCTGACACCCTGGATTAACACATAGGGTACTGCGGGAAAACATCCCTAATAAACCGCGGATAACACCGCGGGGCACAGCTAGCATTTTATAAAGCAGCAGTAATAAGCAACAAGACCAAGTAGAAATGACTAAAATTGAATAATTAAAAAAATTCCCGTATAACAGAATACAATAATATAAACAATAAACAAGGAAAAAATGTTTGTTTCTGTATAAATTGTAGTTTCAATAACAAAGAGACTCATGATACATACGTAAAATATTGGACAAAAACAATAATTACGATTAATATTGCAATAACAAAGCTGGAATTTTTTTTTATCTTTAAACTGTTAAAACCAAAGTTTAAAATCGATTGAAAAGTTATGAGAATACAGATAGATTTGTAATTTACTTGTATAAAAATATTTTTATCGTTCTCTTAAATTTTAGACTTAGTTTTAGTTAGTAGTTCTGAGGTACGATTTTAAAATTAGCTAATGGATATAAGATCTAAACAAAAATCGCTCCGTACCTATTTCATTGAGTAGCACTTGTGCGTAGTGTATATGGCCAGTATCTTGGTATATAAGGCCAACGCCCAGTAAGGCCGCTACCAGTATGTTTTGTTGTATATCTAGTTCTATAGACGTTGGAGGTAATAGGGGTTCTAAGTGTATGCTCATCATTTTCGTGGCTTGGACGTCCATCGTTCCTGTTTTAATAAGAAATTTTTAGGAAGATTATAAACATTGAATAATAAAAATCATATTTAAATGCATAGAAAAAAGCATTCACAAAAAAATATATAACTTTATTTATAAAATTCTTGTAGTCAAATGATTAAATTTCAAAAAAGTCCATTGACTATTTGAGTTTTACGACATTGGTACTGGTCTTTTGGGCATTATTATACTTTAATAATCTATTACAACTACTCTTTATTTATGCATTTATTACCAAGCCATACGGATAAGATATTAAGTTATGCGTCAACTAATTTCAAGGTTACCTCTGTACGTAGCAGCGAGTCCAAGTAACAGGCCGATACTGATCATCTCATGGCACTTGACAAAATATTCGTACATATTCATAAAGGGCATATCCCGTAAATGGCCGTTTAAACCCAGAGCCATGAGGAAACCCGCATGTTCTGTAGACATTTCTGTGGTGCCCTAAGACAACGTAGATGATGAGATGAGATGACGTAACAGAAAGTAGATGATGAGTTTTTCTTCGACATTAATTATTATCAGCCTTTTAATGTCCCCACTGCTGGGGCAAAGGCCTTCCCTATGGATGGTATGGGGAGAATGAGCCTTGAACGACCCACCACGCGGGTCTAGTGGAATGGTATGTGTTAATGACTGCAGATGAAGCCGATAACAACGGTTTAACGTGCCTTCCGAAGCACTCGAGATAATTTTTTGCTCACCCATCCAATGACCGGCCATTGCATAAGTTACTTAAGTTCCACGATCGCAGACCGAACGTGCTAACCATTGAGCTCTTATTTGCAATTGCTTAAAAATAAATGAAGCATGTTCAAACATAATGTCAATAAGCAATTGATACATTAACGTTTTAAAGAGAAATTCTGTTGAAAATATTGAATTAGCTATTGATAAGTTGGCTATGCATTTAAATGTGTTGGAAAAAAAGGCGAAAAGGCATATAGTTTGTATGTTTGGCTATTTGTTACTCACCTGCCACCGAAATAAATGTTTTATTACTCCAACGATATTTAATACCCTAGATACACCAACACAAATAAAATCGTGGCTGAAACCTGTCCAAAAGGTACATTTTACGGTTCACGGAGCTCCGTAAGATGATCGGGTAGTCAAAAACAATATAAGGCATTACTTAAACATTTAAATTCACCAGCATAGTATACAAGGTCTTAACTTAAGCGCATGCGCCAGATTTATGACAGTTCGAAATGCAAGCTCATAAAATTTTTTGCTGTATATATATATATATATTATAGACTTTATTTTTTATTAACTCTGTGCGTAATTTTGAATGCGCTGTAAGCAATATAGCAGATAAGGAGCGCGAGGAAAAGAGACAGCTATATAACCAACCATGCATTTCAATATCACGAATATTTTCTCTTAAATCAGTTTTTAGAAAGTATTAGAACAAAATTTGCTTCAAATGCGTTAAATTAACAAACATTGATTAGATATCTGTCGAAAAAACGACACTCTACGTATTATAAGTCTTCGGACGGAGCTTTGCGGCATCTTGACTTTTCAACGGTCCGCGCATGACTATGAACCAAGAAGTTAAGCCAACAAATCAAGTATAGTAGTAATATAACGTAAATGAATACTCACTCGCGGCTTATTATAGATGACCCAACTGGAATCTATGCTCGCTCCAGTCATAGGTACGAGCGCTAGTCCAGCAGCTACGCCGTTGTGGAAAGTGGGCCATAAGAGACATTGGGGAGAGGCGTCTCCCCCGCCCAAGTTGATAGTATTACACCTAGGGGGAGGACCTCTCCCTGATACACAGAGTTTCGGTAAAGTTAAGGGCTCAGTTGGAGTGCATGGTAAGCTACGGAGAGTTAACATGCCCCTGTAGAAGAAATTTTTAACTTTTAACACTTAAAATCATTGTTTATAAATTTAAATTGGGAGGAAGCTCCTTTACCGTCTAAATTAAGTGTTACATTTAGGGGGTGGACCTCTCCTCGATACATAAAGCTTTAGTAAAGTTAATGGCTCAGATAGAGTGCATGGTAAGCTACGAAGAGTTAACATGCCCCTGTGGAAGAATGTTTAACTTTAAGCTTATATTTAATTAAAATTTGGACGATTCAAAAGAGTTAAATCTAGAATTAATATCGGGGACTCTCAAAAAACAAGGTATAACTCGGGTCATTAAAGAAAGGAATCCAAAATGCCAAAGCAAGATTTTCTCTCTCACGTTACTTAGGATCACATGTGCGTGAGGGACATAATATCTCAAGCCTTCTTTTACGATTCCTTTCTTTAAAAAAAACAATTTTAACTATTCATAGGCATTTGTCTTTCATCTATATTAGTAAAAGCAGATTGCAAAGGTAGAAAATACATATTTGCTTTGACGTTGACTAGCGGCATAGCTTACCTCGCAACTGGTAAAGCCATAGTCCTTGTGCTTAGGGCATAAAGGTGTTTTTCCTGTTCTTCTATGAAATCATGGTCCGAAACTTCAGGCCGCTGCGTCAAGTTTATAGTGACTGGTATTGACGATTGCAGGAGGTTGAATACTTCTGCCATTCTGAAAATATATATAACTTTCTAGTTAGTAGTAAAAAAGATTTGAATAATAAGAAATTATGTACAAATGCACACAACTTCTAATAACAAATAAATTGTTTTTTGTTGCTACATTTTTGCACAAAACAATTCATAGACCCGTGTCTCGAGCGGCTGAAACTCGCGCTCGCAGTGGTTTGAACTGGTTCGACATATCGTGTCCGTGAGCGGTGTCTATGTGTGCGTTGTTCGAGCTCATTTTGTATGTAGATTACGGTTATGCGGTTGTCTTTTTTGTTCTTCCACTGTCCCTTTCATTTTCTTTAAGGTTGATTTCTGGGATAAAAAGTTTTCAAAATCTTTTCTCCAGACTAAATGTATCTTTATACCAAATTTTATCTAAATCAGTTTAGGGGTTTAAGCGTGAAGAGGTAATAGATAGACAGACACACTTTATAGTATGAAAGAATTAATATATTTTTTCAGTTTATTTATGATTAAACTATTGGTAGATAAGCACTCGATCAGCCTGCTAGTAACCCTGTCACTGTGGCATATGGACACCAAGTAAAATGCCAAGTAGAAGAATTAATGTTTTTGTTTTGAAATTGTTTTTTTTACTATTACTGTCTATTAATCACGGCGTGTTTTGCACGGCACTTATTTTGCCAAAGATATGTTTGATGGGTCACTAAATGAGTGTAAGCACTTTTTAAGAAGACTTTCGATATATTCTGATCGTCATAGTCACCCATCCTACTTAACTTTTAAAATAGTTTTCAATGTCATAGAGTGGGATACAGCACAGCATAGTTTATGATACATCGAATGCTGATTTGAACTACCTACGGCTTCTGAACTTAAAAAAAAATAACATTACCTGTGATCTCTAGGATACAATAAACTCAACAGTTTAGTGTTAAGATGTTCCATGCCAGTGATTGTGTCATTCTCTTCGTTTTTAGGCTGCACCTGTTCCTCCATTTTGTTGCTGTTCAGAGAGTATGCGGTTTCTTTCTCCAGAACTTCTAAAGCGAGAGCTGATAAGATAATTCATTTTATTAACTTGATATGTTATAATCAATCATTTTATTAGCTTGATATAATTTGAAATTTATTACCAAAATAAATTAGTTAAGCCCTGAATAAATGTTGATTGTTGAATATGCTCATATTTTCAGACAAGACAATTTATAATGGAAATCGTAACCAAATAAGGCGCTATAACTATCAGGCTATATACTATAAAGTGCATTTAAAACATTGACTTAGTCGAAATTCGTACCCTAGCGAAACTAACAGTTACACAATCAAACTAGTTTATGTCCCATAAACTTTAATACTCACATTCCATATACTCGGATGTTGACTTGAGAGTTTCCGAGATTTCAGCTTGCAATGCCAAGTCTTCCCTCATGACAAGGTTGTACGCTTCCGCGGGCCAATCCACGGGCGGTTCGCTCTTACAACGGCTAAATATAGTAAGAAGCAACAGCCCTATGGCGGGAGGTAAATTATCCACGTCACGAGGAGTCATTCCTAACAAAAAAAAACACGCACTGTAACCTTTGATACAAAAAAGAAAGAAACGGCAGGTGATCTATCTGGACACCGTTAGCTTAGTAATGTTAGAGGAAATAACTGAACTTTAACCGATAAGCAAAGTCCCTATTTTAGAGCTCTAACTTTCGACAGCAGTAACTGTCAAAATGAGCGGACAGATGTGAAAGGGGAATCCCCGCGTATGCGCGAGCACGTCTCATTATTGTCTTGTTAAGTGGTGATGTGCATGTGTCTTCCAAATAAATTCCGTTTTCTAAACAAGCACGAGTTTAATATACCATTAGTAAGGCAAATAACCCTGAAAATGATCCACACTTACCTCTCTCACACACGGTGATGACGGCCTGACAGTACGGCGAGGAATATTGCGCACAATCGCGTCGACCGCGCGGAGAGCTCGCTGTCATATTGTCCCGTCTGGTGATCTGGATACCGGCAACTTAGTAATAAGGCAAATAACCCTGAACACTATCCATTCTTACCTCTCTCAAACACGGTGATGACGGCCTGACAATACGGCGAGGAATATTGTGCACAATGGCGTCGACCGCGCGGAGTGCTCGCCGTCTAATTGTCCCATCTGGTGATCTGGACACCGGCAACTTAGTAATAAGGCAAATAACCCTGAAAATAATCCACTCTTACCTCTCTCACACACGGTGATGACGGCCTGACAGTACGGCGAGGAATATTGTGCACAATCGCGTCTACCGCGCGGAGTGCTCGCTGTCATATTGTCCCGTCTGGTTATCGTCTGCACTCCGGCGCATCGCCCGCAACCTACTATAGTTAGTACCTGAAACGATTCAAATATTTAAGGAACGGGTTATTTTGAGACTTAGGCCTACTTGCAGCTAATTTGCTTAATCTCGATTCAAACAAAAAAAAAATTTTGTGCACTCTCATGATATGGGTAGCAAATTAAAGGGTTTGTTGAGAAAAATACTACTAAAAACAATATACCTACTTCTATAACATTCCTCGACATGTCGTTGACTTCCGGCAAATATGGGTAGTAGCCTACGTCAATGTCCAATAGCATCGAATTCAAATAGTTAAACACATTCGGTGGTTCGCAGTTAAAATACCCAGGTTGGTTCAACTTTTGCAATACACTGTCACACAACTGCGACTCATTCTCTTCATATTCTAAGCTGCAATCCGTTGGAAAGTCCAACCAATAGTGATTCACATAACTGTCCAACTTCAAATCTTTAGAGATCTGGTACAGAAACCCAGAGAGCGGTCTCAAATCTGAATAAAGTAGCGTGTTCAACTTAATCTCTTCGTACACCAAATGGAAGGCATACAATATTTGCACTGTATACGGGAACAATAAAGCATTAGGATTAAATTGTGAAGCCTTCTCTGTTTCCATACTATTTCTTGACCGGATAGATCTCATTCCTTTAGCATCAGCACTGGCCGAAGCTATATGCAACATACTTGCTAAAGAACTTCCTATAGTTCTATGGAGCTTCGACTTTAATAGATACTCCCAATCTTCTTGGGTGCCGTCACTAGATGTGCGTTGTTTCTTCGTGGCCACTTCAGTGTGTTCTTGTTCCTCATTCTGTTTCGTTTGCGATAACCTTTCTACGTCGTAACCGATCAAAGAGAATAGAAGATTTGAAAACATTGACCACTCTTGCTCTGGAGTCAAATCTTGAGAACCCGGTGCGTTTCGTACGCCGTACCATTTAATTATTATCTGTTGAACAATGATCAAAGATTGTGGTAAAAGTTTTATTTCGTCAAAGGAATCGACGGTTTAAAGTATGGTTATTATAGAATTTCAAAAAGTAAATCAATCTATCGTCTCCACTACTGGGACAGTGACTTCAGATGCAACCGGGACCAAGACTCCCAAGACCAAGCTCAGGATAAAATTTTTAGTCACCCATTAGGTCCCATAACCCAACGCATTAACCATTGCGCTATCGAACTGTTTACACCCCAGGATTTTGGTAATTTAAAGATTACTTGTTATTTTCAGCAGTGAAGTGCTGGATTTACAATTTAAAGTTTTACCTGCATAGTTACATCTTTGGGCAGTATAGCTTTTAGGGTGGTGCAACACCGAGTGACGAGCGATGAGCAAGATATCGTGGGCAGTGATATGCGATACATCGCGCCTGAGTCGAACAGTAATGTCAGACGGGATCCTGCGGCATCGCACAAGCAATTGAGTCCTGAAAACCGCACGTATTTTGATATTGTGGCACAAGCTATAATGGAAGTAGAGAAAACTGACCAAATTTTCTTTTTGTTAACGTTTAAGATGGCCGTGGAGTCTCACATGCTCCGTGTGGTTCTTAAGTTCTTAGTTTCACACATTTAGTGGCTTAACTTCTATCAGCAAAATCAGACATTATGAGAGGAGGTTGCGTCGCTGGATGCACAGCACGTGAGTAATATTCATTAAAGTATTGGCCGGAGCCTGTCAGGCTCCACGTCGACTGTTGCCATATAAAATATTTTGGTAGTTTTCGTGTTTGTTTGAGATTTTATTTATGAATAATGGTAGAAAGTAGTAAAGCGAGCTGTTCTTGTTCAAAACAGCCAGAATAAAGGAGAGATACTAAGTGAATTTTAGCCGTAAGCCCACGACGTTTAAGAAACACAAAATTTCCGAGCGAGCTGAAGTCAACTGTAGCTCGAATTTTGAGTAAAGATAATAATTATGGTTATTGAAGATGTCCAGACACCAACACTCAGGCAAGGAACAAAAAGAGCTTATAGAATATGTCTCTCGTAAAAGCATAGAAAAACCTCTTCAGCCTTTCATGTGCTGATTGCCAGTAAATTACATAGATTATGACTGCTGTCAGAATTGTTATTTTTTGTTTCCAGAAAGAGCTTTTGTGTTTTTCTTTACCTTCCTATATTAAATTAGTAGATAAAAGTTTTTTTTTGTTCCAGTGTAAGATTAAGTTACTTTTAATGGGTTCCATTAAATAACTGAAAAGTCTAAAAAAGCGCCATGATTGTAAATTTTTCATATTTTCTATAATTATAATGAAGAAAGTTGATTCCAAATACCTGTTTTTTCTTATTAGAGACCTCCACCTTATAAATGTTAAGGCGGACGTTACTTCCCCAGACGGGCGCTCCAATTCGAGCGGAAAATTCGCTATTCCCTTCCTCTCTACGGTATTGTGGTAGTAAAGTCACACATCAATTTACCACACACTGTCAAATTTTCTCAGTGACTTGAATTGTATCACCAGCAATATAAAGCTCAGTCATGTGGATAAATTTGACAAATGGCTATCTGTACAATATTTGTAGAACGAGCCAAACAATAGAAAATACAAGCTTTGTGTATGGGAGACCCCTTTTTTTAACTTTATTTTATTATTAATCATTTGTTGTGAATAGCGGGCCACTGTGACACGCGTTTTGTGAAAATTTAGAGATCTATCTATTTCTGTACAAGAGCCCTGTGACAGACAGTCTAGGCAATAGGGTTCCTTTTGTCACCTTCTGTTAATAAGCAACCTCCTCTACTAGTTAGTTAAACGGCATGAAAATAAAGAAAGTAAATGGATACCAAAATCAACTTACCAATAGTTTCCTTCTGTTCTAACCTCGACGCAGAAGTATGGGGCACAGGTGAAAGTAAATGTAATGCTGAATCGTCGAACGAGGACGCGTCGTTACATCGGCTCGGTAACAAACTGCTACGCCGAGGGAACGGTGACTGAAACGCCGTGCGCTTGGTGTATGGCGAGTCAATTAGCCGAGCCAGAACTCCACCTACATGCACCTTCAAAACAGAAATGAAGATGTTTTGTTGTGATTTCATTAACTCAAAACACTTTTACTGTAACATGTTTTCCAACGCATTCTATGTTTTATGTAGATATCAAAATAAACCACATTGACAACAATAAACCCACTAATACGCTTTATCTTGTCTTGGAATGACATAAAAATAAAATCAAACGCGAATCCAGTTTTGGGAACTTGAGCTCTAAGAAATAAAAGGAACTCACAATCTGATTCAATAAACATAGGATTTAATGATAATTATGTTAAATCCTATGTCCTATGTATGTCTTAAAAATAATATTTAACATTTTGAGACAACAGTACCCGAAACGCGAACAACTATATAGCGAGATAATAATTCGTATCGCCTTCGTTAGTTTCTACGGAAAGAGCTATTTTGTTGAAATGGGGAATTTGGTCGTTTCAATTGCAAAGTACACTTTTTGAATTGGCTGTTCCAACCCCAGCCAAGGCGTGGGGGTCAACGCTCAATGCATCGTTTCTTTGATATGGGGTGGAACGACGAAATCAAAAAGAGTACATGGGCGTTTCACCCCACGGGGCGAGCTTCTCGTGGGGTGAAGCGACCAAAGATCCTTCTTACGTCCGGTAGGCGTGCTGGTTAATTTTCATAAAAAAATTGACATGGCCATACAAATACTTCCTAGCTTGTTGTTTGCGCTCTAGGTACAAATCTTATCCTACTAATATTATAAATGTAAAAGTTTGTTGTGTATCTGTATGTTTGTTACTCAGTCATGCAAAAACAGACGCACAGATCAGATGAAATTTGGCCCACATATAGTTTATTACCAGGACTGAAACATAGGGTACTCTAATTCAGGAAAAAACATTTGATTCCTGTGCGATTCTATGATATTTTAGTTCTGCTATGTTTAATAACTTCACAATGCTACAAAATATTTCCTGCACTATGAGCAACATTTTTGTATAACTTGTGTCATTAAAGAAAGGATGGCAAATGACGAGGGAAGGCATTCTATTCCTCTTGCACATGCTATCCTAAGCAAATTGCGAGAGAGACAGAATGTCTTACGTTGGCATTTTTGATTCCTTTCTTTAATGACATGAGTTATCAGTTGTTCTCAAATGAAAAAGATAGGGTTACAAACCTTGCCAACAACACTGTTTCCAGAATGCAGTATAATATTTCCAGACTCATCTATAAGTGCTATCATTTTCAGATGTTCTAATACAACAGCATCTTTAGCCAATACTGAAGATACTGATCCCACAATCAAGTTACATTTAGATGTCTGTCCATGAGAATTGGACTTCTGCAGGCGTATAATTTGAAGTCTACTGACGCCATTGACTTTAACAATGAAACAAAGATATTCATGACCGACTAGATCTGTATGCAAGAACGCTTTCATATCGGATGGACTTTCGACACGATCACGGCGAAGAGTCTGGTTGTCTGTCCAAATGTGGTCCAAACAAATATCAGGATACAAAGGCAACAGAGGAGTAGTTTGAGTCACTGTATTTGCCATCATGGATATAGAGGATGCTTGGCCAATTGATGCATGAGGTGACATACCCTGTTGGTGAAATATATTTGCCATCGGACTATTTTGACGTGACTTTGAAAATGTTGGTGTATTTGGCCCTTTCCTAGATTGGTATGGGCTTCCTATACCAGTCACCCAACTTGTTGCATTCTTGCCAATGTTGCTGTTCATAGGACTGCCAATGAAGTCACATGACTGACTGAACATAGTTGTAGTTGTGTTAGTATTGGGACACATTGACAGACATTCATCCCGCATTGCTTTTCTAATCTTCCATAAAGAGTGAGTCCCTAATTTCGAATCATATAGAAGAATTATGCTTGGACTAATATTAACAAATATTATTTGAATATCTCCATCATTGTAATATTGCAAGCCTTGTGACGTGGACTTCATGAGTATAGGTGTTACTTCATCTAAAGGATGAGATAGGGAGAAGCAAGTTGGTAAAGGTACATCTTGTTCATATCCCGACACAGACTCAGCTCGCAGTCGAGCGCTCATGTTAAAAGGAAAATGTGATTTTGATCTCGAAAATGTACTATTGTGAGATTCGTTGAATTTAATAAATGAAGCTGGTAACATTGAATTATGCATCATTGGTGTTGCTTGCTTTTCAATCAATAATCCATATTTCATGGGCCAAATCTTTTTGACTTGGAATGGTACACTATTTATGTATTCCCTGCCATCTGTTCCAAAAACTTTCATGCACTTGTTATCCATAAGTACTATGGTAGGCATAACTTTTGTTTGTATATTTTCAGTTGTATCTTCTATCTTCATATTCTTTTTCTCATCTGCTATCTGAGAGTTTAAAGCATCAATAAGCATGGTATTGTTAATGCTGACATGAAAGTTGCAGAATGCTGCATGTTTTATTGGATTCTCTATGGTGTAACAACAAATTGTTTCTCTATGTTCGGGTGTAGACAGTTTAGTAGCAGGTGTAGAAATCAAACCTGCAACACAGATTCATATTACTAATTGAAAAATGTTCGATAAAAACAAATAAGATTTTGTAATTGAACCAACGTAATAAGATTTTGTAATTGAACTTTACCTTTAGACCAGACTGCAGTGCATCCTTTTATATAAAGTTCCTCTTCATATGAGCAGTCAGTTTTTGGATTAAGAGGTTTATAATTAAGACCTTTACTTTGTGCACTATTCAAGTGAAACTTTTTAGACATATTACTAGAACTATTTGCGCTGCCTCCTCTTGAAGTACCGGCAGAATTAGCACATTCTGTTTCTAATTTTTTAACACCACTAAGAAGTTCAGATTTTATAGAAATATTGAAGTCTGTTTTGAGACGGCTCGGTGGTCTGAATGATTCAGATATGTAGTCATATTTGGGGTCCCTCTGTGATTGATTGGGCTCGTCATCCACATCTACAAAAAATAAATCATTGAAATAACAGTTCAATGTTAAAATTAATAGGTACCTTTACATTACAAGTGATTAACTAATAATATAACATACTTTAAAATTTTAAACATCAGTAAAATCATATACATAATCCATTTTATCTATACTTATAATAAATCTGTAGAGAGGTCAATTCTGTACATGAAATATATTTTCAAAATAACTATCAGGGGGTGATTAGTGATCGATACTGATGCCAAAAATGCAATCAGTAAATTTTTTGTCTGTCTGTCTGTCTGTGTGTATGTTCCTTATAGAAACAAAAACTACTTGACGGATTTTAACTAAACTTGGTACAATTATTTTTCATACTCCTGGGCAGGTTATAGTATACTTTTCATCACGCTACAATCAATAGCAGCAGAGTAGTGAAGGGAAATGTTGGGAAAACGGGAGGTTACTCCATTTTTTAAGCTTCCGTCGCGTGTGCAGCCTTAATGGTTAAAGTTACATAGAAATCATGTATGACGGAAATATTCTACATTAAATTGTCTAAAAAATATCCCGCAACAGCATATGTCTATCTTTTATGGTTGACTCACAATAACACGTGTAATTATATAAATAAAGTCATTGTTTATAGCACAAGCCTGAGAACAAAAACTATAGTTTACACTACAGCTCTACACCGAAGGGAAGCGAGGGCGGGCCACTAGTTTAAAATAAAGGTGTTAAAACAACATAATAAAATTAAGATTACAATTAACTAAAAATAACTTGTCAAATACCCACTATGAAACTGAATAATGTGATTTGGTTACAGTTTGCTACAAAATATAGCTGATTCCCCAGATAGAGCTAAAATTTCTTTGAATTTACTAGAACTATAAATGCTCTATTATAATAGCTATAAAAGAAATTATTTGCAGCATAGCAACCATGGTCTATACCTTCATCAATGCTTAGATAAATCTAAAAAGTAATGTATTGTTACTTATGTGGTTTCCTAAGAATATGGGAAAAGGTATTTACTGTCAGTGCTTCTGTAATAAACTTCTCGAATGCACCACCATTCCCGGTCATCTGCTTCTTTATTCTCAAGTAAAGTTTCATCTTTGATGGCAAAGTTAGTCAATTTGTACAATAAAGAATTCTCTGAGACCAAACTATTTGGACCCTTGCCATAGGTTTTCCCTGGATGGTTTGCTATCACAGTCCTGCCATGAGGCACAAACTCCTAGAAAATAATTTTAAAACATGCTATCAGACATATTATTTTGATATTTAGATTCATAATTTTACCTAAACAAAAACATTACCATAGGTTCTGACGCCGCAATCATTATTTTTTCATCCAGATTTGTAACGGGTTTAGTCTCTCTGGCCAACTTTAAACATATATATTTTTCAGGTGTCGTTAACTAAATAAACACAGCATAAATGCTGCTCATGAATTAGGGAAAGGATTTTTAAAAATCGCACAAATGACAAGATCGGAGCGGCGCGGCATCGGCAACAAAACTTTGACAATGACATTGACATATTGTTATTTTATAATTGTCTGCCTTTACGGAAAGGCAAACGCTGTTAAATACATACAGCCTTCACATGTTATGTCCATACAATCTTAAGGATTTTTAACTTTTCCTTCTTCTAATGGAATGCGTGCGCGACGCATCTACGAAACAAATACCATGCAAATACAATGAGATGTAATTTATGGGTTTACTCCTTGTTTGCTCGTAATCAAGTTAATCCACGTCTAAAGCGCGAAGTACGAGGATCATTACGAAACGCCAACAGCGCTATTATTAAAAATAATACCGAGTACGTATGGTAATCAACATCGTAAAGAAAAAGAATACGTAAATCGGATCAGAAATCTCGACATAATAGGTGTGTAGGTGTATAAAAGATAACGAAAACCTACCGACCGAGTTGAGAGCCTCCTCCTTTTTAAAGTCGATTAATAAAAGTCGTAGATACCGTAGCCTCAGATTCCCTCAGACAGAACAAAAGGCAGATGGAACTCACGGATCACTCAAGTGTAGCCACCACAGCAAACACAAAGTCAAAAGTAAATACTATTTTTGTCTTTGTTAACAGTTATTTAAATATACCTAGTCAGGTCATAAATTCTGTCACATGTTTAATATAAAATAATTGAAACAAGTTTATTCATTATGTAACCATTTATATACCAAAACGAACTTAACAAAACATAGATTCTTATGACAATAAAGTTTATTCAAAATGACCTCCGTGATTTTGAATACAGGCCTTCAATTTGCGCGGCCAGTCGTCTATCGCAGCACGAACGAGGTCCATGTCAATATCGGCGGTTGCCTTAATCAAGGATGTCTTGTGTAACTCCAAATTGGGATGAGGCTTTGAGCACGCCTTTTCCTCCAAGTGCTGCCATATCTTGTAATGTAACGGACTCAAATCTGTACTGGAGGAGGACCAGTCTTTGTGCCGGATGAAGAATTTCACGCGCCGCCAGCCAGTCTTGTGTGCTCTTCGCTCTATGAGCTGGCGACGAATCTTGTTGGAATACCCAGTGCCCGTTATTGAATATGGTATGAGAAACAGGTTCCACAAGGTTCGTCAGGACTGTATTTTGATACACAACTGCATTCGTTTTTACACCTTTCTCACAAAAATGTACCTCTGTTAAGCCCCAATAAGAAACTCCCAACCATACCATGAGCAAGGATGGAAAATGACCTCGTTGGACACGCGGAATACGGTTGCTCGCTGTGTGCGTACACCTTATCATTCTGTTTGTTGTAGCTCTCTTCTACGGTAAAAATATTTTCATCCGAAAAAGAATTTCTCGATATTTTTTTCCCGCGTACCGCTTCAACAAAGCGCGGCATCTCTTCAGTCTCAGGTCCATTAGACGAGCATTCAAACGATGTCCTGTTTTCCTTCGATATGCCCGAAGCCCTAAGTCTTCATTTAAAACACCCTTTTCACCATGGTTCTGCTTTACCCCATCTGAAGGACCAACAGTTTCTGCTTACGTTTAGGATTTCTTTGGATTCGCGCCTTCACAGCTTTTATCACTGCTGGAGTCCTAACAAACCGAGGGCGACCACTTCTTGACCTGTAATCTACACTCGATTCTTCATTGAATCGTTTGATGGTACGATAAACGAATCTTTTGATTATATTTAAATTCAGTATGTCAAAAATTTGAATTGGCGCGTAACCGCAACGATGCAACGCAATAACTGCAACACGGTCTTCTTTATTAAGCGTCCACTCCATATTTAAAAATCAGTAAAATTCAAAAAAGTATACTTTTTTATTTTCACGAACAATTCGAAATTCGAAATTAATAAACTTTTTTGTGACCAGCATTCTAAAAGAAAAGTTTTTACTGTGTGACAATACTTATGACCTGACTGTGTATAGCCAGGTTGGCATATGACTCTACCCCACCTGATGTTAAGTGATGATAAAATCCAGACGCGAAGATAGCAGGTACAGCAGTTATAAACTGCCACTCCAACCATCCTCACCTTGCCGACCTGCAGAAATGCTTCATCACGCCTCTCTTAGAGGACCCCAGATTATAGGAAGGGCGGAACACGTGCGCGGGCAAAGAACATATATACATAAAACATACGTATCTATTGGATTTGCTGGTTTTTTGGCAGACGGTCCTTACACAACATATGCATAGAGGCAGCTACGAACCGTAAAGATTTCAAGTTTACGTAGAATTACTTATTCATATTACAGTCGCGCACCACTCGCATTATTCCTTCTGTAAGTAAATGCTGTGCTGGCAAAATAATTAGGTCTCCATTTATTCGATTTAGTGCCTTATTTCGATCTTAAATCGATTGATCTTAAATTTAACTTTCGGTATTATTATGATCGACATGTTCGTTTATCTTATTGTTATGGCTCCTCTACACGTTGGGCCATGATGGGCGATCACAAGATTGGCCATGCTCGATACAATCATTGTGTAGCTGTCCACACGATCGGCTTTTATACATCTGTTAAGTTTCTTTTACGCGTTATTAATATTCGTAAAAATACTGTTTTAAAAACGTTTTGATTTCAATTTTTCTTATTCGAATGAAAAGTAGTGTAAAAGTCACCAATTCTATAGGTAGTCTAGGAATTAAGTTCTCCTGATGATCGCTTCCTTATGAATCCTATAACCAAAGAAATAAACAAAAGAATCATAAAAAACCTAAAAAATAAAAAAAGTTATGGAGTGGATGAGTTACCACCTAGTTTATTTAGAGAGTGCGCCGAAGAATTGGCTCTGCCATTTAGTTTGTTAATAAACCAGTCATTCAGTGAGGGCGTTTTTCCCGATTTACTGAAAAATACTTTGGTAAAACCTATTCACAAGAAAAATGAGATAACTAATCCAAGTAATTATAGACCTATTTCAATTTTACCTACAGCATCAAAAATTTTTGAGAAAGCAATGAGTGATAGAGTTATGAATTTTTTTGAAAAATACAAAATATTCGATGATTCACAAAATGGTTTTCGGAAAAATCGTTCCACAATTTTAGCCGTGTATAAATACATACAAGAAGTTGTTACATTGTTAAACAATAAACAATACGGTGTAGGTATACTGTTAGATATGACTAAAGCATATGACAGAGTACAGCACAATATCTTGCTAAATAAATTGTATGGCATGGGCATTCGTGGATGCGCACAAATGGTTTGCATCATACTTAAAAGATAGGCGACAATATGTAGAAATTGAGTACTTTGATGATAGTGGAAACATCACACGCGTACGCTCCGATTGTAAAATTGTAAACGCATCTATACCTCAAGGAAGCGTGGTTGGATGTCTTCTGTTTTTGGCTTGCATAAACGACCTTCCAAAGATTATGGAGGAGCCCTGCATTCTGTTCGCAGACGATATCTCCTTACTTACCTCATGCCACAACAATAACAATAATGATGTTAACAAAAATTTGAATTGCTTACTTAACAAAACTTTAGACTGGTTAAATGATCACAATTTAAAAGTAAATTTTACAAAAACCAAAATAATTACTTTCCATCCACACCAGAAAACTCAATTAAATTTAAATTTTATCTACAACGGTATAAGATTGGATTGTGTGGAAGAGTTCACATTGTTGGGTATAGTGATAGATAGGCACCTCAACTGGAAAGCTCACGCACAAAAAACAAAATCTAAACTGTCTAGCTTTGCTTATGCGCTACGCGAGGTAAAAAAGGCGACTGATAGAGAAACAGCTATAGTTACATACTACGCTTACGCCCATGCTTGGCTGTGTTACGGGGTGGTGTTGTGGGGTAACAGTACGGACGCACATTTGCTGCTTACCATGCAAAAGAAGTTAATCCGTATCATAGCCAACATCGAGAAGACGGAGAGCTGTAGACCATTCTTTCAAGAGTACCAGATACTTCCACTACCGTGTTTGTATATTTTGGAAGTGTGCAAGTTTGTGCGCAAACATAGCGAATTCTACACTAGACGACAAGACATTCCATCTAGATACACATCTCGATACAACAATAAATTAATATTGCCTAATTCTAGGCTAAAACTATCATCATCAAGCACATTTAATTCATCAATTAAAATTTATAACAAATTGCCCAATACAATAATGAATGAAAATAATTACTTGACATTTAAAAATAAATTAAAGGAATTTCTCATTAACAAATGTTATTATAATGTAAATGAATATTTTAATGATAAGATCAGTAATTATTAATGTACATGTACAAATAATTTATTTAATTATTTATTATATTTAATTTTGTGAAATTATTAATATTATTATTTATAATTAAATCAGATCCAATCCAATTATAACAATCAAAAATAAACAAATGAAACAATCTCTAACATCCAATTTAAATTTTACTATTAGTGTTGTTCTTCTGAGAAGCGTATCCTCTCTTCTAATAACCAATTGCGTGCCCGACGGGGTCCATAATGCTCATATTTATATAAGTACCTACCACCCACTGTACACATTATGGTTGCAATAAATGATTTGAGTTTGAGTTTGAGTTTGAGTAAACGCAAATCTTTTTTGCAATAATATCAGCCACGTTCAGTGTATTTTTAGAACTTTAATGAATAATTTACGAAAACCTGTGTAACACGTTTATGCGCCGGAAACTGTATCAGTTAGAATATCAGTAACTTTGTAGTTTAAATTTTATCAGAGCTGCACAGGTTGTACTAACTTCACTCATTATGAATTTAAAATATTTATTAATAATAAAAATTCAAATAAGGGATTGACATTTCTTTTTATTTCAATTAATTGCCAGGAAGTTACTTATCTGAACAGAACATATTTTCATTTAATTAAGCATATTAACTCAGTATATCTGGTGATCCAAATAAGTAAGAAGCAATAGTGAAAGCTTACACACTATCGCCTACAAGGTTCAAGATTTCGATTAATTCTGCTTTCTTTGAATCGGTTTACCTTAATCTCATATCAAATTTGGTGATGATCACAATAAAATAACACAACCTTTTAATGAAGTTGTGTTTCTGTCGGTGAGTTAGGTTCCAGGGTTCCACAGGGTAGGGGAATGGGTTAGGTTAGGCAACGGTGCGAGTGATAATTTTGGTATTGCAGGCGTCATAAGCTACGGTGGCCCCTTTCCAAAAGGCGGGCCATATGCTTGATTGCCACCCTTTTAACATAAAAAAAAATAAAAAATATCGCCATTTAACTGTATTAACTGTAGCCTCCAGTAAGGTGGAGTTAACGTTCTCCCATACCCCTACGGTAGGGATAAACCGGATTATTACATAGATGATTCGCAATCATGTGACCCACAATGTCATGTCATGACATTGACTCCAATATTTGATTGACAAGATTACGCAAGTATCATTGCAAGATTGCTTGAATGGTTCGTGCCATAACATAACTCATTACAACGTACACGCAAACATAATGCACATAAAGGTTGTTCAAAATTTGGTGCACGTGTTCCTCTTTCCTACAATCTGGGGTCCTTTAAAAGAGGCGTGAAGAAGCATTTCTGTAGGCCAAAAGTGAGGATGGTTGGTGTAGTAGTTTTTACCTGCTGCTGCACCAGATATCTTCGCGTTTGGACTTTACCACCCAACCTCAACTTTGGGGTAGAGTCCTTTGCCTACCTAGCTATAAAAATAGAATGATAGATATGAATTCCATCTTTATTTCTAAATTTGTTTCCTGAATTCATCAAAATATTAAAAAAAACAATGCTTCAAACAAATTTCTTTCCGTTATTTCGGAGGTCTTTAACATGAGTTCCACTCCACCACATGGCACTTTCTGTGTGTAAAAGGACGAGTCATATAGCTATCTATATGGTATTTTTTAACAGTGACTCGTCCTCGGGATATCGCCCTATTTTTTTCCGTCTGCTCTTTTTCTCGTAGATGTCATCACCTCATCCTGACTTGGTGAGTATGGGTTCCATACTCACCAAGTCAGGATAAGGTGAGCCTCGCGAGCCTTGTAATCAAAAAAACGGTTCGGAATTCGATAATATCGCCGATCGTACACAAAAAAATACATTTACGATGAATACACATCCTGTAAAATAAACACCTATCAATGAGCATAATTTATTTAAAGATAAAACGATGCGCACTTAAATAACGTCCAGTTAACATTAATAATTTCAGAATTATAAACGTTTGTCAAGTTATTTGTGTACCAAGTATTGTAAGCTACAGTCATGGACCGAATTAAATTTAAAATAAATGGCCAAGAGTATTCTGGTGAGTGAAACACTGAATTCAAATGCTATTAGAAAAGAGCGCAAATGGAACCAACAGCCCAACGTGCCTCCGGAGGCAAAGTGCAGCTCGAGATTACACATTTTGGTCACCCATCCGAAGACCGGATGTTGTGAAAATTGCTTAACATTCACGATCGCAGACCGAGCGTGCTAACCACTTCCGCCATCTTCATCTATTAGCTTAGCATTAGTTACGCACGCCCATTATAAAATAAAACAGTTTTTGAACGGTTACGTTATCATTATTTTTCCGTCAGTTTCGGATCCTTCGCAAGATTGAACTTAAGCTTCAGTTTACACATTTTGAGTATGAGTCAAATGTCACGGACATAACGAGAATTAAAAATCTTCCAAAACTTCTCGACATTTAACGCGTATCGAGATAGAATTCAACTATTCAAATTCGATATTAGTTAGTGCTAAGGGTACAGTAGGCGTTGTTATCCTAGCAATTACATACTGAATCATTTTTATTGAAGTTGGTGGTGAGATAAGTTCAGATACGACGCTGCTGGATTACTTGCGCAATCAACTGGAGCTGCGAGGCACTAAGTACATGTGCCGTGAGGGTGGCTGTGGCGCATGCATCGTCACCGCATCACCTGAGCCAGGAGCGACTCCAAGAGCTGTCAACTCAGTAAGTAGTTAAGACAAAGGCTTAAATAAGATTACATTTCCTGGTGTTAGGTTTCTGTTGGCGAGGTTTCTGTTACACTTAACATCAGGTAGGGTCCCGTGATTTAGTAAAAATGAATTTGGATAGAACTCTTCTGTACAATGGATGTTACTTTTCATTTTGTGGACATAATCTGTCGCTATGTACCTTAGATGATCAGGACGGATATGTCGAGGCTCGTAAAACCTAACAATTGACCTAAGAACGGTAAACCTAAGCATTTCTTAATCTGATTTCTATTTGAATAGTGTCTCGTTTCCATAACATCATGTCAAGATTGGGATATTATAACAATAGAGAAAGTTGGCAACAGACTGGAAGGCTACCATCAAATACAAAAGACATTAGCAGAAGAAAATGGCACTCAGTGTGGTTATTGCACTCCAGGATGGGTCATGGCTCTGCATAGGTATTATAATATTTTTTCTTCTTCTTTAATATAATGCTTTAAGTAACCCTTTAGTCATAAGCTACTTATGCGCACAAATTTCGCAAAAGACTTAGAGTTATTTACATCGCTTATTTGAAAACGTTTTACTTTTAGCTTATTACAAAGTAATAAAAACCTAACAATGATAGAGATAGAAAAATCATTCGCTAGCAACATCTGCAGGTGCACCGGGTATAGACCTATACTTCAAGCATTCAAAAAGTTTGCTTTGGACGCCCCCGACAATTTACTAATGGACATCGAGGATTTGAAAATTTGTGGGAAGACAAGCAAATTTTGTAATAAAAAATGCAACAATGATGATCAGGATTGGTGTTTTATTGAAGAAAACTGTTTGTCACAGGCCAATATTATTTATTTAGAGCTTAAAGATGGCAGAAAATGGTATAAAGTTACTGAAATTGTTGATATATTTAAAATTTTGAATGAAAAAGTTGATGAATCTTACATGTTAGTGGCAGGAAATACAGCTAAAGGTTGTTGTAATAAATTTTACATAATACAATTGACAACAGCAAATACAGAATTTAATGATCCTTTGTTTCCGATTTCGCAGGTGCATTTCCAATCGATGCATACCCCCATATTTTAATTGACATAAGTGGAGTTCAGGAATTAAGCGGATATGAAATCGATCAAAATTTAATAATTGCTGCTAATACAACACTTTCTGAAGCCTTGGAAATTTTTGAAAAGATTTCACGAGAAGAAACTGATTTTGGTTACTTACAGAAGTTTTACGATCATATTCAGTTGGTGGCTCACATTCCTGTTAGAAATGTAAGTTTGGAGTAGAAGTATTTTTCCATGTTTTATATTTTTTGTTAATATTAATATGAGTAGGAAGTTTATACAAAGGACATTTGTTATCTTATTGAAAGCATAAGCGATTGGTTCCGACTGCATCTCTGTAGTAATTATTACTTTACTTTAAGGCCTGTGCATTCCGTTTATTTAATATAACGATGCAGTTGTAAACACATTTTCTGTTTCAGTTAGCTACAATAGCGGGTAATTTAATGACGAAACATAAACATCGAAAATTTGCATCGGATACATTTTTGTTATTCGAAACAGTCGGAGCTTATTTGACTATACGTAAGTATTAGTGGTGAAAGCTACGTTATATTCTAACCAATGGTGTAACCTAATAAGTGATTTTATTTCAGTGGACGTAGATGGTTCGAAATCTCGGGTCACCATGGAAGGATTTCTCAACACAAATATGAATCGGAAAGTCATATTGAATATATTATTGCCTCCATTGAATAATGAGTATAGTTTAGTTACATTTAAGGTAACAGCTACTTGAATTAAGTAAATTAATCTGCATTATTAGTTTTGGCAGATTTCTTTAGCAATGATTATTTTTAAGCCTTGAACTTTGGTTTAACTGCTATATTTTTAAATCTACATATATAATTTTTTTTTTCTATCATTAAAGTTTTGTTGATACAGATGCACACACTAAATTACTTACACGAAAATATCGTGAAAGTGAATTCGTATAAAGTGCAGTATCTTTTGGTACATTTAAATTTTAAAGTTTGCCTTTTCGATCAGATTATTTGAAATAATGTCACTTGTCCCTAAACCCAAAGAGCAGAACACAGAAATAATATCATCTGAACTTATACTTCTCCCTAAAACTTTCAGATAATGCCTCGTTCTCAAAATGCGCATGCCATAGTTAACACCGGTTTTCTATACAAATTAAGTAACAACATAGTTTTGGATTCACGGTTAGTATTTGGTGGCCTATCTCCAGCATTTACTAGAGCAACCGAAACAGAAAAATATTTGGATGGCAAACCTTTGTTTGAAAATAGTACTTTACAAGGTGCGCTAAAGATTTTGGATAAGGAAATACTCGTAGAAGAGGATTCTCCACAGCCATCTTCTGAATATAGGAAGCAATTGGCCTTGGCTTTATTTTACAAGGTATTTAGAAAATTACATGCACTATCATAAATATCTTTAAATTATCAAATCAGGGAATTTATTTATAATCTCAATTGACATTCTTTCTATACGTTCGAGCCAACTAAGCATATATCTGTTAATTTTAACATCAATACTGTTTTTTTACCAAATCTCTTTCTTAAATACTAACGTAGTCAGTGAGCGATAGGCCACAAATTCTGTGGCATGGCATATTGACTGCGATTATTTTACTTTCACGTTATTTTTTTCATATTCAAGTCTCACATCCGTACATTAAGGTTGGCCACTAGCACCGTTGTTGTACACAGCGAGGTTCTGGCTAAGGTTTTTGCTGCTAACAAGTCACACTCCATTTCTTGCATCTACTTCTTCCTATATTAGTGTTGTGCTTTCAGTCTCTTTCGTTAGACGATCTTATCATTCACTCGTACATAAAAATTGCATAATCATGTTTAGGTTTTTCAATATTAGTACTTACGTATTAACATATTTTTGCAAGTAAGTATCCTGTTTCATTCATAAATTCCTGTTTCTTTTAAAAGGGCCTCCTGACTTTGTGTCCAGATCAAGAATTAGATAGACGCTATCGTTCTGGAGTCAAACGTATACACGAATCGAGAACAGTTTCACAAGGAAGCCAGGAATTCAGTACAAACCCCATTATTTATCCACTTAATCAACCCATTACAAAAGTGGATGCTCTGGTAATAAATTTTAAATTACTTTAACTATTAAGCATATTAAATTCAGCATTATGTATAGAATATTATATTAAGTCGGAAAATTCAGTATAGAATATTGTATTAAGCTGGAAAATTTCGCTATTTCATAAAAGCACATTCTTTTTAATAAAACCCTTAAAATGGTTTTTAACGTTCCTTTGGCTGACATAATCATTTTTCAAAATCATTACACAAATTAGTAATTAAGAGAGCCACCGAGTTTCTTTTTATTAAATTTATACTCTGACACGTTTCTTTTAGATTCAGTGCGCTGGCGAAGCCACCTTTACAGATGATCTCCCTTCATTTCCACATGAATTGTTTGCTGTATTCGTTTTAAGCACTGTGGGTCGAGGGACTATAGAATCAATTGACACTAGAGAAGCTATGGTACGATTCTTTTCATTTATTAAAAATAATTTACAACATAGTAGTCTGTTTCGAAAATGTATAAATGTATATTTAAAAGAACGTAGAAAGCCTAATATTGATTCTTTATTATTTAAATATTTAAAATGTATTTTTACAGAGACAGCCTGGTGTAGTAGCATTTTATTCAGCTAAAGATATACCAGGGAAAAATTCTTTCATCATGCATGGCCTCATAGTGTTTACCGAAGATGAAGAAGTATTCTGCAGTAAACAAGTGAAATATTACAATCAACCGCTAGGTATTGTTGTAGCAGAATCTACTACGATAGCTGAAAGAGCTGCCAAATTGGTTAAAGTTACATACAGTAATGTCACAATACCAATACTAGATATCAAGGATGTAAAGTCCGATTCTACAAGAACGAAACTCTTCTTACCCATTCCTGCTCTAGGCAGAGGTTTATTTGTAGACAAAACTTTCAAGAATACCTACACGATATACGGGCAATATCATTTTTCAATGGAAACTATAATGTGTGTCACTTCACCATCGGAGGAAGGCCTAGTTGTCTATTCAACTTCTCAGTGGATAGATGCTGTACAATATACAGTGGCAAAAGCTCTGAAATTAGATGAAAATCGGTAAGTTTCAGCCTACTATTTAGCAAATGTTCAAGTACCGACATGTAACTTTTTATTAAATTTATTTATATTATCAAATATGTTGTAAAATTTGCCTACTCTAGGGTAGATGTGCATGTAAAGCGTCTTGGTGGAGCTTTTGGTATAAAAATAACCCGTGGTGCGTTGGCCGCCGTTGCATGCAGTCTTGCTTCTTACAAATTGAATCGACCATGTCGTCTCATTCAATCAATGCCTAATACGACAAGGTCTTTAGGAAAACGTTTGCCTTGCTCAACAGATGTAGAGGTTAGATAAAAACTAAACAATTATTTAGTAATACGAACACAAGCAGGACCTTGAACATTTTAAGCTTTGCGATTATGATTGTCAAAGTAAGTCTATATGCATGGTTTAGGTTCCATTGCTGATTTTACAATACTGTAAATGTTCATGGTACGGCTTCGAATAGAACATATGGGCAATTATTTCATAATGAATTGAAAGAAAATAGTTTCTAAAAGTATGTTGAATTATTAATTATTATCTCTTTGATCTATTTTTACATTTTTTCATAACGATGCTCTATTGTACCAAATTTTATATTTGTTCAGATGTGTGTGAAGGTGATGACGAAGCAACACCAAGTGAATATAGGGACAAGTTTATAAGTATTGCGTATTTCAGGTGGGGGTGGATAAGAAAGGTCTTATTCAATATTTGAACTATGACCTCTATTCAGATAATGGTTATATTCCGAGCGAAATCGTATGTGTGCTTGGAATTGATGTTCATAACAATTGTTACAAAAGATTGTGGTGGAACTATAAATGTTTTAATTCTACCACTGACAACGCTAAAAATACTTGGTGTAGAGCACCATGTAAGTGTTTAGAACTTATTATGTTACTCAACTTATTATCAATACCTACATACATGTCTAGGTATGTACATATGTCGTGAGTTATAAATTATGTTTTGCACACCAATGCCCTTTTTTTTTCTCAGCGTCTCTAGAAAACATCGCAATGGCTGAAACTATAATGGAACAGATATCATATGAGACATCATCAGATCCTTATGAAGTACGAAAAACTAATGTGGACTTTTTATTATATAACGATATATTACAACTAGGAGAGAAGTTGAAAACAAAAGCACAGTATTTCGAAAGAAGAACTGCTGTAAATAAATTTAATGCTGAAAATAGATGGAAGAAGAGAGGCCTTAGATGGTCTTTTATGAGATACACTCCTCTTTCACCTGCCGGTTACGAAGTTAACATGAGCGTTTGCCACGGTGATGGTTCTGTCATAATCAGCCATGGTGGCATCGAGTTGGGCCAAGGCATCAATACAAAGGCTATACAAATCGCTGCCTATTTTCTGAAGATACCAATAGAAAAAATTCAAGTGAAAAGTACTAATACTATCACAGGAACTAATAGTATTTTGACAGGTTCCAGTCTTACTTCACAGAGTATTGGAATGGGAGTCGAAAAGTGTTGTAAGCAACTGTTGCTAAGATTAGCTCCAATTAAAGTTTTATTAATCAACCCTCCCTGGGAGACTTTAATAAAAATTGCGCATACTTTGAGTATTGATTTGCAAGTTCATAGCTACGTGAACAATATAATATCTCCAGTATATTATGTTTATGGTGTGGCTTTGGCTGAAGTCGAAGTGGATATATTGACAGGAGAGTCGGAAGTTTTGAGAGTAGACCTAATAGAAGATGTTGGTCGTAGTGTGAGCCCAAAGATAGATGTCGGTCAAGTAAGTGTAGAGATTTTGGTCATGTTTGTATTCCTCTTTGTTATCAAAGATTTATTACCTGAAAACTTAGATTAAATCAAAACTAGAATATACGGCACTCACGACTCAAAAGTGATCCGCTTAAATTGTGGTGCAAGACCACAATTCGCTTTAGTCACAATTCGACATTTAAGCACACTGCATGTGCACTCAATATAACAATATTGCGTGTATTCTCTGTTATAAAGATAAAACAATGCCTTCGATGCTTTTATAAAGAACACAAATAGTTCAAAATCAAATATCTCGGCAACACTTTTCATTCGTAAAATTGTATAAACTATTTTTGCTCAAGAATACCGTGTCTTCCCTTTTTGTTTTAATTTAAGCCTTAAAATGTTATTAGCAAAAAAAATAAACTACCGTGGAAAGCGAAAAGCCTTAAATAATAAATCTTTTTTATCTTGAGTTAAAAATTAATATTTGGAGTTGGTGCCAAGCATGTCTGATAGATCTGAGATCCCATTTACTAGTCTTAGGTTGGCATGGCACCGACTCCAAATATTAATTTAACTAAAGATAATACACCACACGACAGGGTAAACGATGAATAAAAATTCACCCCCGCTTTACATGTAGGGGACGTACCCTAAAAAAAGTTTTTTTACCAAATTTATATGGGATCAACTTCGGAGTAATAGACATATCCGGTAAAGTGCATTCTGTACGGAATAGATAAAAAACTTCTTTTAGAATTTTTGTTACGAAAATCCTCCGCTGTCCAGTAGTACTCTTCTGTAAAATTTTCACGCGCGGATCCACATCAGATCTGTAAAATTTTCAAAATAGCACTGCAGGACATCGGAGTATTTTCGTAATCAAAATTCTTCTTTACTTTTTTTCCATAATAATATAATCGAATAATTGTCACTAAATTAATTATAAATATTGTTATATCTCATAATATTGCAATTAATGTGAAGTGTGTACAAGATTACGTTGATTATGATGAACGGGTTTTATAGAAAACTAGCCAACGCCCGCGACTTTAGCCGCGTCAACTTTAGTTTATTGAGAATCTCACAGGAACCTAACGGTTTTCCGTTATAACAAAAAATCCTTTGTCTCAATCCAGGGCATCAACTATATGTGCATCAAATTTTATCCAAATCCGTTCAGTAGTTTTTGCGTGAATGAGTAACTAACATACACATACACACAAACTTTCGCATTTGCAATATTAGTAGGTTTAGTGGGATATCATGTTTTTTCAGATAGAAGGTGCATTTATAATGGGATTAGGGTATTGGACGTCAGAGAAGCTCGTGTACGACAAGAAATCGGGAGAACTTTTAACAGATAGGTCGTGGAATTACTATGTACCTCAAGCCAGGGATATTCCTCGCGATTTCCGCATATATTTCAGAGAAAAGTCTTATAGTTCTAAAACTGTTCTTGGAGCTAAAGGTACGTTTGAAACATAGTCGTGCAAATATGTTAGCTACCATTTTATTTAGGTAGGTTTTATACGTTTATGTACAGGGCATATAAGCTGAATGTAAACATCTAGCAGTTACATACTTAAAATAAAATATATAATTAAAAATATTTATATACCACCCATCAATTCGGACTGGGCCCACGTGGCGAGCCAGGACCCAATCTCCCCATTTCCATTTAAAAAAAACATCCTGGCCACCAATCCCCGCTGGGCCAGGTGCAGAATCGGCTCAGCGCAGATTGGTCCCCGTGCGTAATTGGCCCAGTGCTGAATTGGCCTATGGAATGAACCCAGTGTGGAATGGGCCCAGTGCGGACGCTCCCGGTCCATCACTCATCAAAAAAAATTTTAAACCAAGTTCACCACCATCGCTGTCAGTGGTCGCCCACCTCGATGCCCATCTAGCTACCCGCCCAGCTGCCTAGCTAGTTGTCTAGTTAGCTGCCTCGATAGGTTGTAACTTATGATGGTAAATTTTTTGCCCAGCCCCCATCCATCATTACCATCCGAAAAGGAACTTTATTCCAATAAGGGTTTGGGTAATCCCCAGTTCTCTTCGCTACATTACAGAAGACAATATATTTGTGTTCTAATGAACTCTATCACCTTATTTATGTTTTTATAGTTACTGGTGAACCTGCAATATGTTTGTCGATCTGCGTGCCCTTCGCCATGAGAGAGGCTGTGTCTTCAGCAAGAAAAGATGTTGGAATACCCGCCACACAGTGGTTCAATATAGGTCAGGTTTATTTTTTTCCTATTTGTAATCGTCGCTTCCCTTGATGCTCAGAGCCAAGTAACTCGCTTACAGCCAGTTTCAATAATCAAACTCCAGTAGAAGATAGCCCAATTAGAGGCTTTTTGTCCAGATATTTATATTCTTGTGATTAAAATACATCTTAACCTTGAACAAAATTAACGAACCTTGCACTGGAAGTTGATTCCAAAAACTGGCGGTTAGTGCCTTCAGGCGGAAACATATTATTGAAACGCGACGCCATCCCACTTGTACAACACACGATGCGAAGACACACAGGAATCATAGAAAATAGTAAATCTATTTGACCTAACACGCGTCGCGTTTCAAAAGTCTGTTTCTGCCTTAGATATATTGAACGAACTGACATATATTGCAGTTTCCCAGATGACCACACTAAAAGCGCTATACGCTTGATGATTGTTATCTAAGCTAGGCTTTTTACTGTCTTCGTCTTAATGTCCCTCTTGCTAGAGCACAGGCTAATGAATAGAGGCACATGCCCCTATAAATAATACTATACTGCTGATAAGTATAACCTAAGGTTGGTAGGTATTCCGAGACCCATCTACGTCAAAAATAGTCAGCAAGCCTCAAGGCTTACTGCCAACCGCTTCGCCAAAGATCGAAATCCGCGAATTCCACGGGAAACTATCGCCCTGACGACTCTCCGAGCAAGAAATGATTCGGCGTCAGTGTCTCTGGACAGTTAGGAACGGGTGGCAGTTAACTACGTAAGTTAAAAAATATATGAATAAGTGGGTGGTAATGGTAACCAAAGAGATTAAATATAGTTAAATGTGTTGAGTAGTAAATAGTGCCTGCAAATATTACAGCAGAAACTATATGTATATGTTATGCTCATAGATCGAAAACGCTCAGTGAGCGGAAAAATAGCTCACAACGCGTTGTGGTCACAGTAAAACGTCCACATAGCGAAATTCCTGTTATGACGCGTTGTGGCAATCGCAGAAAGACCAAATAGCGTAATTCGTGTCGTGGTTGACATGCTATTCGATCTCAACGCGTTGTGGCAATGAAGAAAAGCCATGACGCGTATGGAATATTATTTGATTACGACGCACACTACTTTCCGATATGGATCCTACTAGGACTAGGCTGGAAACATTTTGGTCATGTCTTTAGGAAATATTTTTTATTTTATATAATCGCTGTATAACGTGTTTGTCATTATTAAATATGTTATATAATTATATAAAGTAAAATAAAACGATATTTGTTATTTATTGAGATTACTTTATATTTAAAAAAATCAACGTATTAAGTAATAAATTACTGAACACAAAGTATTAATCATTTGCAAATTACTTATAATTCACTTAAAATAATTAGGGATTGAATTTTTTTATGACCATTTAAAATTCTTTCAAGTAATAAAAACATAAATGTTTATTGATCAGCCTCATAATAAAATGTTCTACAAAAAACCTTTAAAAATGCCGCAGAAAACCTGGTCCTTGTCAAAAAAAAATCAAGATATTTGTGATTTTCTTAACCAACAAGATTTAATATCAAAGTACCATGAAGGAAAAAGCAAATTTTAAATAATATCTCTTCAAATCAAAGAAAATTAGAAAAAGCAATAATTTCAATAAGTAATACATCTGTAACTGAAAAGAAACAGATGTATCAATTTACACAGATTTCCCAATTATTTAGCATACTTTCGGAAAATATTCTGGAACTCTCATCTGAAATAAGTAGATTAGGTAATATTTTAGCTTTTAGTCGCACAAACGTAATGCACCATTCTATACTATATATAAGTGATTTAAAAAATATGTTAACACAGCTTAAAAATCTATATAATCCCAATGCGTTACTAAACTTAGATGTTAGGTTTTATTACGATCTAATTACCTTAGGATCATATTTTATTGATAAGAAAATTGTAATTGTCTTGAAGTTTCCTATAATGTCTTTAGAAACATATGACCTTTATAGACTCTGTCCTGTTCCTAATAAAAACTCAGAAATTATCCTTCCACCATTCCCATACATGGCATCCAATTCCCAGGAATTTGCGTACATGGAGGCTGAATGCCCGAAGATCGACACCTGGTACATATGCAAGCATCAAACCCGAACACGCAGTGACTGCGTCTTCAATCTCATTTATCATCAGAATACAGGAGAGTGCCATCCTACATCGATATCACTCCTGAAGGAAGCACTACTAGAACTGGACAGTCAACAATATATTTTATCATTACCTAACAAAATCAAAGTAAAAATATCATGCGGTCAAGTAAAATTTCATCTGTTAAAAGGAAGCTACTTCGCAACGATTCCCCGAAATTGCAGCATTCACACACCAGAATTCACAATTGTTAATACTGATGACAAATTTTGTGGGCAACCTGTTGAAATAATGACATTCCCACATTCGACTCCGATGTCAGCAAATTCGAAGAAAACTTACCACATTATAATTTCACAACAATTGATTTGAACAAATTACATAATATTCAACATCAATTACTCATGGACCCACCTGTTAGACGATACCTACATACGTCATCATAATGTTAAGTGCACTTGCACTCATTAGTGTGGCTTACTACCTGAGACGGCGTAAGAACCAACAGCGAGTTAAATCTACACAGCCTCAAGAGATGGAAATGGCATCAGCGGGTTCTACACCATCCACCGAAGAAAGAAAAGCCGCAACATTTGCTCTCAATCTTCGCAAATAGTTGCTCATCTAGGAGGGAAGGTGTAACGAGTACAAGACTCGTCTACGTCACTCATACGTCACGCGTACATTATGTGTTTCCCAAGTGCAGGTGACTCGATTGAGCAATCGTGTTGAAAAGTGCTTATTAGACAGATTTAGTTCATGTAAAACCTTCGGACAGTTTTGGGAGTTGCTTGAGCTTCAATCGTAGAAGCATCTTGACGTATAGTTTGTAAGACCGGATCATCGGGATCAATTAATATAAATAATTTTGTATAAATTTTCTGACGGCTCAATTCCGTAATTGGCGCAGTCGGTAGGATAGTCGAGTCAGTGCGAGCATCATACTTCGATCCGCCTGATAGTCGTTTCGTCGGTGTGTCGACTATCTCTACGAATCTATGCGAAGCAGTCGTCAGACGGGAAAGAAGAATCAACTTCGAAAAACGGCGCTAATCCAAAAATCGATGGCCCATCACCACACTAAGCTAAGCATCCTGCTCCTGTGAGTTATATTATATAAGTTACGTATTCCTATTGGCTGACAGCGGCCCCTTTCCTGTCTCCCGTAGGACGTAATAAGTAAATTAAATAAGTTTGTTTTAATAGTTAGAAAGATTTCTAGATATTCCTATTGGTTGACAGCGGCCCCTTTCCTGTCTCCCGTAGGAAGTAATAAGTAAATTAAATAAGTTTGTTTTAATAGTTAGAAAGATTTACTCGTCTTGTACTCGTAACACACCAATAAACAACAACAATGTACTTAAATCAAACAATTATATTAAAAAATACTATAAGTAATTGTGAAAAATAAGTATTTGTTGCTATTTATTTTTACAGGAACTATTACTGTGGCATTTTGAGTTGCATTTTATATTCTTGGAGCGACACTTGCACTTTTTATCAATACGGTATCTTTTGCAGTGGCACATTATAAACCCTTGCTTACTTCCAGATGATAACATAGATGCTGAGCGAAGTGTGAATGTTCGTCATTCAGTTGCACATCACAAATGTTAATAAAGTTGGTTTCAGAAAGTGTAAACTCATTACGTGCAAAAAGTCTACCGAATATACCTTCCTTGTTTCCTAACTGGTAGAGACCTGATTGATTAATGCTCATAACAACACACATAACATTCCTGGGTGCTGCACGTCCTCTATCAACTTACAACCTGTCCGTCGTGATATGGTTAAAACAATGAATGCTCAGAACGCGTCATGGCTTTTCTTCATTGCCACAACGCGTTGAGATCGAATAGCATGTCAGGCACGACAAGAATTTCGCTATTTGGTCTTTCTGTGATTGCCACAACGCGTCGTGCGCGTTTTCATTAGAGCCATAACACGAATTTCGCGATGTGGTTTTTTTACTGTAACCACAACGCGCTGTGAGCTATTTTTCCGCTCACTGAGCGTTTTCGATCTTTGAACGTAACATATATATGGAAAAGATGGAGATGAAAAATGTTTGCTCATCTATCTAATAAATTAAACAGAAATTGCTCTTAATCTGCACTTTTTTTTCGTTGTCAGATGGCCCTCATACTACAGAAAAATTATGCTTGTCAGCTGCAACAAGATTGGAAGACTTCAAATTCAGATGAAAAATGCTCTCGTAGAGAAAACTTGAATGGTTACAAAACGCTTTTGGCTACTTTTCTAAAATAACTTTATTCTGTTGATAGCTTTGGTGCTTTTTTGTTTATTGTTGATTTGGTTTGATTTTGATTTTGATTGGTTTTAGTTATTTTTGCAAATAAGAAATCTTATAAGAATGTGTTTTTTCTTATTATCCCTCATTTTCTGCAAACGGTTTATGAGATACATATGTTTGAAATTTTTGTGACCAGAGCGATCAATAAATGATGCCAGAGAAATCAAATACTATAAATTATAGAAAAAAATATATTATATTCATGTAGTGAGAGAGAAAGAATACTATTCATTGAGCCTTTCATTTTCCTGTGGGAGTCGTAAGAAGCGACTAAGGGAACTCGGAGCTTCCATCCGCTCTACTGGCGCTTATCGCCCGCCTGGTTAGTTAATAGCGTGTGCATGGTGTAAAACTCGTGAAGTGCTCTTTGAGCGAGTTTCGGGGTTAGCCAGCGTACAAGCAGAGCTCGAGTGAGCGTTGCCGCGATAGACTCGGTCCAGGGGAAGCAGCCTTCGAACTGATGCCGGTCAGGGAGACCCGTAGAAACGGCTGACTCGCTGGCCGCCAGTGCCACAATCCAGGGCTCGAGCGTTCTTAACCTACCTAACCTTCGGCTACTTCCCAAAAAGTGTAAAGTAGGTAAGTATTCTTTCACGAAATTTTGTGAAAATAAAAGTATTTTTCTGGGAGTTATAATAACAAACCAAAAGGTCGTTTACATTGATTTATTTTATGTAGTTTTCCCGAAAATCGTGGTAAACCGTTTTCCTCCATAAGAGGTCAATTAAAGAGATTTTTTTTTAAATATTTCATAGCTAAATAAGAAAGAAAGAATATTGTCAATCTCTGTCCTGTTTTTGACTATTATGATTCTATTGAACTAAAAAGTAATTTAATTTGTAAAGAAATCTAAGTAATCCATAGGCCTATGCTAAATAAGCAGTGGGTGTTCAGCACCCATGGTTAAATTATGAAATATTTAGCTAAACATAACAATATGTAAATTGCTACAAAAGCGATGTTATTCGCTTTCGTTCCAAGCATCATATGTTTGTGACCGAAACACCTATGGCAATATTTACGTAAACACAATTTTATGTATACTTATAAATGCTTGTCTGCTGCATAACCATTATTAGGTGTTTGTGTTATTAATATTGCTTACAATTCTACTAGACTTGTTTAAGAACAGTCATGGATCGAATAAAATTTAAAGTAAACGGCGAAGAACATTCGGGTAAGTTCAAAATTATTAATGTGTGTATAGTAGAGTCTTTCTCCCTAGTAAAGCTACTCTACTAATAATAAGCAGTGTTTTATAAAAGAGCTACTAACCATACATTGGTTTATTTCAATGAGTATTTTTGGAAAGCTTTTTCATGTTAAAAGGGTTGCAAACCAGGCGTATGGCCCGTCTGATGGTAAGCAGTCAGCATATACTGTAGATCAGGGGTTCCCAACGTTTTATTGGTCAGGGACCACTTTTACATTATTTTTTTTTGGCACTGACCACTATTTTGTCACTAAATAACTAAATTTTAGTGTAATAAAAATAAACTGTAATAATCAAACTGAAACTTTAATAAAAATCTAATATGACATTAAATAATCAGAAATAATAACGTTTTTACCGGGCGCGCCCGCTAAATTCAAATTCATTCGCGGACCAACCATATTTTGGCTTCTGGGGACCACTGGTTGGGAACCATTGCTGTAGAATCTACAGTGTAGATAGACGCTTATGATACCAAAAATATTACTCGCCCCGTCTACCCTGACCAACTCCCCTAGCCAGTGGAGCCCTGAAACCTTACTTACCTTCCTGGAACTTCTGTAAGGTGGAGGCTACTTCCCCCGACGGGCTCTAATACGAACGGGAAATCCGCTATGCCCTACTTCTATTTATAATGAGTAGAGCTTTACAAAAATAACTTCATACATCAGTTGAATTTGTGAATATACCTAATTATATACCGTTTACAGAATCTGCCTATGCATCTCTTGAAAACTGGCCATAAGGAAACTATTCCACAAAATTCGACGTAAATGATGTGGCTGATTCTTTTTTATATTTTCGTTACCTCCCAGGCGGGAGAGCGGGCGTGAAATTAAATCCTCATGGGTACCCTGCAGCCGACTGTAGTAGTTAGGTACCTATATCAGACTCACTCGAACGACCGCATTAGGGTTTCTGATTTCTCGATCAATTTTCGCTCTCGAGGAATTCTTGTGGGTTTCAAACAAGACATAATTTACAATTTTTAATTTTTTAAAGCATGTAACTGCTTGATGTTTAAATCCAAAGAAAATATAACTAGAAAAAATTCCACGCGGACCAGGCAGCAGACGGGACCCGAACCCGCACCCCTCGCAATCCGGGCGAATGCACCGACCAATTATGCTACCGCGGCCCTTACGGACCGCGTCGAAATTCCTTTAGCCATTCTTAAGCTGCAAGGCAGCGCCATCTCTTCGCATTGTAGGTAACCCACAATGTCAAATGAACACTTTTACAAGTATTAAACATTTGAAAGAAGAAATAGCAATTATAGTTACAATTTTTAATTTTTTAAAGCATGTAACTGCTTGATGTTTAAATCCAAAGAAAATATAACTAGAAACAATTCCACGCGGACCAGGCAGCAGACGGGACCCGAACCCGCACCCCTCGCAATCCGGGCGAATGCACCGACCAATTATGCTACCGCGGCCCTTACGGACCGCGTCGAAATTCCTTTAGCCATTCTTAAGCTGCAAGGCAGCGCCATCTCTTCGCATTGTAGGTAACCCACAATGTCAAATGAACACTTTTACAAGTATTAAACATTTGAAAGAAGAAATAGCAATTATAGTTACAATTTTTAATTTTTTAAAGCATGTAACTGCTTGATGTTTAAATCCAAAGAAAATATAACTAGAAAAAATTCCACGCGGACCAGGCAGCAGACGGGACCCGAACCCGCACCCCTCGCAATCCGGGCGAATGCACCGACCAATTATGCTACCGCGGCCCTTACGGACCGCGTCGAAATTCCTTTAGCCATTCTTAAGCTGCAAGGCAGCGCCATCTCTTCGCATTGTAGGTAACCCACAATGTCAAATGAACACTTTTACAAGTATTAAACATTTGAAAGAAGAAATAGCAATTATAGTTACAATTTTTAATTTTTTAAAGCATGTAACTGCTTGATGTTTAAATCCAAAGAAAATATAACTAGAAAAAAATCCACGCGGACCAGGCAGCAGACGGGACCCGAACCCGCACCCCTCGCAATCCGGGCGAATGCACCGACCAATTATGCTACCGCGGCCCTTACGGACCGCGTCGAAATTCCTTTAGCCATTCTTAAGCTGCAAGGCAGCGCCATCTCTTCGCATTGTAGGTAACCCACAATGTCAAATGAACACTTTTACAAGTATTAAACATTTGAAAGAAGAAATAGCAATTATAGTTACAATTTTTAATTTTTTAAAGCATGTAACTGCTTGATGTTTAAATCCAAAGAAAATATAACTAGAAAAAAAATTACAATGCGAAGAGATGGCGCTGCCTTGCAGCTTAAGAATGGCTAAAGGAATTTCGACGCGGTCCGTAAGGGCCGCGGTAGCATAATTGGTCGGTGCATTCGCCCGGATTGCGAGGGGTGCGGGTTCGGGTCCCGTCTGCTGCCTGGTCCGCGTGGAATTTTTTCTAGTTATATTTTCTTTGGATTTAAACATCAAGCAGTTACATGCTTTAAAAAATTAAAAATTGTAACTATAATTGCTATTTCTTCTTTCAAATGTTTAATACTTGTAAAAGTGTTCATTTGACATTGTGGGTTACCTACAATGCGAAGAGATGGCGCTGCCTTGCAGCTTAAGAATGGCTAAAGGAATTTCGACGCGGTCCGTAAGGGCCGCGGTAGCATAATTGGTCGGTGCATTCGCCCGGATTGCGAGGGGTGCGGGTTCGGGTCCCGTCTGCTGCCTGGTCCGCGTGGAATTTTTTCTAGTTATATTTTCTTTGGATTTAAGACATAATTTGCTTATAATGAGTAATAAAATTTAAACAAACGACGATATTGTGCTGTTTTTGGTTGCTTGAACTCCTCAATAACGCACCCAGAGATATCAATTTTTAAATTACCTGAAATTTTGGAAAGCTAAGACTATATAATATTTTTTTATATACCTATCTACTAGTACGTAATTTGTTTTTAATATTTAGGCATTTCGATTTTTCCATCGGGCAAAATATCTGGAATAATATATAAATAAGTGGATAGGGTGAAAAAAGAGACAAACGAGTAATCTACCTACACTCGCGTTAAAAACAAAACTACATAATAGGTAGGTAGTTTCCTAGACTAGGCTATCTACTTACTTAACTACATACCTACATTATTGAATAACTAATCTACATACATTATTGAATTAAATGAAATATCATTATGAAATCATTTACGAGAGTAATAAATGGTAGGTATTGTAGTGATCGGATCTTTTTGGTGTATACTGGCAGGTTATAAGGTAATTTGGAAAAGAGACGGATTGTTGACAGGAATTGATAGCTGGAAAATAAAAAATAGGGAGATTTGTGCCGAGTTTAAAAAACAGTATTTTGTTTATTGATAATAATAATGTAATTTCTTGAAAATAAAAGTGTTTCAATGACAATAATTAGTTTGCATGTAACGATCCCTACAGTACCTACCTAGTAAGATTTACCTACATTGTAGGTAATTTCCTTACCCGACTGCGCCATGACTTACAAATAAATATAACTCGTATGTTTAAAATAATATTCTTTTATTGAATTATGTAAGAATAAAAATCAGCAGTCGGGTTTTTTTACAAGCTTTTAATTAACTTGCAATATAGGTAGGTATATAACTTTGTTTGTTCGGGTGGAATCTTGAAACTCAATTTTGAAGCAGATATCTTCAACCGGTTGAGCTGGAATTTTGTATATACACGTTTTGATTAAAAAGCACGGTTAGCTGTGTGACGTCATTCTAAATCCAACATGGTGGAATAGTTATTTTTGATGCATTCCTACGATATGGGTATGGGCTTGCGGAGAATCTTTACATATAAAATAAAATAATTATAATCACAAAACTAGAAAGAAACTCAATTATGTAAATGAAATTAAAATACTGTAGGCGGGCGGCCCTACGCGTGTTAATGCAGCGCTCGGCCGTAGGCATTTATTTTAAGGACAGGGCCGAGTCACAATACTGTATAGATAATATTACCGTGACGTGACTCTAGTGCTGAACAAAACGCGGAGGGGATAGTTGCGCATGGGTAGGAGTGAAAAGCAAATCTAACAGTCATGGTCAGCGCTAGAGTTTCGTGCCGCGACTTATACTGTAAAATACTGGGCAACATTAAATATCCTTTACTTAAATTGTTTTGAAATAATTAACTATTTATGATATTAGAAAGGTAAGTCGGTTATTACAAACGAGTAGACTCGATTCGTGACCATAGTCACGAGTTTGTAATACCAATCCGCACGAATGTCATATAACGTTTTTCAACACATTTGCGAGAAAACTTTATACATAATTTAAGTAACAAAGCAATTTTGAAGTGAAAACTTCTTTAGCGGCGTTGTACACTTATTTTTGTATGGGTAAAAAATGTTAAGCCCGCGTCAGGTTGAATACGTGGGCTGATCGCATCATGACACACAATAAAATTGGAATGGTTGTTGACTTTTAATATATTGGACGAAACATAGTAATATTTTATTTTATCGTATTATAATAAAATAAACAGAAGAAAGTATAATTTTGTTTTGTTTTTTAAAGATTTTACCAAAGATTTAAAATAAAAAGTTGATTTTGATATGTTTTACTGTCTTTTTGTTACCACTTTCTATTACTACTACAATCCCGAGACTATCCCGGGATTAACTTGAGATAATCCCGAAATCCCGGGATTAGAAAAATCGACCGGGATCGATTCCTCTACCTACAATGCGAAGAAATGGCGCTGCAGCTTGAGAATGGTTGAATGGAATGGAAGAATTTAGACGCGGCCGTCAGTGCCGCGGTAGCATAATTGGTCCGCGCATTCGCCTGGATAGCGAAGGGTGCGGGTTCGAGTCCCGTCTGCTGCCTGGACCGCGTGGATTTTTTTCTAGTTATATTTTCTTTTCATTTAAATACAAAAGTTATTAAAATTATTACTGGCACTCCATATAAATCGTTTATTTCCCTATATAGTAAATATGCTTGGGAACTCGGAACGCCACCGCTACCGGCTTCAATGTGTTTTGGCCTTTAACGAAAACAGAGGTACCACCGATGTGCATTGTCATAAAATATTAGTTATAAATGAATAATGATATTGAATAGTATTTCGTTACGAAAGTAAATATTTATTCAGCAGTACCGGAATTGGGGTAACTAAAAAGTATCCATTGTTGAGCATGTCACAATTTTTATTTCAATTAACTGTTCAAATTTATTCTTTCGCAAGGTGTTATTAAACAGACGAATAATAAAAATAAACGGGTTTTCCAGATGTTTTGTTTAGTTTCTGTGTTTTCATTGGTATGCAATGCTTTTGCAATGTTTGTTCTGTGAATTCCTTCAGATTTCCATTCTAAAAAAGCCTATTCATATAACTGGTCTCCATTGCTAAAAAAGCCTATTCATATTTCCATTGCTGGATTCCCTGTCTCACGAATGAAATAGGAATAGTGGGCCAAATATTCACGATCATGCGCACCCATTGCAGATTGCTGGGTTCTAATAACTACAGCGATTAGTGGAGCTCGATGGCTCAGGTGGTTAGCGTGTTCGGCTTGTGATCGTGGAAGTTACGCAATGGTGGATCATTGTATGCGTGACAAAAAAGTTATTGTCACGAGCTCCTCCCTTTTTTATTTATGTATAGGGCCAGTAAAAATCGACAATATTCGTCCACCGGTCACCCGACACTCATTGTGAGGACCGAAGTCCCTACGAAGGGAAAGCGGGTATGGTTTCGGCAACCGAAACCTGGCCGCTCACCCGATGAGGATGGAGGAACATCAGCGGCATCCATATCCAGAGAACTTGTGTAATGCGAGCCCGCCCCTCCCGAGGACAGAATAGTGGCTCCCGCAGGAGAGGAAGGGAGAGCGTAGTTCTGTTCGTCCCTTTTGACGCTCCCTCAGAAGATGGCATCTGTAGATGCATCTGCCTCGACGTGTAGAGGAGGCATATGGTTGTGTCTTCAGACGGCCGCCAATTACCTACTTGCTTCTTTTGACATATGGGTGATAATATTATGATTCTATTTCTTCAGTGGGTAGCGAGGTGAGCTCGGATCTCATGTTAGTGGACTACTTACGGACACGTCTGGAGCTACACGGTACTAAATTCATGTGTCGCGAGGCTGGGTGCGGCGCCTGCATTGTCAACGCCGTCATTGCTTCTGGGGAGACCCCGCGAGCTGTCAATTCGGTGGGTACACAGATAAACATGGTCACATCTCCTTAAATGTATCTTATAATATAAGTATGTATGCTTGGCACTCTAGTTTTAAGCTATTATGCCGCGTTTCCACTAATGCTGTGAATAGTTCTGAGCGAGAAAACATTTGTTCGCTCGGTAAATAGAATGCTCAAAGCAAATGTTCGATTACCGTTGCGTAGTTTCCATAGATGATTGAGCAAAAGCATTCGTTCACTTGAGTTCTGTCAAACAACGTTGAACATATTCGTTCGCTCTGACGTTTCCATTTACCGAGCTAAAACAGAATAAGAAATGTTTGGTCCCCTAGAATTGTTTTGAGCACAGAACACAGAAAGAGGTTAGAAAGGTGATAGGCGATCGCCAGTATGAGAATCGATGTCGCCGGCTCGTCCCCACTACACTTCCACCTAATAGATAATAAGCCAATCAAACGACGCGACATCAAGCAACCGAACGAATCAGCGCTCACAGCCGTGACTGTGAGCGTTCATTCGTTCACACCGATTTTAGCTCTAGGGGTTGGCACTGAGTCGATGAAATATTATCGATATTAAATATGCCAAGTGCGAGTTGGATTTGATTTGATTGTATGGAATTTTTTGTATCAGAAAAGATAAAGAAAATGATTTAATGTAAAACGCATTACTACAGATAGTTATTTATTGACCTTGAAACAATATATATTTATGAAAAAGGTGATGCTTTGTTTCTTTTTAAAGTTATTTTTCAAAAGAAATATATATAATATTTCCATTACCACTTTAATTGAATCTGTTACGAGGTTAGATAATGGGAATTCACCGACTTGATGAAATGATATGTCATCAAATAATGAAGTGCCATTAAATTTTTTTTATATTTTTGGGACTAAAATTTCTTTTTTGACATTTTTCTAATTATCTGCATGTTGTCGTATTACAGTTTCTGCACTTTTGCATATTTTTATAACATCACCACGGACGGATATATCAGGCCACCTTTATCTTTAAACGAAATAAATTTATGTTAATTATTACTTGAATCTGATATTAGGGCTCCAGGGCAAATATCGTATTTGATTTTTTTTATTAGGACATGAACCACATTGCCTGCTATGTAGGCAAAGACTTGTGTACTAAAATCAGTAAAATCTTCATCCTCTTCGTTTTCAGATGGCTCTTTACATGCTCTTTCTACTGACTAAGTGGACAAGTTAATTCTCTCTATAGTCCAGTCAAAATAGACAAAAATAAGTCATAACTTAGGAATAATTCGCATAGAGCTGAAAATTGGCAGAGACGTTAAATACATGATTATAAATAAAATGTCTAAAATCCCCTTCGATCCTACTTCTGCATTTTTTTCAACTTTGAATCCGTCAAGTACATTGCCTCATAGGTGGTGCAGAAATGTATGCATAATATGTAAAAAATGAATTTAATTATTAAAACAGCGATATCTCAAGAAAACATAATTGTGTACGTTTGAGTTGAATATTTTTTTTGTAGAAGTAGGATCGAAGGGGATTTTTGACATTTTATTTATAATGATGTATTTAAAGTATTTTCAACCCTATTCAAATTATTCCTAAGTCAAATGTCTATTTTGACTGGACTATAAACAAACTCTTCAGCTTTATATTTATATTGTACTAGCTGTGCCCTGCGGTGTTACCTGCAGTTTATTAGGGATATTTTCCCGCAGTAAAATGTAGCCTATGTGTTTATCCAGGGTGTCAGCTAACTCCATACCAAAATTTTATTAAAAACGCTCCAGCCGTTTAGTCACAAACTTTCACCTTTATAATATTAAGTATGATAGACATTCACAATCAGCTTTTATTTATTTCTAAAAGTTACTTTAATTCCATTATAAGGTGTTAAAATTCAGTCGATAAAATCTATCGAAAATGTAAAATGTACGACGCAAGACACCACTAAAGTAGTTGCAATGACCTTGTACTGTGTGCGGCCACGTGCAGCGCTCTGTGATCCACGCGTCATTCTTGCTCGATCGTATTACATTACTTGTTTTGAATGTCGTACAAAGAATAGCGAGCGTACTTTGTCTGCAATGAATATTTTTGTGGAAATATATCTGTGATTTATCGTTTAATTAATATTTCTAAAATTTTTGCTAAAATATCAGTCTAACTAAGAAGTTTTATACCTACCGATGAAAAGAAATTCCTGCTTTAGGTAGATTTGACGATTGACTCCTTACTTTGCAAGTAATTACGGCACACGAAGGCATATTTTAAGCGGTAATCACAATACTCTATCACTGAGAGTTCGCGGGCAACTAAACGACGCGATCGGACGTTACGGTCAAGTTATGAGCATTTGCTCATAACTGAGACGCGCCTGCCCCGCCCACAAGGCCATTCTAACCTCTTTCTGTGTTCTGTGGTTTTGAGCGTAAAGTGGAAACGCAGCGTTAGATTAAAACGTCTTTAGGAACGGTTAAGCGTCTGCTGACGTCCCTGCCGCAAGGCTAATCTAGGGCGCACGGCGGACGGGCCAATATCGGCTTGTCTCTACACACATACCTGCTCTTCAGTGTTCAGGTATAAGTTGACCTATTAATAATGACCCCAGTATTATCAAAATATCGGTAGGTAGGGCCTTGGCTCTTTCTATGGTGTTAGCGCAAAAGGGAAATACTGGGCGAAGAAGTGGCAACACAAAGAAATGTATTGTAATTAAATAATGCTTGTGTTTTTTTATTCCACATGTGGGGCCGGTCTTTATATACTTCTATCACTCTAGCCCAAACTTTATGCTCATTATGATCTGCCGTCATGTTGATCGAAATACGTGCGCTCCGTGTGACAGTTATCAACCAACTGATTGAGAAATTGCCCCAAACGAGCTACTCACGTGGCAACGTGCAGGGCGGCAGGGACAATCTAGCTAGGGTGGTACCTAGGGTGGTCTCGCGACCCTGCCCACCTCCTGCAGGGCCAATTTAGAAAATTTCCCCTGCTTGCCTACACACATCAAAATGAAGGTGGCAATTAAGGGTTATCCCTACTCTTACACCCTAGATTGCGCCTGTGGATGGGATGTCAGTAGCCTGCTTTATCCGACAGCAGCATTGATATTGATTTTCGGTTTGATTTCTGACAGTATGATTTTCAGTATATTAGAAACCTAGCTCAGGGATAGAAAGAAAGTACCACCTCAAGTAGTATACAAGTGTCGAAGAAGTATAGTATTATTTCACTGCGCTTTTCTTTGAAGTAGGGTTTGAGTATCTACTTCCTCAAATGGACGCAGTGAGATAGTAACAGATCTGGTCATAGGAAATGTAAAATTTTTCAACAGTGTATGGTTTCAATATTATCGTGTCAAGACTGGGACATCACGACTATTGAGAAGGTTGGTAACAGAGGAGTTGGCTACAGCCCCGTACAGAAAACCTTGGCTGAAGAAAATGGTACACAATGTGGATATTGCTCTCCTGGCTGGGTAATGGCAATGCACGGGTGAGTAAAATGAATTCTTCTTGGTTGAAAGTGTAAGCTTATTTTTATTTCTGAATTACGTGCTTCGATATAAATGGTTCCCTACAAAGATCAAGACAGATAAGATAAGCATAATTTAAGAAATCGAAGGAATAATAAAACGTGTGACATACCTACATTAAACTGCTGACGGAGTTTTAAACATTATTTTTTTTATTCATACTTAGTTTACTCCAAAGTGGAAAGAAATTGTCAATGTTAGAAATAGAAAAGTCGTTCGGCAGCAATATCTGTAGATGTACGGGTTATAGACCTATTCTGAAAGCATTTAAAAAGTTTGCTAAAGATGCTCCAGACTCATTGATTACCGATATGGAAGATCTGCAGATTTGTGGGAAAACAAATAAAGTGTGTGACCATTCCTGCGGCAGTGATGATTGGTGTTTTGTACCTAATAATGTAACACAGAGTAATGTTATAAAAATAAACCTTAAAGATGGTAAGAAATGGTATAAAGTTACGACCACTTCTGAAATATTTGAAATTTTTAAGACCGAAGGCACTGATGATTATATGTTAGTAGCGGGAGACACGGCAAAAGGTAAACTTGACAAGGAAGTGCTATTAAATGCTATTATTAATGAAAACCAAACATTGATTTTATGTATTATGTATTAGGTGCAGTCCCTATTGACAAATACCCCTCAATACTGATTGATATTTCAAGTGTTTCCGAACTCAAAGGCCACGAGTTTGATCAAAATTTGATAATTGGCGCAAACACATCACTAACTGACGTCAAAGATATTTTCGAAAATGATTTTAGTAAAGATAACTTTGCTTATCTAAAACAATTAAAGGAGCATGTTTCGAAGATAGCTCATATTCCTGTAAGAAATGTAAGTAAAATTACAGAAAACTAAAAGATTATTTTGTAGCAAGATAGGTGCATTCCAAAGATAACTTCTTATTATTTTCAGTTGGCAACTATTGCCGGAAATTTAATGCTAAAACATAAACATAATCAATTTACTTCTGACATGTTTCTATTGTTAGAAACAGTTGGTGCATATCTAACCATACGTAAGTATTTATGTTGCTATTTTAACATTTTTCTTTACTTTCTTCTAAATTTCAATGGTATTTCCAATTGTCTTCTTAATAACGGCTAGTATCGACATTGCTTATGTTCCATTATATTCTGGTATTCTTAACTTATATATCCAGCTTTGAGAGGCATGGTAAGTTTTAAATTTAACGAGTAAAAAATAAATTGGTTGGTATCTCATATAGAAAGGTGTGCGTTGGAAGAAGATAATACACTCCCGGACTCTTGAATCGAGCGACCTTCAATCCTGGGCCTAAAAGCCCAATACACAAAAAATATACAATATAACAAAAAGGTTTTTATGCATTTTTAATGCTGGCATATTTCATCGTCTTTCCCGTATGTATTAATCCAAATTAGAATTTTAGAATTTAAAATAAAGAACAAAAGCCTAGCTTGGTCACTGATTTGAAAAAAATAATGACTGTTGTTTTTGATGCAATTTAATGTCGATTTGGTTTAAATTTTCGCAATTGTTGTAAACCAAAGTTTAGTTTAGTTATTTTTCTATAATTTGAACCGTTTTTGGCTATAAAATTATGGATACTTCACCTGAAGTAGCCGCGCAAGCTGTAGCACTTCTTCAATCTGGGCTAAGTCAGCGAGATGTGAGTTCACAACTTCACATAAATCGTTCCGCTGTTCAAAGAGTGTACCACCGATACCTGGAGACTGGCGGCTTCGTTCGGCGAACAGGAGGACCTCGTTACCGAGTGACAACGGCGAGACAAGATCAATAAATTGTCACTACTAGCTTACGAAATCGACGCCTTAACTGTTTAGATACAAGAACAGCTCAGGGACTTTCACGGAGTGGCTGTAAGTGCTCGGACCGTTAGAAGGCGACTCAATGAACTCGACATCAGTGGAGCCAGGTTCTCTTCACAGATGAGTCCAAGATAAAGCTATACGGTAATGACGGAAGGAGTAAGGTGTACCGAAGACAGAACGAGCGTTTCGCGCAATGCTGTATTGACGAGAAAGTGAGTTATGGTGGAGGATCATGGACAGTCTGGGGAGGAATCTCTATGGAAAGCAAAACTGAGCTAGAGGTAGTGACGGGATCACGACTGCCGCCCCTAGATGGCAATAGATACATTCGCCAATGTTTAGAGAACCACGTGATGCCATATGCTGGATTTAATGGCCAAGATTTCGTTTTAATGCATGATAATGCAAGGGCCCATACTGCGGGAATCGTCAGGGAGTACTTAAATGACATTGGTATCACTGTTATGAGATGGCCAGCGCGAAGTCCTGATATGAATCCCATAGAGCATCTATGGGATGAGCTGAAGAGGCGTGTTCGAGCTCATCATCCTGCCCCGCAAACCATGCAGGAGCTCAAAAATGTAATTTTGGAAGAATGGGAGGACATTCCTCAACATGTCATAACGACATTGATTAATTCTATGCCAAACCGTATGAGAGCTGTCATAAATGCACTGGGAGGCAATACAATTTACTAAATAAACATTTCATTTCATGTAAAACATGTCTTTATTTAAAAATCGATTAGATTTTTTTTCCTTGAAAAAAGCAAATATAGACTTGTTTCAACGTAAATCGACTTTTTTAATAAACTGTAGTTCAAATTTAGAACAGTGGCACTCTAAATGAATGATGAGTATACCAGCTCCAAAACTGCATCAAAACATTTTCTTTCTACAAACATCTTTTATAAGTTACAGTACTCCAAACCAAAAAAATCAAGGTGGCTCGATTTAGGTGTCCGGTAGTGTATAAATAAATAGGAAATCGTTGTGAGGGACATATTATGATGTAGATTTTAGAATTACCTCTAAGGAGAATTAAGAGAAGATGTATTCACCAGGTTGAAGTCACTTTTCATAAGTAATACTGTGAATAAATAAAAATACAAACGTGCACAATACTTCTTGATAATATACCTGGAAAGAGAATAAAAAGTTTGTCATCATCCTTGTTGTAATCATAAAATCTAATTCAACTATGTCATATAATTTTAGTCAATGCGCAAGGATCAAAGCAAGTTGTATCAATGAAAGAATTTATTGATCTAGATATGAAAGGGAAAATTCTGTATAATATATTGTTGCCACCACTAAGCGACCAAGAGTGTAAACTAGTAACCTGGAAAGTAAGTATATTTTACATATAATAGAAACTCTATAGAAAAATAATTGGTGTACCTACGTAATTTTGAATTTGAGGGAGATCCATAATTACAATAACAGATTTATGAAAAAAAATTGAGTAAGAACATTTACTTTCGATGATTACAGTAAGTATTTTTTTTAATAATTTCATCTGAATAGAATGCCTAAGTACTTCTAAGTATTTATATTCATTTCTTATATTTGAAGGTAATGCCTCGTGCTCAAAGCGCACATGCAATAGTGAATTGTGGTTTGCTAATAAAAATGAATAAATCAAATGGTACAGTATTGGACTTTCGAATAGTATTTAGTGGTTTGATTGCACCGTTCACAAGAGCATCAAAAACAGAGAATTATCTGAAAGGGAAACCACTCTTTGTAAATGACACTTTACAGTCTGCTCTAAAAATTCTGGATCAAGAACTAGTGGCTACGGAAGCTCCACCTGCACTTTCTGCTGCGTACAGGAAACAACTGGCTTTAGCCTTGTTCTATAAGGTATATTATTTAATAAAACAAAAAAAAAAACGGACTTGTGCTGTTCACATGCGATAGAAGTGAAACCTACAAAAATGTGAACACATTTAAGTCCTTCATGACTATGTACAACACCTGTGTTAAAATTCAACTCTCTAGGTCAAAATTAAATATTTTATACTTAAATTGTTTCGTAAAATAAATTATAGCTTTTTAAAAGAAAAAAATGAAAATGTGCGTTATGTTTAAAGACATTATTAAACTAATCACTATAAATGAAACATTAATATACAATTTAATTTAATTTCCTAGTTTTCGCAAACCAAAATAAGCTTTTCATACCACCTGCTCGACAATGTCCGATTATACACACATCAAAAGTGTCTAGGGATCAACATATATTTTTGCAATAACTTTTCTCCTGATTGATATTAATTAAAATTTTCTTTAAGGATTCATCAAATAAAGTGTTTTCGTTTGTCACAGTAACGATAAACCAAGTCACCTTTGCATTAATAAAGAAATTTGCCATTTTCCTAATAAAGGGATTTTTGACATTTGAACCACTAACACAAAAGTTCGAAAAAAAGACTGAAATAACAGTTTTCTCTAAAATTTTATTGGGTAACTTAAACAATTAATAATCCGTATTTCTACCGCGAACACTAACAACACAAGAACATCGGTTTGGCATACTCAAAATGAGTTCATCCAAATCACGCTGTGGAATGGCCGCCCATGTTCGTTGCAACACCAAAAAAAGGTCTTCTTGCGACTGGATACCCTCCATATTCGGCAGAGCTCTTCTCTGTAGCATATCCCATGCATGCTCAATCGGGTTCAAGTCTGGCGACTGAGCAGGCCAGGGCAGGACATTGATGTTAGCTGCGGCGAGAGTCTGTCTTACAACTCTTGCGGTGTGCGGTCGTGCATTATCATGCATAACTGAAATAAGGGACCGATTTGCACTTGTAGAGGAACGATGACGTCTGATACAATCGTCTCAGCATAAATTTGAGCGTTGAGGTTGCCTCTGATCCAAATCAACTCAGTTCTTCCGCCGATCCAAATACCCGCCCATACCATGATGGTTCCACCACTATAAGGATGGACTTCCTGGCAGGATTTTAATCGCTGTTGGCGTCCAGGGGTTCTCCAGTGTCGTATACGTCTTGTATCCGGTCTCATACCAAAACGAGACTCATCAGAAAAGCACACGAAACGCCATTGTTCTTCTGCCCAATTTCTGTGTTCAAGAGCCCATTGATATCGAATCCTACGATTGTGCATTGCTATAGGTGGTACCCGTAGCGGTCTTCGGGAATGAAGGTTCACTTCATGCAAGCGGTTTCTGACTGTTTTGTCGCTAATTAAGTTCCCTGAAGAGTGATGAAGCCTCACGGCTAACATCATGGCGGTTATTGTTGGAGCTCTTCGAGTTAAGATTTGAATGTATCGGTCTTGTCTCCGTGTGGTGCAGCGATACCGTCCTCCATGGCGCTCAGCCACGGTACCAGTGCTTCGGTATCGTGTCCAAAGTCGACTGATAACACTCTGACTTGTATTCAGAGCTAAAGCCACAGTACGTTGCCGGGAACCAGCTTCTATCATTCCCACGGCTCTGAGCATTTCTTCCCTGCTTAAATGACGTCGCCGCTCCATAATAACGTTGGTTTTAATCAGTAGTAGGGAAACAGTAGCACTAATAATGTCTTCAATGCGTTGTATGTTTTTATAGGGAAAATATTGACAGCTGATTTTCATCTTTTACTCGAATTTGATTCACAGTTCCTGATTCAAATTATGAAATGCACCAAAAAGGATCCATATAAATTTATAAAATCATAAATTTATTACAAAGCCACATCTCAATCTCAAGAAATCCGCATAAAAATGCTTGATCCCTAGACACTTTTGATGTGTGTATATCACGCAATCTCAAAGTAAACAGAAATCGGAAGGTCATCGGGCAAAAAGTCGAAAGTAGATATTTACTTACAACCTAAAATGTGGTAACTTTTCTAAATGACGCACCAGATCACATCTTTCTGGCCATGAAAGTGAGTATATATCTACCATATTTAATGAATTTTTCACGCTAATATTATAAATGCGAAAATTTCACAAATTTATTTTAAATACAATGTAAATCCTTATGTTTCTTTTGTTATAGGTGGCCTTGATTTATGGAGTGAATGGCGATTGTCGTGGAAATGAACTTCTTAACATAAAAGTCGAAGATATAGAAAAGCATTCAGATCAGTTATTGTTAATAAGCTTGCCAGATACCAAAACATAGAGAGAACGGTCATTCGTAGTCTGTAGAGAGCAAGTAAGAATTGTCGAAAAGTATCAAGCTCTACACCCTTCTAACATTAACTAACAGATTTTTCGTATCTTATAATAATGGCAAATGTACCAGACAAGTCATTGGCAAAAATAAAACTGGTGCTATTCCGAAGGAAATTGCTAAATACCTAAAATTGCAAAACGTAGAACTCTACACAGGCCACTGTTTTAGGAGGACAACAGCTACTTTTTTAAAAAACTGTTGCATATACGCGATAGATGATGTCTAAAAAATAACTACATATTTAAAAAAAACAACTTAAAGTTAAAAAAATAAATGAATTTATGAAGGTTAGATAGATAGAAGCTGTCTAACGATTATGACCAAGAAATAAGCTATTAACAACCGCATTTATAATAGACGATATCAAACTAAATAAATATTTTAAAACATCAGATATATAGTTATTATTCAAAATTAGTTAGCTAAAGCTTTTGTATCAAGGAAATCGGAAAAGAAAACCATACAACAATAGCTGGACCTGAAATAAATAAAAGTTAATTTTCTAAGTTGAGTCGACCGGGGTCGAACCCGAGACCAAGCCGGAACCGCGAGATTGCGACGCTTTAAATAATAAAACGCAACGAGTTCACCAATGGACCGCCAAAAGCTTTCAAGTAAATAGCGCGCTATTAACATAGCGTAATTAATAGCGTGCTATTGAACTTTTTGCTGTCTTTTTAATCTTGTTTCCCCTTTTTTTTCTTTGATAATCGCGACAATATTCTGCATTAGTTTTGAGCATATTTGAAGTAAAGAAGTATTATAAAAATTATGAATAATTTTATTATAAAAATGATAAAAAAACTCTACAAATGTATAATAAGTACAAGTATACAAAAGACCACGATTGTTGTGATGCCTTTTCTCAAGCTTTTTACTCTCCCAACGTCGCATGACACTTGAGTGTCATAAAAGGTTTTCCAGTCAAACGTTTAGGTAACTTGAGTGTCCTCTGTAGGTGGTTCTCTATTTTGCTCATTATCACGCTTTAGGAAGTATCTATAACGCTGTTTGTCACTTTAGTTTAAGCAAAATATGTAGCTGGCGTTGTCAGTAAAAATTGCAAACATTGGAAAGGTAAGGATTGTTGATAAAAACCAAGCCTGTATTTATAAACAATTTAGGTACCTACTAAACATTTAATACTTAACTACCTATTCAGATATTGTAAAATACTGGGCAAATTTAAATGTTTTACACTTAAATTGTTTCGAAAAACAAATAAAAGCTTAATAAAAGAAAAAAATCAATTAAAAAATAACAGAGTTTAGGATCGAACCACCGATCATTTGGTGTTGACCCCGAGCCCGTTACCTTTCGGCTATCTGTCTCTTAGAGTTAATGTTAAAATTACGGATACCTATTTTGTGTTGAATACTCTACTACCGTTTCATATACTAAAGAAGTTTTCACTTCAATATTGGCCACGCTAAGTTAAATATGAAAGATGAATAAAGATCAAAATTTCACTGATTAAGTATAAGAAGTAATTAAAATAATGTTTGTTTTTACTGTACTGTAATGTTTCTAGGGACTTTTGGTACTATGCCCAAGTGAAAAACTTAATTTTCGATACCGCTCTGGTGCTAAAGACCTTCATGACTCAAGGCCCGTATCAACTGCTAGCCAAAGCTACTCCACTGATAAAAATGTTTACCCACTCAATAAAGCAACACCGAAAGTTGAAGCCCTGGTAAGTTCCTCCGAACTGAGTCTCAACTAAGGTAAGTATATAACTATAATATTGTTTTAAACTTTCATGGTCAGTAACATTATAGCTATTAAAGGGATTGTTACCATGTACTTTGTTTTTTATGAGTCTCCGATATTTCGGCACTGTTGTATGTGTAAAAACCGCAAAAATCAAAAGTGTCGTTCCGCGATCTGATACTGTGAGTATTCTGTGTAGGGAACAAGTGCGAGTGAATAGTGAGAATCTGACCAGTGGTAGGGGTATCGAGCGCAGTAAAAGACGACGTCAGAGGGTAGACCGATATGTCTGCCAATAACATCTACCCGCAATTACTTCAGTTACTCCGTGATCATGGCGCTTGCAACAGTGCCGAAATAGCTATAAAGTATATAACTTCCTTAAAGCTAAGAGAGACTTTAGATTGATTTTTAAACAACAATATTTTATGTCTCAGATACAAACTGCGGGAGAAGCAAAATATACAGACGATATACTTTCAGTGCCAGGGGAAGTTTTTGGTGCATTGGTGTTGAGTACTGTTGCTAAAGGTACTATTGAATCCATAGACGCTGAAGAAGCATTGGTATGAATTTAATTTAACAAGGTTAACTGCAATCCTCAAGTTCTATTTTTACACAACTGTTAATTTTATTTTCAGAGACAACCTGGCGTTATAGTATTTTTTTCAGCCAAAGATATTCCTGGAAATAATTCTTTTATGCAACTTGGAATAATAGTAGAGGTAGGAGATGAAGAAATATTCTGCAGCGAAAAAGTGATGTACTTCAATCAACCACTTGGAATAATTGTGGCAGAATCAACGGCTATAGCCGAACGAGCCGCCAAACTGGTTAAAGTTCAATATACGGATGTCAAGAAACCTGAGATAGAAATCAAAAATGTTAGAAACGATACATCAAGGACTAAATTGTTTTTGCCACTTCCTGCTATCGGGAGAGGATTGTTTGTTGACAAAGTTTTCAAGAACAATTATACTATATACAGTCAATGCCATTTTCCTATGGAGAATATTAAATGTGTGGCTCGGCCAACTGAACAAGGGTTGGAAATAGATTCATCAAATAAAGTGTTTTCGTTTGTCACAGTAACGATAAACCAAGTCACCTTTGCATTAATAAAGAAATTTGCCATTTTCCTAATAAAGGGATTTTTGACATTTGAACCACTAACACAAAAGTTCGAAAAAAAGACTGAAATAACAGTTTTCTCTAAAATTTTATTGGGTAACTTAAACAATTAATAATCCGTATTTCTACCGCGAACACTAACAACACAAGAACATCGGTTTGGCATACTCAAAATGAGTTCATCCAAATCACGCTGTGGAATGGCCGCCCATGTTCGTTGCAACACCAAAAAAAGGTCTTCTTGCGACTGGATACCCTCCATATTCGGCAGAGCTCTTCTCTGTAGCATATCCCATGCATGCTCAATCGGGTTCAAGTCTGGCGACTGAGCAGGCCAGGGCAGGACATTGATGTTAGCTGCGGCGAGAGTCTGTCTTACAACTCTTGCGGTGTGCGGTCGTGCATTATCATGCATTAACTGAAATAAGGGACCGATTTGCACTTGTAGAGGAACGATGACGTCTGATACAATCGTCTCAGCATAAATTTGAGCGTTGAGGTTGCCTCTGATCCAAATCAACTCAGTTCTTCCGCCGATCCAAATACCCGCCCATACCATGATGGTTCCACCACTATAAGGATGGACTTCCTGGCAGGATTTTAATCGCTGTTGGCGTCCAGGGGTTCTCCAGTGTCGTATACGTCTTGTATCCGGTCTCATACCAAAACGAGACTCATCAGAAAAGCACACGAAACGCCATTGTTCTTCTGCCCAATTTCTGTGTTCAAGAGCCCATTGATATCGAATCCTACGATTGTGCATTGCTATAGGTGGTACCCGTAGCGGTCTTCGGGAATGAAGGTTCACTTCATGCAAGCGGTTTCTGACTGTTTTGTCGCTAATTAAGTTCCCTGAAGAGTGATGAAGCCTCACGGCTAACATCATGGCGGTTATTGTTGGAGCTCTTCGAGTTAAGATTTGAATGTATCGGTCTTGTCTCCGTGTGGTGCAGCGATACCGTCCTCCATGGCGCTCAGCCACGGTACCAGTGCTTCGGTATCGTGTCCAAAGTCGACTGATAACACTCTGACTTGTATTCAGAGCTAAAGCCACAGTACGTTGCCGGGAACCAGCTTCTATCATTCCCACGGCTCTGAGCATTTCTTCCCTGCTTAAATGACGTCGCCGCTCCATAATAACGTTGGTTTTAATCAGTAGTAGGGAAACAGTAGCACTAATAATGTCTTCAATGCGTTGTATGTTTTTATAGGGAAAATATTGACAGCTGATTTTCATCTTTTACTCGAATTTGATTCACAGTTCCTGATTCAAATTATGAAATGCACCAAAAAGGATCCATATAAATTTATAAAATCATAAATTTATTACAAAGCCACATCTCAATCTCAAGAAATCCGCATAAAAATGCTTGATCCCTAGACACTTTTGATGTGTGTATATCACGCAATCTCAAAGTAAACATAAATCGGAAGGTCATCGGGCAAAAAGTCGAAAGTAGATATTTACTTACAACCTAAAATGTGGTAACTTTTCTAAATGACGCACCAGATCACATCTTTCTGGCCATGAAAGTGAGTATATATCTACCATATTTAATGAATTTTTCACGCTAATATTATAAATGCGAAAATTTCACAAATTTATTTTAAATACAATGTAAATCCTTATGTTTCTTTTGTTATAGGTGGCCTTGATTTATGGAGTGAATGGCGATTGTCGTGGAAATGAACTTCTTAACATAAAAGTCGAAGATATAGAAAAGCATTCAGATCAGTTATTGTTAATAAGCTTGCCAGATACCAAAACATAGAGAGAACGGTCATTCGTAGTCTGTAGAGAGCAAGTAAGAATTGTCGAAAAGTATCAAGCTCTACACCCTTCTAACATTAACTAACAGATTTTTCGTATCTTATAATAATGGCAAATGTACCAGACAAGTCATTGGCAAAAATAAAACTGGTGCTATTCCGAAGGAAATTGCTAAATACCTAAAATTGCAAAACGTAGAACTCTACACAGGCCACTGTTTTAGGAGGACAACAGCTACTTTTTTAAAAAACTGTTGCATATACGCGATAGATGATGTCTAAAAAATAACTACATATTTAAAAAAAACAACTTAAAGTTAAAAAAATAAATGAATTTATGAAGGTTAGATAGATAGAAGCTGTCTAACGATTATGACCAAGAAATAAGCTATTAACAACCGCATTTATAATAGACGATATCAAACTAAATAAATATTTTAAAACATCAGATATATAGTTATTATTCAAAATTAGTTAGCTAAAGCTTTTGTATCAAGGAAATCGGAAAAGAAAACCATACAACAATAGCTGGACCTGAAATAAATAAAAGTTAATTTTCTAAGTTGAGTCGACCGGGGTCGAACCCGAGACCAAGCCGGAACCGCGAGATTGCGACGCTTTAAATAATAAAACGCAACGAGTTCACCAATGGACCGCCAAAAGCTTTCAAGTAAATAGCGCGCTATTAACATAGCGTAATTAATAGCGTGCTATTGAACTTTTTGCTGTCTTTTTAATCTTGTTTCCCCTTTTTTTTCTTTGATAATCGCGACAATATTCTGCATTAGTTTTGAGCATATTTGAAGTAAAGAAGTATTATAAAAATTATGAATAATTTTATTATAAAAATGATAAAAAAACTCTACAAATGTATAATAAGTACAAGTATACAAAAGACCACGATTGTTGTGATGCCTTTTCTCAAGCTTTTTACTCTCCCAACGTCGCATGACACTTGAGTGTCATAAAAGGTTTTCCAGTCAAACGTTTAGGTAACTTGAGTGTCCTCTGTAGGTGGTTCTCTATTTTGCTCATTATCACGCTTTAGGAAGTATCTATAACGCTGTTTGTCACTTTAGTTTAAGCAAAATATGTAGCTGGCGTTGTCAGTAAAAATTGCAAACATTGGAAAGGTAAGGATTGTTGATAAAAACCAAGCCTGTATTTATAAACAATTTAGGTACCTACTAAACATTTAATACTTAACTACCTATTCAGATATTGTAAAATACTGGGCAAATTTAAATGTTTTACACTTAAATTGTTTCGAAAAACAAATAAAAGCTTAATAAAAGAAAAAAATCAATTAAAAAATAACAGAGTTTAGGATCGAACCACCGATCATTTGGTGTTGACCCCGAGCCCGTTACCTTTCGGCTATCTGTCTCTTAGAGTTAATGTTAAAATTACGGATACCTATTTTGTGTTGAATACTCTACTACCGTTTCATATACTAAAGAAGTTTTCACTTCAATATTGGCCACGCTAAGTTAAATATGAAAGATGAATAAAGATCAAAATTTCACTGATTAAGTATAAGAAGTAATTAAAATAATGTTTGTTTTTACTGTACTGTAATGTTTCTAGGGACTTTTGGTACTATGCCCAAGTGAAAAACTTAATTTTCGATACCGCTCTGGTGCTAAAGACCTTCATGACTCAAGGCCCGTATCAACTGCTAGCCAAAGCTACTCCACTGATAAAAATGTTTACCCACTCAATAAAGCAACACCGAAAGTTGAAGCCCTGGTAAGTTCCTCCGAACTGAGTCTCAACTAAGGTAAGTATATAACTATAATATTGTTTTAAACTTTCATGGTCAGTAACATTATAGCTATTAAAGGGATTGTTACCATGTACTTTGTTTTTTATGAGTCTCCGATATTTCGGCACTGTTGTATGTGTAAAAACCGCAAAAATCAAAAGTGTCGTTCCGCGATCTGATACTGTGAGTATTCTGTGTAGGGAACAAGTGCGAGTGAATAGTGAGAATCTGACCAGTGGTAGGGGTATCGAGCGCAGTAAAAGACGACGTCAGAGGGTAGACCGATATGTCTGCCAATAACATCTACCCGCAATTACTTCAGTTACTCCGTGATCATGGCGCTTGCAACAGTGCCGAAATAGCTATAAAGTATATAACTTCCTTAAAGCTAAGAGAGACTTTAGATTGATTTTTAAACAACAATATTTTATGTCTCAGATACAAACTGCGGGAGAAGCAAAATATACAGACGATATACTTTCAGTGCCAGGGGAAGTTTTTGGTGCATTGGTGTTGAGTACTGTTGCTAAAGGTACTATTGAATCCATAGACGCTGAAGAAGCATTGGTATGAATTTAATTTAACAAGGTTAACTGCAATCCTCAAGTTCTATTTTTACACAACTGTTAATTTTATTTTCAGAGACAACCTGGCGTTATAGTATTTTTTTCAGCCAAAGATATTCCTGGAAATAATTCTTTTATGCAACTTGGAATAATAGTAGAGGTAGGAGATGAAGAAATATTCTGCAGCGAAAAAGTGATGTACTTCAATCAACCACTTGGAATAATTGTGGCAGAATCAACGGCTATAGCCGAACGAGCCGCCAAACTGGTTAAAGTTCAATATACGGATGTCAAGAAACCTGAGATAGAAATCAAAAATGTTAGAAACGATACATCAAGGACTAAATTGTTTTTGCCACTTCCTGCTATCGGGAGAGGATTGTTTGTTGACAAAGTTTTCAAGAACAATTATACTATATACAGTCAATGCCATTTTCCTATGGAGAATATTAAATGTGTGGCTCGGCCAACTGAACAAGGGTTGGAAATATATTCAACTACGCAATGGATTGACGCTGTAAGATACACCGTTGCGCGTGCGTTAAAAATAGATGAAAATAGGTAGGCATCAGTTTGAAAATATATTTCTTCATAAGGCACAGCTACATATACCACCCCAGTATGTGTAGACTAAGTAAAGTTACAAAGCTGTCGCTGGAGAAAAATTTGCCGCTCCATTTTATATAAATATGACTATTACGCTAATTTTGTAAAATGGGACACAACACAACTGCAAATATTACTACCACCAAAAGGCAGCGTAATTTACTGTGTCTTCTTTAGGGTGAAGGTTACTTCTTCAGACGGGCGCACCAACTCGAGCTGAAATTCCGCTATGCTCTACCTCTCTTAACTTCGATAATGTAGTAAAAAATTTTTAACATAATAATATACCTATACTATTTATGATTTTTAGTGTTGATGTGTATGTGCCTCGCCTTGGCGGCGCTTTCGGTTTGAAGATAAGTCGTGCTTCGTTGTCTGCTATCGCTTGCAGTCTTGTTGCATATAAGTTGAACAAGCCCTGTCGTCTTATCCCATCGTTAGCTGACACGACCAGATCAGTTGGAAAGAGGCTTCCTTGCTCTGCTGATGTCGAGGTAAGTTATACATTTGGGGTGGGCTACTCGCACAAGGTACACAGAAGATGGCCTGCACATTGCGTAGCAGCACTGCTTTATAAAGCATTTATGTTGTAACCTCTCTTTGTGCAGAGCGGCGTTCCTTTTTTTCAAAATTGCTGGATGATTCATTTTCTTAGTTGTGGAGAAATTCAAGATAAAATATAATAGTTAGTGATCATGTTCTGAAGCAACCGCTGACATCGCATGGAATGTCCTACTGAACGCCAAAATCAGGCCAAATTTCGTGCTTCGTATTATTTTTTACTTATAATGTTGTTTTTATAAATTCTGATATTTAAGGTCGGTGTTAATAAGAAAGGCGAAATACAATATGCTATTTCGAAACTTTACGAAGACAATGGTTATGCAGTAACCGAAATTGTAGCTGTTTTAGGGATAGACGCCTGTGTCAATGTTTACAAGAAGTTGTGGTGGGATTACGCATGTTATAATTCCACAACCGACACCGCCAAAAATACTTATTGCAGAGCTCCAGGTGAGAAAAAATAAGTTTATGGGAATTTAATTATGTACTTACTTTAACAAATCTTGTTAATGGAAGTTCTTTGTATAATACCTTTACCTGCGACCAATACATAACATAACCTAACCTATTGCGATACAGCCTTTTAATGGCCTATGTAGGTACTGGTAATTACTTTATTATCGGATAGCCATACTATATCTATTCCTTAGTCATTTACATTGCATGCTTAAGTATTTTACAGAGTATGTAAGCAGATTACAACAAGTACAAAATAATAAAGCTTTCCGCGTTCTACAAACAATCCGCCAGCGACGTACTTATCCAACACATTAGGAAAGAGAATGTCTAGAAAAGTACCTACCTATACAATAAATTAAAGCTGACCCAGCGAACTCCATACCGGCATAAAAATATGGGCTGGTTGTAGAAGGGTGAAAATTTAGGCCTGTAAGTATTGTTACGTGGATGGGGTTCGAAATTATATGCCAGTTCACGCTTGACAGTTATTTATTCACCACACAGTTCACACAATTAACGCACAATGTTAATTACAAAACACTCACTAAACACTGTATTTCACTATACAAGTCTCTAAACAATCTCACTTGAACACTTTTGTTACACTTAGATCGCCTTTGGATTCGCTCCGAAATCGCTGTTGAAACTCAACTGTCTCTGCGCGGCGCCAATCGCGCTTATATACGCCGATCGACGCATTCTAGAAAGTACCTGTTAAATTGAGAATTACCTAGCACCCGCGAGTACGAAATACCTACTTATAGCTACGCAGGTAACACGCATAACTTGTAAACAAGTGCAGATGTCGTTGCACTATCTCCCTTACGCCGCACTGCATAAGTCTCATTTCAGAATGAGCCGCATTACTCGACCTCTATCGCGACCCGCGGTGATCTGGCAAATTAGATCTCCGGCACTTTCGCGGTTACGTTTAGAGAGCGTTTGTGACATTGCCCCCCTCTTAGACATGCCCGAGCATCATTGCTGCCGTGGTAAAGTGCCAGGCGATCGATGTGGATTATCTTGGGCTTCTTCCGATCTCCCTGTCTTATCCGATAGGTCACATCGTTCATTTTATAGGGTCCTTCCCAGCGGGGCTGAAGCTTTGGGGACTTTCCAATCCTTTTCTGTGGGTTGTGCAACCAAACGAAGCCTCGAGTGTCGGCATTCCGATCATACCTGCTTTTCATTTTCTCGCCAGATTTCATGTTGTTTTCACGCACGAGGTCGTGCGTTTCGTCAAACCTTCTTTGCAGCTCTGCGACGTCGGATTGTGGGTGTGCCGGAGTCGTACGCGTCTTATTTATTCCGAGTAAATTGCACATCTCCTGGAATAAGTTTGACTCAAAATTCCTTCCTTGATTGCTGTGTAATTCCAAAGGAACGCCGAATCGGCACACTACTTCTTCAACAAGCCCCTTGGCGACGGTCTGAGCCTCCTGGTTTGGTGTAGCAAATACTTCGGGCCATTTTGTGAAATAATCTTGAACCACCACAATGTAACGGTTTCCATCTTCTGTTTGTGGAAAAGGCCCAGCGATGTCAATGGCAATTCTTTCCCAAGGAGCGCCGACCTGGTAAAGCTGCATCTTCCCCTTGGATCTTGTACGAGGCCCTTTGACCGAGGCGCAAACATTACATTTCCTACACCAGTCCTCGACATCTTCTCGACAGCGCATCCAGTAGAAGCGTTCCCTCACTTTTACCAATGTCTTCCTTATTCCCAGGTGTCCACCAGACGTACCATCGTGCACATGCCTTAAAACCTGAGACACTTTGCACCTAGGGACCACCGTTTGAAGAGTCTGATCCTTACCATTTGGTGACTCCCATTTCCGATACAGCACGTCTTCTTGTAACAGAAGACTGTCCCATTGGGCCCAGTATGCCTTCGTGATTGGGCTTGAAGCGGATATGTCACTCCATGATGGTTTCCGTCCTTCACTTTTCCCCTTCATTATCAGCTGCAGGTCCTTGTCTTCCTTCTGCGCCCGAGATATTTCAGCTTTACTCCAGGATTCATCCAATTCTTGAGCCCTTATAACCTTCACTTCGTCTTTGTACTCGCATTTTAAACAGTGCTTACAATCTTCAGCACAAGGCCGCCTTGATAATGCAGCATTGGCGTGCGTCTTTCCGCTCCGGTGTTCTATTGCAAAGTTGAATTCTTGCAGCTGTTCGATCCATCTCGCCGCTTGACCCTCAGGGTTCTTGAACTGGAGTAACCATTTAAGTGCTGCATGGTCTGTACGCAGAGTGGACTTTCTTCCCAGCAAGTGCTTATTGAAGTGTTGTAGGGTCTTTACAACTGCTAGAAGTTCGCGTCGAGTTACACAATAATTTCTCTCTTGCTTTGAAAGAGATTTGCTGAAGTAAGCGATAACAGCTTGTTGTCCATTTTGTTCTTGTGACAGTATTCCGCCGATTCCAGTATTACTAGCATCAGTATCCACAATGAATCTTCCCTCTCTTCTTGAATAGCTTAGGATTGGTGCAGAACAAAGTAAATCCTTTAACTTCGTGAAAGAACGCCGGCAATCTGTGTCCCACACGAAGTTTCTTTTCTCTTCCGTGAGACGATGTAATGGCCTGGCTATCTCAGAGAAGTTCTTCACAAATCTGCGGTAGTACGCACATAGGCCTAGAAAAGCTCTCACTTCAGTCTTATTTCTCAGTGTTGGCCATTCCTGCACAGCTTTTACCTTTTCAGGATCAGTTTGGACACCCTTGTCAGATATTATGTGCCCCAAGAAGGCTACCTCTTTCTTGAAGAACGCGCACTTTTCTGGATTGAGCTTCAGGTTTGACTCGCGGAATCTTCTGAACACTTTCTCTAGATTCCTCCAGTGTTCCGTGAAGCTGCGTCCCATAACGATCACATCGTCCAGGTACACCACACAGGCATCCCCCAATAACCCCACCAGCACACGTTCCATGAGTCGTTCAAAAGTGGCTGGTGCGTTGCACAATCCGAAGGGCATGACCCGAAACTGCCACAGCCCTTTTCCAGTACCAGTAGTGAATGCAGTTTTCTCTTTATCCTCTGGGCGAAGTTCCACCTGCCAGTAGCCACTCTTCAGGCCAACGGTAGAGAACCACTTCATGTCTCCCAACATGTCCAATGTGTCGTCAATACGAGGCAATGGATAGCTGTCCTTCTTGGTCACATTGTTGAGCATCCTGAAGTCCACGCAGAACCTGGTGCTGCCGTCTTTCTTCTTCACCAATACTACTGGAGATGACCAGGGGCTAGTTGATTGTTCAATGATCTTATCACGTGACATCTTCTCAATCATGTCCGCTACTTCCTGTTCTCTTGCCAGAGGCACTCGTCTAGGTCTTTGTTTGATAGGCTGTGTATCACCGGTGTGGATTGAATGCTTGACAAGGCCAGTCCTCCCAAGGTCATTTTCTCCATTTGAAAAGATGTCCTTGTAGTCTAATATTAGTTGCTTGGCTTCATTATACAAGTTAGGTGGCAAACTTGTCTTCATTTTCTCCAGTAACGGATTCATGTGCCTCGTTGAAGGTGGTTCTCTACAGCATTCTTGAGTTCTTCTCATGTAGTCTACACCTGCGCATCGTCCGATGACCGAGTTCTTCCATAACTGTATCGCAGTGTTGCTAGTGTTTACGATTTTTACCCTTGCCCCTCTCTTGGTCATGATCAAGGTTCTAGCCGTGATCCAACTAGGGTGACTCCCGGTGTCTTCTACTACGACACATCGATTCAGTGACGCTCCTTCCGGAAACTGGACTTCTACCAATGTCTCTGACCTCGCTGGTAGGGTAACCGTTCTGACGTTGTAGACCACTGGTGGAGGGTTTCCTTCTAGAAATATTTCTTGATCCGGAAAATTCAATACTCCTCTAGCGATATCCACCACACAATGCTGTGATCGTAAGAAGTCCAGTCCGAGTATACAGTCGTCCGTTATGTTAGCGACCAAGACGCTTTGTCTGTAGATTTTGTCTCTGGTCACTGGCTGGCCTGTAGCTGTTTGCAATTGACACGTAGATCTTTTACCTTGCCACATAATTGTACGCTTGAGAAGTTCCGGCCGTACGATAGTTTTCGATGCCCCTGTGTTAATTGTAAGTTGTGCAGGCTTGCCGTTTATTTCTCCTGCGGTTACGAGACTATTTTGATCACATGTCTGTGATACTCGCACTGTGGGAGCTAGACGACGTCCAGCTCGTGCCAGTTCTGCAACCGAGTCCACACTACAATCAACCTGAGTAGCGGTTGACATTGACCCGTTTCTCCGCTGGACCGGACAGTTAATCCTGATGTGTCCTCGTTCTCCACATCCATAGCACATTGGTCTACCTCGAGGCTTGACTGCTGCAACGACTTCTCGCACTCTGTGCGTATTGTAGTCACTGCGTACCGTCTCTACCTCCAGCGCGTGTGCTAAAGCGGTCTCCAGGGTCGTGTGATGTCCCAATCGAACGGCCGCTCTTACTTCGTGGTTTATTATACCATCCACAAAAGCTTGAACTACAATGTCTTCTATGGATGTCTTACTGGACGCATAAGCGCGACGCACCAGTCGTTTACTCTCCGTGGCCCACTGCTGCAATCCTTCTCCTGGTTTCTGTGACCGTTCTTTTAGTTGCGCTCGATACACATGTTCTAGGTGTTTATCCCCGTAACGAGCCTCCAGGGCTTTGAGGAGAGTTTCCAAATTTCGTTGATCGGCAGGTACATTCTCTAATATCAGAAGAGCATCCCCCCTGAGCGCAAGAGTGAGTGCGGTCAGGGCATGTTCGTCCTCCCAGCCGTTCCCTTTGGCTACGACTTCAAATTGGTGTCTGAATGCCGTCCAAGAAGTTGTACCATCAAACGCCGGTACTTTAAATTTAGGTGCCGTGGTACCCGTGGTTGCTATGGCGGTGCTGATGACCTTGGTTTTTTGAAGGTCTCTTAACATTTTCTCATGGACCTGTAGAGTCTCCTTGCATTCGCCTATGCTCTCCTGGTGTTTGTCTAGGGTCTCCTGGTGTTTGCTGGTACGACTCTTTACGCATTCTATTTCGTCTTGGATGCCGCACAAAGTTGTTTTGAATGCTTCAAATTTCGAGTCAATAGCAGCCTTCACGTCCTCCTTGACATCCTTAAGCGCTTGTTGTTGACTTTCCATAGCTTGGCGTTGACTCTCCTTGAAGTCCTCAATAGCTTGTTGTTGACTCTCCTTGACGTCTTTGATAGCCGCTAACAATGTCAATAAGTCGAGCGCAGGCGCAGTAGTTGTAGCGGCAACACCACTGTGGTGAGCAGTCTGTGGTATGCTTGAATCTTCATCAGGCGCCGCTACTCCCGACTCCCGCGAATGTTCCATTACGGCCTGCCGCCGAGTGCGTACGCCTTCGCTTCCGTCGCGCGGTGTGACTGGCATGTCACTTCTGTCACCAGTTGTTACGTGTCGGGATGGGGTTCGAAATTATATGCCAGTTCACGCTTGACAGTTATTTATTCACCACACAGTTCACACAATTAACACACAATGTTAATTACAAAACACTCACTAAACACTGTATTTCACTATACAAGTCTCTAAACAATCTCACTTGAACACTTTTGTTGCACTTAGATCGCCTTTGGATTCGCTCCGAAATCGCTGTTGAAACTCAACTGTCTCTGCGCGGCGCCAATCGCGCTTATATACGCCGATCGACGCATTCTAGAAAGTACCTGTTAAATTGAGAATTACCTAGCACCCGCGAGTATGAAATACCTACTTATAGCTACGCAGGTAACACGCATAACTTGTAAACAAGTGCAGATGTCGTCGCACTTTCTCCCTTACGCCGCACTGCATAAGGCTCATTTCAGAATGAGCCGCATTACTCGACCTCTATCGCGACCCGCGGTGATCTGGCAAATTCGATCTCTGGCACTTTCGCGGTTACGTTTCGAGAGCGTTTGTGACAGTATGTATTTTTTAATGCCACATTATAAAAATTAAAAAAAAAACCGGTCGCACTCCGGGAGAGAATGAAAACTTGAATATTAACGTTGTGCATTTTTGATATTTTGGAATGGTTAGGGAATAATTTTGCACGAATTGCTTTAGTTATCAGTATAAAAGTACTATCATTTATGTGGTAGAGTACAATATTTATTTATTGCGCTATCGTACACAAACATGACAATTCATATTACATTAAAAAGTTTATCTCTCGAAAAAATCAACTTACATGAATCCCATTTAAGCGCTCCTAGTGACATCTATTGTAAAATACATGAATCACATTTAAGCGCAGCTAGCGATATCTATTGTAAAAATGCATTTTCTTCGCAATAAAGCTGCCACCTGGACGTCCTAGTTAGAGACTGTATTATAATACGATAAAATTAAATATTAGGTACTATGTTTCGTCCAATATATTGAAAGACAACAACCTTCCCAATTTTATTGTTTTCGTCTTACGAATTTTCGATCAGGCCACGTATCCTTACGTGACCTGGAAAATATATAGTAGCCGATTCTCAGACCTACTAAATATGCATATTTATATAACTTCATAAAAATCGGTCAAGCCGTTTCGGAGGAGTATGGTAACTAGCATTGTGACACGAGAATTTTATATATAAGATTGTTTGTTTCTTAGGTTTTCACGTTTCAATAAATAAATAAAGTTTCGTGCATTAACCCGTAAAAACTAGTTTTATTATATAAGACTAGCAATCCAGTGAACCAAATGTTCACCAAAAAAAAAATGTATTTAATTAATTGAGAACTTCGGAGATTTTGTGTGGTTTCGTTTGAAATTCGTGATTTCTCGAAAACCGGAAGTGCTACGTTACTCAAATCCGGTTTGTAGTCTTATCAGACTATTCTTAACTTATAACTTAAACATTCTCTTTATCTATCTCTTACGGTTTGGCCGCTGAAACAGCACCACAGACGGAAGTCCGTCCAAGTTAGACAAGTGTCTAATAGATAAGAGATTGTTGTTTGAATAACGATAAAATTTATTGTCAAAATCAAAATCCGGTTACCAACAATATATTATCAAATACATTTTATAATTTGAAATAAAAGGCTAAGATTATATAGATATTGAGATTTTTTTTTTATTTTAGTAGAGATTTTGTTGATCGAAAGTATTTCATTCTCAGTAGATATATTGGCTAGATCTACTAAATCGACATTAGAGCGCGTTCAGACGACACGCGCCCGCTAAGCACCCCACAAACCAGTGCTAATTCTTGTGAATAGGAAATACGATACAGTCTTTTATGCAGATAGTGCAAATCCTATTATCGACACTTCGCATCTAACTATTTTTTTTTGTAGGTATATATGAGTCTTTCGACGCATAGATAAATCTCAAATTCCATTTATCGAAGTCAACCCGCACATTCCGCGCCCGCCTCGCGCCGCCCGCACACGCGCAGTACCCACCCGCATACGCTTTGATTAGTGTACTTTACATCTATTGAACGAAGTAGTCAAATCACTAGATACTTTATAAATAAACGAGGAATAGGCTTAGAGTTGTTACGCCGTGTTTTGTTCATATCACTCAAGTGCCATTTGTCATTCAATGAACAGAGGCAAAACATAGAGTAACTAGTACAAACTTAGTTTTCCTTTATTAATAAGGGGGTTGTCAAGGGGTTGTAGGTAGGCGGGTGCGAGACGTGTGCGAGTCTTGTTGCGTGATCGACGCGTATCATCTGAACACGCCCTTAAGAAATATGAAATTAATAGAGTGGTCCAGCGATTCATAGATATTCTAATGAAATTAATGAAATACTATGGGTAACGACGAAAACGGTTATCGGGTTATATATTTAACTAGGGCGGATTTTATCCTGATTTTTATGATTGCATTTAAAGGTTTTAATTTAGCTTTTTTTTGTTGCATAGGCACCGTGGAGAATATTGCGATGGCCGAAACTGTTTTGGAACAGATTTCGTATGAAGTCTCTGTAGACCCTTATGAAGTGCGAATGAGAAATTTAGACTCTTTATTATCTAAAACAGTAAAGGAAATGGCAGAAGATTTGAAAACTAAAGCGGAATATGATACGAGGCGGGCAGCGACAGATAAGTTCAATGCGGAGAACAGATGGAAAAAACGCGGTCTTCGCTGGTCTTTTATGAAATACACTCCGCTGTGTCCCGCAGGTTATGAAGTCAACATAAGCATATGTCACGGGGATGGGTCTGTAATCATAAACCACGGTGGCATTGAAATGGGTCAAGGTATTAACACGAAAGCCATTCAAATTGCTGCATACTTTTTGAAGATTCCAGAGGAAAAGATCAAAGTTAAAGGATCAAATTCTATCACAGCTCCCAACAGCATATTAACTGGTTCTAGCTTAACTTCACAGAGTGTAGGAATGGGCGTGGAAGCATGTTGCAAAGAGCTTTTGGCAAGATTGGCACCAGTAAAATTGTTATTACTTAACCCAAAATGGGAAGTTTTGATTAAAGTCGCTTATGATATGAAAATTGACTTGGTTGCTCGAAAATATGTCAATTACCTATTATCTCCTATATTCATTGTATATGGAGTAGCGTTAGCGGAAGTGGAAGTTGATATATTAACAGGAGAGTCTGAAGTTTTGCGAGTAGACATAATGGAAGACGTTGGAAGGAGTATAAATCCTGCTGTCGATCTTGGTCAGGTAGGTAGTGATAAAAGTAGATAGATAAATATGGTACTTAAGTACTCTTTATTACTGATACATACCTACACAATTAAAGATCTTACAAAACAGATAGTAAACTATGCTGTGTAACGACTGCCTTTAATTTAAAGGATAGTTAAACAGAAATAGAGAACTACTGTGCCAGCAAAAAATAAATAATAATAAATAAATAAATATTTCCACCACTCACACCAATTAGCCTAGCCCCAAAGTAAGCACTGTAGGCTTGTGTTATGGGATACTAGAGTAACGGATAGAATACATATACTCATACATATATAAGTATATTTATATAGAAATACATATTTAACATCCATGACTGAAGTACAATTGTTCGTATTCATCACACAAACATCTGCCCCCACCGGATTCGAACCCGGGACCTCCGAGTAGGCGTACATACCACTCGGCCACCGAGGTCGTCAAGTATAAAAATAAGATAGTATTTGTTTCTTAGGGTTTCACGCTCTTCACTCATTAAATAAAACAATTTCAACGGGTTGTATGCTCTGAATTTATTTATTTATTGATATTTCGCATCCTTTGTAGGAATGCGTCGTCAGTATAATGCATTCCTTATATAAATAACTAAACTAAAAAAATATAACCCCTTGAAATTGTTCCATAAAATAAGATACATAAATATACTATTAACATATTAGGTTGATTTATCGATACAGTGGCAGGAAAAATCGACCTATTCCATGAAAGGGGTTACACTAGACGTTATTAACAACAAATTAAGGCTAGTGAACTAGGGGTCAAAACTGGATGCCTAGGCAGCCCTTCCGCAGCGGATGGGGAGCGGTGTGGTGGGCAATAGGCCGCTCACTTAGATCCTAGCGCGTCTGCGGGATTTCCCGAAATACCCCGGGTGATCCCTGCCATGGAGCCGCGGCTAAGCCGGGAGGCTGTTCGGTGCGGAGACGCGGTGAAGTCCTTCAACGGGGATCTCGCGGTTCCGCATTTAACAGCGCAGAGGGTATTCGCAGGGTTTTTAGCGGATATTATGACGTACGCGCTCGTAAGCCGCGTAGATTGCTTAACGGCTTCTCCGTTTCGCATCCGAAAGACTTGCGAGAGGCTAGGTGTGAGGTCCGTTCGTTGATGTGCCCCTTAAGGGCGCCAACGTCTGTAAATAGAGGTTTTGCCTGCGTTATAAAAAAAGGGGTCAAAACTGGATGTTTACCCGAGTTGTGACGGTTCCTCGATTTCGATACTATACCAAAATTGCTTTCGCTCAGCATAATGCCGCAACAATCTGCTGCGTTGCTGGTATTCTGCGAACGCCACGCAGGTAGGCGCGCAACGCCAAACAAACAGTTTCAAAAAAGGTATCAAATATAAAAAATGAAATAATAAAGACAATTAAAACAATATAACACACACAGAGCAAGCAACAATAATCAATCGTGGCTTTAGTACATTAATTAGTTAATTAAAGTTAGTTAGCTTTTTTGTAAGTCTTGTAAGTCTTTTATATTTAACTTTAATTGAATTTGTTCCAGATTGAAGGTGCGTTCATAATGGGTGTGGGATATTGGACAAGTGAGAACTTGATTTACAACAAAGACACTGGGGAATTACTTACAGATAGGGCGTTCGAATACTACGTCCCACAAGCCAGAGACATTCCGCAAGATTTTCGCGTCAACTTCAGGGACAACTCCTATAGTTCTGATACTGTTTTAGGGGCCAAAGGTACATTACTGAAGATTTTATTATAGAAACATTACAAAAATCTTCTTTGCGTGCAAAAATATTTAAATTTTATTTTGTCCTCATTGCAGCGTAGGCCGGTGTTTTAAACATTTACTTGTTAGGTACTTATTCATAGACCTGTGTACAATACAAATAATACAAACGTGATTGATTACTTGCTCCTAATTTATTTCCTTAATTCAACTATAAGTTGACATTACACACAGCGAATTCGCGCCAAAATCAATGGAATTTGAAATGGCCTTAATTAGGAGATATTAAATCTATTCAAAGTAGGTATGAGTGTGTACAGCTGAGTCGAAAACAATTAAGAGCTCTTTCACATTTTTTGCAATAAATCGCAATTTTTGAGCGCCTCGTTTGCCCTTTTTGAAGAGGTTTTGACTACTTCCAATAGAAGTAAACAGTAGATTTATTATTCCTATTGAAAATTAATGTAGAATTTTTGCAAATACTATTTCCATTTTTTTGTACTGATCGTTCTACCGCAGCTAGTTTACGGAAAAAACGATAATATGCACAACTTAAAACGTCTAAATCTCACAATAATGTTCAATAAATTAGATCAAATTAATTACAACTACATCAGAAATATGTTTTTGTTGCAACATAATGTATTAGAATCTTGATTTTCCATCTCATTAATTATCAAAAAAAAAACATCTAACCTCCGTGAGTTTCCCCAAAAAATACCGCAGGTTTACCTCGTATTTTGATATTGAATTAAATAGAATTACTATAAAAAAACTGTCATAAAACTAATCTACAATCATTGAACTATTGAAATATGTATATATTTTTATAATAAATTCATTAATTATTATTTTACTAGCGGTCCGCCCTCGCTTCGCTTCGGTGTAGAGCTGAAGTATAGACTACAGTTTTTGTTGTCAGGCTTGTATTATACACAATGACATTCATCTATGATTCTTCTTATACCTGCATGCAAAGTCTCAGCCCGATCGGTTTAAAATTGACAAAGTTTCATACAAACTTTCATTCCCTATTTTATCCCCTTGGGGGTAGAATTGATCAAAATCCTTTCTTAGCGGATGCCTACGTCATAACATCTACCTGCATGCCAAATTTCAGCCCGATCCGTCTAGTAGTTTGGGCTGTGTGTTGATAAATCACTGTCAGTCAGTCACCTTTGACTTTTATATACATACTAGCTGACCCAGCGAACTTCGTACCGCCCTAAAAAAATAGGGGTTGTCCAGCGGACAAAATTGTGAATCTAAACCATTCTCAGATCCCCTTGAACACACACAAAAAATTTCATCAAAATCGGTCCAGTCGTTTAAGAGAAGTTCAGTGACACACTCACAGAAGAATTATATATATAAAGATAATATATAAAGATATAGATAATAACGGTCATTTTTATTACCTGTATTTATAACCAAACTAAAATTCTCATATTTCCGTTTTCCAGTACTCATTTTCTACACGTTTTACATGATTTATTTGCTAATTTTGTTTACAAATGTTTGGTTTTTATTCTAAGATAAGCACGGTTTCTCAATATCAATTATTGTCTGTCAATAAGGTCACGCTCTGAACGCATCAACAGTCAAATATTGAATGAAGCTCGCTTTCTTTTTTTTTTGTTTCCTCCCAGGCGGGGGAGCGGGTGTGAAATCCTCATGGATACCCTACAGCCGGCTGTAGAGTTATGTCAGACTCTTACTGACTAAAACACACCCGTGGGGGGTGCCTATGGCCTTAGGAGCCTTACAGGCTTCATCTGATGCGATCAACCCCTGAGAAGGGGATGATGCAGCGCTGCCTTAGTAAATACTACTGCATAGTGCGCTTAGAGGACGGATGCACCCTGATGTGCATCCGTATCGGTTTGGGACTGAGCGACTGAAGGTCTCTCAGGATCGGGGGGGCGGGGAAGCTCGCTTTCGGACCTCCCGCCTTTTTATACCCTACCGCGCCGCCACGACCCGTGTCGAGCGCGGCAGCCGTTACACAAAAATAATCCTTAAAGCATGATTCAGTATTCACGTGCGACGGCGCGATGGCTTATTTCATGTATAAGTTTGGTGTTTCTATACCGATTTCTATGATTCTTTTTTTATTGAATAGGTAATAATGTTAACTTTTTTAAATTAGGGATGAGTGAGAGTATTATAAACGTAAGAGTAAACAAATATAATCAGAATGCTCCGAACTGCTAAGCTATCAGGAGTTACACGTGTTATTGTGAGTCAACCATAAAAGATAGACATATGCTGTTGCGGGATATTTTTTAGACAATTTTATGTAGAATATTTTCATCATACATGATTTCTATGTAACTTTAACCATTAAGGCTCCACACGCGACGGAAGCTTAAAAAATGGAGTAACTTCTCCCGTTTTCCCAACATTTCCCTTCACTACTCTGCTCCTATTGATTGTAGCGTGATGAAAAGTATACTATAACCTGCCCAGGAGTATGCAGAATAATTGTACCAAGTTTCGTTAAAATCCGTCGAGTAGTTTTTGTTTCTATAAGGAACATACACACAGACAGACAGACAGACAGACAAAAATTTTACTGATTACATTTTTGGCATCAGTATCGATCACTTATCACCCCCTGATAGTTATTTTGAAAATATATTTCATGTACAGAATTGACCTCTCTACAGATTTATTATAAGTATAGAAGATAAGACTCTGAACATCACCCGTAAAATTCAATATATACTAGTGCAAATCTAGGCGCCGTTCAGTACGGCGCCAGCACCTTTGGAGGTCGGACCTGAGTCGCTTTGTTGACTGTATGTAAGTTTCCACAACCGTATTAATTATTATGATTATAAGTACCAAGAACAACAATTGAAAAACGGTAAGAGTTACAATAAGAAGTTTGCGAGAAAGAAGTAAGAGAATTTAGTAATAAACAAAAAAACACTACATTTTTTCCGTACAGTCAATAATTTAGGAGATATAGCTATAAACGCGTTTTCCAATAAAGCGGCCAGTTGTGACCACCCTACATTCGCCGATTTAAACTTAAGCTTCTTACAATCTACCCTTATGTCTGTAAAGAAAAGCTAGAGTAGGTACGGTAAAATGTTGCATTTCGATCAAGTATAACAAGTATAAGCTCGTGGGCGGCCAAAGTACATATTGGCCCAACATAATAATATATTTAGAATAGAAATTCACAGTTCTATTTATTTTATATGGAAACAAAATTTTAATGGCAACACTGAAACTATACCGACCATAAGTTCAATGGATTCGATTGCAGCCGAAACTGTAAGTTTTTCATATTGTTATTGGAAGTAGACAACGAAAAAGAAATTAAATTTATAAATAAATTTATTATTATTTAAATTTATAATAATAAACCTAGCACAGTCGACCGACAACCTGCTATACTACCTTACATGAAAGGAGTCACTGACAAGATTGGGAGGATTCTGAAGCGTGCTTCAATCAATACATACTTCAAGCCGCCTAAGAAGATCAACCAGTTTCTACGACCGGTCAAGTGCAATATACCCTTTCAAGTTGCTGGTGTCTACAAACTTGAATGCGACTGTGGGCTCTCCTACATCGGGCAAACAAAGAGGAGTATAGGGACTCGGGTAAAAGAACATATCGCAGATATGAAACATAGGCGCGAAAATAAATCTGCAGTGTGTGAACATGCATTAGGGGGACCAAACCACTACATTAGATTTGATAGACCACAGATCCTTGCAGCTGAGCGGCGGTTCGTTCCTCGAATGATGCGCGAGGCTATTGAGATTAAAAAATATCCAAATTTCAATAGGGAAGATGGTTGGTATATACCACCAGCTTGGGAACCTATTATACAGGAGATAAAATCCCAACCCCGAGCACACACTGCAAGACCATCAGATACTATTAGTTCTTTTTGTTTGCATAATTTAACATAAGAAGGAGATAGAAAGCCTCTCTTGAGTTTGTTTCGCCGGTTCTTCTCAGGAAGGTCTCCCAATTTTGGAACCGGTGGTAGTTTACGGTAGTTAGGGTCAAATAAATAAACTCAAAATTACAAACAAGAATTTTAAATAAAATACTTTATTAAATAAATTAAATAATAAATTCATACATAGACAAAAAATTTTAAAAATCTTCCAATGAAATAACCGAACGCGCAATATAATTCTTTCGAAGGTAGCTCGACAATTTTAAATAAAATCATTATTCTGACGATGCAGACCTGAAAAGGCTGCGAAACGTCAATAAATAAATAAAGTTTCGTGCATTAACCCGTAAAAACTAGTTTTATTTATAATAATAAATTAATTTATATAGGAAAAAAATGCTGTTGGATTGGAAATCGAAGCAGAGGAACAAAGGGAAGCGTCAAACTCAAATGTAAATATTTTATCTGTTTTATACTGACTTAATGGGTATTTCACTACTACACTAGGTACATAGTTTACAATGTTAGCAGTTTGGTTTTTTGTTTTAAACTCAAACTAATGGGATGCATTTCTTGAGCAAAAAAGTTCATTTTTAATATTTTATATTAGACTTCTTTGCTCCATAAGTTCAATTGACAGTAACTTGCTGATTTACGTACCATATCTGTGTCTGGATTGGAAATATATTTCCAGTATTGCCTATATCTATTTATTAAATGAACTATGAAGGCAAAGACAAAACTACACTTAGTACAGTTTTACTGCGATATTTGATTATTACCAAACATCAATCATCATTAAAAAAAGGCAATACTAAAAAACACAAGTAAATAAAATATTATTTCTCATTGCCACTCGAAAAAGGGATTTCATTCAGCGATAACAGTGAACAAACTTTTCATTTAATTACTGAGTGAATAATAAAAATTTGAACAAACCGAAGTTATGCAAAGCATACATATAAAGTTACAATAATTAGTAATAAACATAATTAATCTTTATTGTCATTTCCAAAACACAACCAATGGGTACTATAAATATATTATTTATTTTCTCACAATAGTAAAAAAACTGAATCCTTGTATCCTTTGCTCCACTCAGAATTCCTATCTAGAATCGTTCGTTGCTACAGTAGGGATCCATCTTAGCACTTTAATAAAATTTGTTATGGAGTTAGCTGAGAACCTGGATTAACACATAGGCTACGTGTTACTACGGGAGAATATCCCTAATAAACCGCGGGTAACACCGCGGGGCACAGCAAATTAACTTTATTTTATAATGGCATTTATTGTATAATCAATAATTGCATATTAAAGTATCAATTTGGTAAAGCGCGCTATACTCAACATCGCCGCGTCTCGCTCGTGCGACTCGGACACGCTCGCGGCCGTATTTACCTAAACAAGAGAGGCGCAATTTTGTAAAAGGGCTCTTAATTGAAATGTAACAAACACTCAGATGCGGGACAAAATAAATATTTAAGTTAGTTTTTCTTTATTGATCCCGACCCCAAAAGCTAAAATAACCATGTGGACACCGCATAGACTCCTAAAACACAGTGTGTGATCACCTAATACTTGTAGTTTAACTAGTTGAGCATTAGAATAAAATAAAATAGTGTAAGACTATACTTCCGTTTCCAGTTTCGGGTGAGCCCGCTACATGCCTTTCCATTTGTGTGCCTTTCGCAATGAGAGAAGCACTGTCATCGGCGAGAAAAGATTCTGGTATACCCACCACACAGTGGTTTAACATAGGTAAGTTAGTTAACATTCATTCATTCTGTGGTTGATCCATAAATAAAAAGCAAAGCAAAATTGACTTTAAAAAAATTAAGCAGCTCAATGGTGCAGTTGTTAGCTCGTTTGATTTGCGATCTTGAGTTTCTCAACAGCTGATCATCGCATGGGTGACCAAATAATTAGAGAACTCCTCTGTGCTTTGGGGGGCATTTTAAGATGATGGAGACTTCAGTCGTGAGCAGCCACCAATCTAGGTACCAGGGTGGTACTACTCCAGCAGCAGGGAAATAAATAGACTGATTGATGCTGTTGAAAATTTTACATTTCATAACAGTTTTCTATAATAATATTGTACTTACGTATATCAAATCAATGAGTGAATAAAATTTTGTTATTTGCATTAAATATTAGATTTTTATAGTATAGATTTTCTAATATTATTTTACAAAATTCAACGTTTATCTGTCGCGCATCACGATTTTTAGATCCTTTCAAATTCTTGTGCAAGTTATAGGAAACGAAGTAGCAATATGTAGTTATTATTTTTTTACAGATGGACCTCACACAGTTGAAAAATTGTGCATGTCGGCTGCTACAAAATATGTTGACTTCAAATTTGACTGAAGAATGTGTTATAATTATTATATGTGTTATTATTATTATTATACGGTTTCTTCTTGTTTGTTGTCTTTTTGATTATAAAGTTATTTTTATCATTACAACTCAATTATTGGGAAGGGAAATAAAAAAAACACCAGTTTAATGAATAAACTTTATTATTCTACAATAAAAGGATATATATTATGAACAGCGTTCGTATTAACAAAACATTCAACAATAATGCTTACTTTGGAACCAAAAACAGGTAAACACTTTGGGTGCCGACATTTATGTCTCTTAACTAATAATATTATAGCCTAGACCAGTGTTTCTCAAACGATGCAATATATCCTCTATACCCATATTTAAATTACTGTTCTATCATTTTGCGCTATAAATTGCATCCGAAAATCATTCTTATCTTTATTCTAAATAATTCGTTACTTGTCGTAAACCATTTAACAGCACAAAATGAATAACACGGCTTAAAAATTAATTTTGATATTTTTTTCTGTTACCTACTATGCTAACCTTCCATTGTTACTAAGTAAAACGTTTAAAACAACGAAGGTCGCTTCTTAAATATTTTAATATAGATCTTCCAGCACCATTTTTGATAAAAAACGAGTTTACAAGGATTCTCATGTCAGAATATCTATATTGGTATAATTTTTAAGCTCTTGTAGTATTTGAATCCAAATAGATCCCGTTTTCTATTCACATACAGATTAGACGTTATAGACGTCAACATCCCGACAGAACATACTGGCCCCATTTCGATTTGCCTTAACTCTAAAATTGATTTATAATACAAGTAAGGCTATCTTATTGACAAGGCAAAAATTATGTTTCATAAGAACACCGGTAAGTATGAAAATTCCTTCGTTTATGATTCAAATTTATTTTAGGTCATCAGTATAATATATTTATAGGAACTGACTAAAGCTCATCTCATAATTAAAACGTAACAATCGATAAAACTTTACATAAAATCAACAACTCGATTTAAAATCACCATTAAGAGGGAATAGTTAAAAACAAACAAAAATGCAAAAAAGTAATCTAATAATAATAAGAAGAAAGGGGAAAATTTAAAATTTTGACACTTCGGAATGCCATAATAATTGGCCATTAAAATATTGTATGATAAATATTACTATAACATACTATATTACTTATTTAAATATACAATATCTACAGTCTAGCTTTTCTATTCTAGATACATTTGGTCTTTGGATGAGCATGTCACATTATGGCTTGTGTCATCTTTTGTAACTTTAAAAAATATAAGTGCACTTTTCAAATTTAGTACTTGATCATTACATGAATCACTACACTAGACTAGACCTGGAACGAAAGCGGCACACCATTATAACCCGGAAAAGAATTAAATCACAGAAATAGTCCTCATATAAATATGAATTTGAGAAACACTGCTCCAAATAAACAAATAAGTGAGATGTTGACAATGGTGTGTTCTTAATCGAAATGTTATTGGTAATTCATGAAAATCGCTGATATTACTTCAGGTACCTAATAGGGACAAGATCATCTTTAGAATCTAAGATCGCGAACATAATGTAATAACTATTTTTTATTTTATTTTTATTTTTTTATAGACACTATGTAAACAAATCTTATCAATATCAGCATAAAAAAAATCTTTACTTCATAAAACAACTGATGTACAAGGATATTAAAAAAAAACTTCAGCTAGATAATTTATAAGAATTACTTTTTTATCACAAAAGAAAACAAAACGCGAGTTTGACTCGCATTGAATTGTTAATAAATGAAAACAAGATAGGCGTTTTAATAATAAATCTAGCATCTAAAATAATTATCATTTTTGTTACTTTCAAAATTTTAGATACATACACATATTATAACATTATTATTGTTCAGCAACACTAGTTGAATGATGGCGTTTTACAAAACACGATTAAAAAACTTTATATAAAGGCACCGACTTAATTTCCCATACGCCTATTTTTATGTGATTGAGTAGTGTTGCAGACTCATTGATACATTTTATTTATAATATATGTAAAAGACAATATACTACGATATTATGCAAAACATTTTAGGTTAAAACGAACATAAAAATCAACCTTAAAAATGCATTGCAGTCTATGCACGTGGTGTCTTAGTTGCGTTTTATTTATCTAGTAATAAGGCGATTTAAAAATCTAACTTTATACAAAATTAGGTTAAATTATGTTATTGTAATTTGCAGTAATTGTAATTTGCATAAAAAGAAATAACGACATGTTTGGCATTTTTTTATTGTGATTGATGAGGAATAATGATTATATTATTATAAATAAACGTTTTTCTCTTTATTATGGTTTTAATTGATATTCTTAAATTATTAATTACATTATGCCTTTTCATTTTTTTGTGATGTTTTGCACTCTCACCCTTTTACTTTCTAATTCTAATAAAGCAGAATGCAGCAGCCTACTACCGACTCAACTAAAATAAGTATACATATATCTCTATTTCGATAAGTATAAATAAAATCTATTTCTATGTTATAAAAACTACAGTTAAGTGTACAATAATATTATTTCTTTATGCGTACATGTAAAAGTAAATCTATCTATAATAATAATAGGTAATATATAAATATTATCTGATTAAAAAGTAAATAATATTTGGAATTTTAAGGCTAGTTTTGTTGGTATTTTATACCATGGAAGCGTTTTCATCGCTTGCTTTGGCGGTTATGGTCTCCATAATTGATGAACCTTCTATCTTAGAGGTATTTGAAGCGACCTCAGCTAGGGTGGCTAAGGCCAGTAAGTCGACACTGCTGTGTTGCGGTTGTTTGCAAATTTCCATGTTTTGTACCACCGTACACGGTGCTTCGGTGGCTATTTTAATTTCGGGGCTAATTTTATGCGAATCGCTAGTGTCGACACTCGAATAGATACTTTTAAATTCAAACCTAGTTATACTCACTTTCCTCGGTTTACGTTTCTGACTGCCAATAACCGTTTCCCGCCAACTTTCAGCCATTTCCCGTCGTACATCATAATTTGGTCTAGGAACAGAGTTGACTATTTGCGGTGACTCGAGAGGTTTCGGCTTAAGATTAATCGTTTTCTTCTTGCGTTTATTTTCGCGTTTCTTTTGCTGGAATTTCTCTAAGCTAAGTGAAGGCAAAGCTCTTATTTTAGCATCTAAATCGAAGTCGGCAGCCTTGAATGTTTTGTTTGAGTTATTGTCTGGTTCGGGTGCATCTGTGATGTCGTTTTTGTATTCGGATTCGACTGGAGTCTCGTTGAACGATGTGTCTTGTTTGGATTCATCGATAACAATTGAGTCTTCGCTCCGGGAGTTTCCAGTTTCCCAACTACAGGAAGGACTGTAGCTTTCATCTGGCATTTTGTCAGAATTTTCTCGCCTTTGCCTCTTATTTACTATCAATCCCCCAACCGCCATAAACTCCTGGTAACGCTTCCCTTTGCATGACCTCCCAGATCTAGAATTTTTTTCATCATCAGACCAATTTTTTTGATAACCATAGTCATCGTCTTTAGAGTATCTCTTATCGACTATTTGGTCTATTACGTCTTGATTGGTGAATCGATCATTCGGTATACTATGATACTGATGATAAATTCCCTTTTTCCCATCAAAGTCTTCTTCGAATATTCTTGTGGTCTCAGAGAGAGCATTTTGTAGTTCGCGTATACTCTGCTCTCTGGAGACACAATTGATTTTCGACTTGTCTATGATATGGTGAGATCTGTAGTCGTTTGGGGTTGAGATCGCATTAAATTTATGTGATGGGGGTGAATAAAAAGGATTCGGAGTTCGAGCTTCAGTCTTTGTGGCAAGGAGGCTACTCAGTCCTCCCATTTGGGCTTCATCAGCGAGCTTTCCAGGAGTAAACATAGATAGCGGCTTCGGATCATTTTCATAAACATGATCTTCATTGGCATTTTTGTTGAAATCTACTTTAGTGGAGTTATTGTTGGTTTTTTCTAGCTCAGATTCGTTACTTTCCGTGTTAGGGGATTCGTTTTGTTTTTCATTAATTTCTCTAGGCCGGGACGACAGTGTGCGCAAGGGCGGAGCCGGTAACTTATACCATTTGAAATCAGGGTTGGCACTGAAGAACGCGTCTTTGTACTAGAAATGAAAGAAATTTTTCTTTATTTAAAAAGGGTGATAAAAATCATTTTATGCTCCACCTGACACTTAAGAAACCGACGTCAATGGAATAATGGGCAACAATAAAATATTATAATGACATTAGGTACCTGTTTAGCAAGACCTGTGTAGCAAGCTTTCTCTTCTTTGTCCAAGTTAGCCCACCATTCTCCTAGAATTTTTGTGATTGACCTGCAATTTAAGCAAATTGTTCTATTTTTATATCGGAATATATTTAATATTATAACATTTGAAGTTTAACTAGTAACACAGTCATTTATATCAAATTGGGTATCAATAATTCAGTTTATATCCCTGTAGTAATGTGGATTACCCCATGATTACCTAAGAACTAACCAAGATTTACAAAAAAAAAAATAGATAAAAATCTAGCAGTTAAGTATTAAAAGCTATAATTAAAAAAAACTAATTAGAAATACAATGTCAAATTCGTTTTGATGTTTGAAAGACTAGAAATAAAAATACTGAGCACAATAGTTGTCAAGCTTTTTGTTTAAATATTAAAAGGCTATCAAGGATAATATCTACTAAAGATGAGACGGATTAAATTTAAAAATATGAGTCGTTGTGACTTTAAAGACTCATTTACACGATGCATTTTTCTTGTATATATAAGAGCAATAATTGAATACAATAAATGAGGTGCAATAATTGACCTTCAAGAATTGTAAGCAACAATTTACACGCGGAAATAGCAAAAAGATTGCATACAATTATTGAATGCCAGTTTTGACAAGAAAGAATTTCAAATAACTTTTGTTTACACTAATTCAATTATGTTAAGGAGATAAAACTAACTAAAACCTTTAAGTTTTGATATGTCTAAACACAGGCTTGTATGTGTGTGTACCATTTATTTAAGAGTTGCTTCAAGAATTGCACGAATGAAGTTTTGACACAAATCTTGAATTACTTCAAGAATGTTATGTGCAGTTTAGACCATGCAAGTTATTTATTGCTTCAATTTAATTGTATGCAACAGGCAAGAAACTTATATTGCTTAATTGGCACTTTAGACACAGTAACTTTTCGTCCCCTGACGCCTTCTTTCATTCACAATGACAATCACAGCGCTCAGTTAAGTCTAGTTAAATAGCAGGTACAAACGGTATGACGAGATTAGTCAGTAAAAAGCATTAAAAAGAAAATCATAGATTAAAAATCATGAGGATAACAAGTAGCACTGAACATAGTAACATGGTATATTACATTTTTATTTCATGCATTTAACTGTTAGATTTCTAAATTCAAAGAAAAATCAGTAGATTTAAAGCGTTCATTATGTTTAAAAAATTTGCGGCATAACTGACGAACTATTGACCCGTACAGGTTAATGGTCTATTAACCTACAATGACATACCGATTCTCTAGATTAGGATATTTGTCGCGGACGACGCTCCGATGACGCTTGCAGAATATGAGGAAAGCGTTCATGGGGCGCCGCGCGTGGTGCGCCGGCTCGCCATCTCCGTCCTGCTCCTGCATTGTCACTATCTGTGGAAAAGAAAGAGACCAAACCATTAGGTATGCATTGTGCTGCAATCGGAATCGGAAGCAGTGATAACAATAGATCGATTATTCTAGTTGCAACGTTTGCTTGACATCAAAATGCTTTGTATCATTCTTACATGAAATCGCATTTGTTAAAGTGTTTTTAATTATTTACTTTTCACATTAAAATGTAGTTTGGATCTGGCCTTAATGAAGTTTTCGTTGATGAGCTCATTCCCTATCTTGGCCGTTAATAACATGATTAGCTAACTTGGCGTTTATTATTGTTTAAATTAGAAATATATATTAGTGAAAGATATATTTCTAATTTAAACAATATTAGTGAAAGTTACACCGATGTGCCATTGCCATTTTCTTTGCCAAGTGCAACATTAGTAGCCACCTATGTTACAACGCGATAAGGATATACCTTATCTCAGGTCGATGATCCCTAAACCGGTACGTTATCAGTACCATCGGAGTAGCTGTTTAGTCATCTGAACCTTCAATATCGTCTGTTTTACTTAACAAATGATTAGTAATGTTATCACTTTCGCAATAAAAATTGTTTTCACAATAACCACTATCATTGCCTAAAACAACATCAGCTTTAATAGTGACTGTGAAGAATCCATCTTTGTAATAAAGAGAGTTATCGCTAGAATGAATTTGTTATTTTGTATTTACTCTTGATAAAGTTCGAGTGTTATTTGTAAGCAGAGTAATCTGCAATCGGGGAAAGAAAAAATATTGTGTTTATGAAGTTTTAGTTAGTTTAAAATATGATAACAAGATTTTTTAATATAATTGGAATCTGCTATTAAAATGAGAACCTAAAAACACATTAACAAAAAAAAAAATTTAGGACCGTTGTTTTTTTTTTCATTTGTTTTTTTTTTCAATTTTGTTCTTTTCTTTGGAAATTAATGTTTTCTGAAGGTATAGTATGTCTGATTTCAAAAATATTGCTTTAAAATACTAACATTCTTCTAATGCACTCTGTTAACTGCGTTTATGTACTCTGTTGCAAACAAATGTAAACCGAACGGGGAATTCGAGGATTTTTCTCTACGTCGTGAGTGTTAGCAGTTGTTGAATACTTGGTTGGTTGATTGAATTTTCAATTAAAAAAGTGTAGTAGGTCTTTAACGGAAACTTCCTTAAAAATTTTGAATGTTTTACTCGCGAAAAAAAAACAGGTTTTATCATGTTTTTTTTCCCGATAAAAAAAATATTTTTGCATCTCTAGCTGGGTAACGACTGATTTTATCTGCTTTAAGCCATCCGAAAGATATTGCAGCACAGGCTGGGTCTCTGTGTTGCATCCGCCTTTGTGTTTATGCAGCCGGGACAAACAGCTTAACGTGATCTTTGAAGCACGGAAGAGCTTAAGTCAATATTTTTTTGGTCCTCGTCCTAATGAACTATTATTAAGTAAAATTTTATTGACATCCATGATCATATAGGTACCGGCTGTGCTAAACGCTGCCCCGAAAAACCTTTTAACGGCTTTTCAACGATTTTGATAAAATTCTATACTTAATAAAAATCACCTTTGTGCATATACTACACAAAGTATATAGCTTGTGTCTAATAGGTGCATTTCTTGTAAAAATGCCCGCCAACAATCATTCCCTAATTTTTTAATTATAAAAGTACTTGAGTTCGGGTAGTTTGAGGTTTTGTTAACACTTAAAACTTGTTGCAAGAGAGCATTTAGCAATTATCATCCCTTTCAGAAGGTCGTGTTCCACTTCTATCAGATTCCAGAGGCGCACGGCCTTGACATCGTGCGCCAGTGCTCCGAGCCGAGGCTGTCCGGAGGGGCAACGACCAGTGAAAGTGAAAACTCGTGCGCAGCCGAGCGGGATAGCAAATAAGCGGTCTGAGCTTTCGACTGCTACGACTAAAGTTAGATCAACGAAATGAATGAATGCGATCCTGACAGGTAGTGTCAGTTCCTTATGTCAATAGGATTAAGGGCCATTTACATGAAGCAAGTTTTATTGCCTGTCGCATAAAATGAAATTGAAGCAATAAATGACTTGCATGGTTTAAACAGCATGTATCATTCTTGATCCGGTGTATACCAGTCTTGTTTCAAAACTTTTCTTAGTGTAAACAGCATATAAAATCAATTCTCGTATTCTACTGGTCTTTTGCAAACATGAGTGCAGTAAGTGAGGGTGTGTTAATTGTTGCTGCTATCCTGAGGAATGCAATATTAAGAAAACGTCGTAAAAAGAATCCATTAAATTATACGAAAAGTTTGAACTTATAAACATTATGGGTACCGGAACACCGGTTCCGGTACCCATAATGTTGGGCACCGGCCCATGGAGCCCTCATATACCCGGCTTTTATGTACGCCGATGGTTTGAAGCTGGTGTCTGATTGTGGTAAACCAAAAATGAAAATGATACAGTCTGATATAGATCGCTTGTTAAATTGGCTTTTGTAACGGCTTGAATCTTAATGTGAGTAAGTGCTTTCATATGAAGTTTACGAGAAAAAATAATTCACTGGATACTGAATGTACCATGGGATCTGCCAAGATACAGAAAACTAATAAATTCAAAGACTTAGGAGTAATTTTTCATAAAAAGCTTACATTTATTCCTCATGTAGAGAACATATTGGGTTTTGTTAATAGGACCGCCAAGAAGTTCAGGAATGCACGAACAAATCTTCTGGTACTGGTCAAAGGCTTGTTCGCAGTTTGATTGAGTACTGTAGTGTGGTCTGAAGACCTCACTATGCTGCTAATTCTTAAAATATATAGCGAGTACAAAATAAATTTCTGTCTTACTTAAACTTAGAACTCGCTAGAAGTTAACCATCTTCATTTCATTCTAAGTTTATTGTTGTACACTACATAATATATTTATTAATTCTCCCTATCCATCCAAAGGGAAGGTCTGTGCCCTAGGAGTGGGAACATTAATAGACTGATAATGATGGTGTTGATTTTAAACATGAGTTTCAAGTTGGGCGAAGAACCTTTTAATAATAACAAAGAAACAAACGTGGATATCCGTACATGACGTGCGTTATTTTGTCTACTCAACACTTGTAGTTCGTTGGACAGAGACAAGAGACTAAATAATTACCTTATAATTGGGATATATTGTCAAAATTTTCGCTCTTATCATAATCCCCTTGAAAGGTAAGAAAGGTGTATGCATAGAGCAACATGTGCGTGTGAACTGAGTTGAACTGAGGGGCCAGATGCCACGGCCGACGCGGGTGAAAGAATGACATAAATATTTACAAAGTATGACATAAATAAAGGGGATTGCGGAAAGCTAAAATTTGGCTCCTAATTAATAAATGAGGGTCTTAATATCTAATTTTTGGACTTAGATGAAATTAAATTGAAAATTTCCGGACTCCGATTGAACATGGGCTCATTAAAGGATCCAGATCACATCGAATAGAAACCCTATTAGAGAATGTCAGGTTCATGTGGCACATTTAGAAAGCATCGAATAAGTTGAAAAAAAAAGTCAGTACGTAATGTTCTTTCAAGAAAAAAGTAATTACATGAATTAATAAATCATTAATAATTATCATTCCCATTGGATTGGTATTTAAGCGAATCATAATTAAACGAAACAGGGAACAAAATTTAAGGTTTCACAAGAGCGTGCGTAAAATAGAGATTAAGTATATTGTTACTTTTCTTCACGACTGATGGGAGTGTTATTTTACTAAAGCCTTCCTTACCCGTGTTTCTACTAATTATTAAATAAAAAGCTCCTTGTTTAAGATAAAAGACATTATTATAAAAGAGATCGAGGGCGCATTAGTAAGCGCGTTCTATCCGAGATCGTAGAAGATAAGTAACTTTCTCAATGGCCGGTCATCGGATAGGTGACCTGTAGTTTGTATGCAAGTTTGTGTGAAACTTCGTCGTGGAAAGAATTTCTATAAATACTTATATATTATCTATTTATTTTCATTCTAACCATTAACTGATTTATCAACATTTTGCCTGATTTGTTCTTCTGCATTTCTGAAATCAGAGACCACGGGGCTAAACTGAGTACGCAAATAGTATCTTTTGTTATAATACTAATCTCATTCTATAGATACCATAACACGTGGACGCAAAGAAAAGGTTCCGTTTATATCAGGTCTGTCACAATGACGTTTACAGTTACATAACTACCGTAATGTAACAGTTATGTTAGGCAGCACTTGACTATGCAACCGGTGAAGTTTTACTTAACCATGACATATAAAAGAAGGTGAGCAAAGGATCTCTGTGTACATAAGACGATGATTGATATACCCATGCAATATTTGCATTTTATGTAAGATACGATAAAACTGTGTCAAAAGTCGAAACTACTGAAACGACTTTGATACACGATTATTTCTTTATGTTGTTCTATACTTTTCCAAATTATCAGCTGCTATACTTTTTCAGGTTTCCCTGTTTCTGATAGGCTTTTACTATCTTTGGGGATAACGTAGCTGGCGCTTAAAATTGTATAGAGCCAGGTTCCGTCAAAAACATTTGCACATATTTAGTAAAATATATAGAAGTAGTAATCCCTTAAAGGAATCTATTACCCCAACAGAAATCCTCAGAACTTCTTCTGATCCAACAGATCTTAATCAACAATGCCTTTGACATAAAGTTCCTAATCGATTAAACTAATTTCACACTTGCCGTGATGTGCTGTAACTGTCGCCGGTCTCAAGGTTATGGAAATTAGACATAAGTGGACCAGCAATCGTATCTAATAGGCTAGTTAATCTCTATTGTTTAAACATAGTTAAAGTAGTTATCTAGGAACAAGAAGTATAGACGGAAGCAGCAAATAAACTGAGAATAACACAAACAAAGGAAGTACTATGATTTTGAGAATAGCACATTTTAGGAAACAGTCATTGTACCTGAGAGGGATCCGTTTTTGCTTCAAATAATCAATTTACTTTTCTAATACTTGATTTCTATTTACATCTTGAAGATGAAGGGAAAAGTGCCACATGAT